GGTTATTAATAAGCTATCAGATCGTAATAGAATTGAATAGAATAGAATAGAATAGAATTCTTTATTGGCCAAATGTGATTGGACACACAAGGAATTTGTCTTTGGTGCATATGCTCTCAGTGTACATAAGGAAAATAAAATACATTCATCAAGAATAAAAAGATAGAACCCTTAGTAACAGTCAAGGTTATTAATAAGCTATCAGATCGTACTAGGAAACAAATAAAAACAATATAATTGAAAGATACAAGCAACATGGTTATAGTAATAAGCGGGAAGAGATAGGTACTAGTAAGGAAGAGAAGAAGAATAGTACTACAGTCTTAGTAAATTATTTGACAGTGTTGTGGGAATTAGTTGTTAAGCAGAGTGATGGCATTCGGGAAAAAACTGTCCTTGTGTCTAGTTGTTCTGGTGTGCAGTGCCCTATAGCGTCTTTTTGAGGGGAGAAGTTGAAACAATTTATGTCCAGGATGTGACACCACTCTATAAAGCCCTAGTAAGAGCACACCTAGAGTACTGCATCCAGTTTTGGTCACCACACTGTAAAAAAGATGTTGAGACACTAGAAAAAGTGCAGAGAAGAGCAACCAGGATGATTAGGAGACTGGAGGCTAAAACATATGTTGAACGGTTTCAGGAAGTGGGCATGGCTAGTCTAGTGAAGAGAAGGACCAGGGGAGACATGATAGCAGTCTTCCAATATTTGAGGGGTTGCCACAGAGAGGAGGGGGGTCAAGCTATTTTCCAAAACACCTGAAGCCCAGACAAGGAATAATGGATGGAAACTGAACAAGGAGAGATTTGGCCTAAGGAGAAATTTTCTGACAGTGAGAACAATCAAGCAATGGAACAGAAGTTGCCTCCAAAAGTAGGAGACCCTACACCATTTCTGACAGAGGGCAGTCCAATCTCTTCTTGAAAGCTTCCAGTGATGCCCACAAAAGTTTTATTTTCTCTTCCCCCCCAGCCCCCGAAAAGATGCAAGAGAGGAAGGAAAAAATGAGTCCAGAATAAAAGTGGACAACACTGCAAAGCAAAATGTGCAGCCGTGTGAAGTGTGTTGTGGTCGCAAAACATCCTGAGCTGTGATTTTTTGGGGACCGAAAGACTGTCTGTTTAAAAGGCAACCTTTATCAAACTCGGCAACTTTTAAGATGGGTGGACTTCAATTCCCAGAATTCCCCAGCCAAGTGATCAAGTCCAAGTGATCAAATTTGAGAAATGCTGTTTTTGCACTATGGAAGGTTTTCTTTTAATTTGGAAGGGGAAAATAAAGCAGAATTGTTTCTTGGATCCTGATGGCTGGCTAGGGAATTCTGGGAGTTGAAGCCCACACATTTTAAAGCTCCCAAGGTTGAGAAATGCTGCTTTACACTATGAGGGTTTGTTAACTGGTTAATTTATCCGGAGGAGAAAAATAAATTTGTTTTTTCTTTCTCTTGGATCCAAAGGCTGGCTGAGGAATTCTGGGAGTTGAAGTTCATTCATCTTAAAGTTGCCAGTTCAAGAAACTCTGTTTTACACTACAAGAGTTAGTTGGTTATGAAATTTCATCAGTGTTGACAAGAAAAATGAAAACATCCCTTTTTTAATCCAGGCTAATCAACGTGGTTAAACAACAGTGGAGTTTTTTAAGAAGGCAGCATACATTGGCAAGCAAAGGAAATGTATGGGTTTTGTTTAGTATAAATTTTAAATTTTATTTTATTTTCAATTTCACAAACATCTGGATATACCTATTATATCTAATGCAACCTGGCTGGCTGGAAGTCTCAAGGCTTGCTCATCTCCAGCCTCCCCAAAATTGTCTCATTCTATTTTTAACTTCTGTCCCTCAGAACATCTGTCCCCTCAACAGCTTCTGCTCCCAGATATTTTCCCTCGCATCCAAGGACACTTTAGAGCAGTGTTTCTCAACCTTGGCCACTGGACGATGTGTGGACTTCAATTCCCAGAATTCCCCAGCCAGCTCTGCTGCTGGGGAATTCTGGGAGTTGAAGTCCACACATCGTCCAGCGGCCAATGTTGAGAAACACTGCTTTAGAGACTAAAGACCATAGTCCACATCACCAAGATCTGGGGGCTTTGACCTGCTTTTCAAACCAAATTAAACTTAATGCATTTATTATCTTACGGAACTCACTGCTACAAGATAGGGCAATGGTGAATAGTTTGGCTATCTTTCAGGCAGGATGGAGATGATAAAAGTCTTTGGAAGGTTATATGGATCAAAATAATTCTGCCAGAGTATCCATTCCTGTGGAACAAAGCTGAGAGAGGAGACCCCTGTCACCTTGTCACCTTCCTTTAAAAAAAGGAGATTTTTATTTGATCCATTAAGATCCTTTCTCAGAATCTTAGTTCTTATGCCCTACATGCGGAGCCAAAATTTGACATTCAAGGGTTGAGATAGAATTCTTTAATTGGCCACACAAGGAATTTGTCTTTAGTGCATAAACTCTCAGTGTACCTAAAAGATATAATACATTCATCATGAATCCTAAGATACAACACTTAGTGATAGTCATAGGATACTAAATAAGCAATCAAAATCATACTATGAAATTAAATAATGCAATATAAATTGTAAAAATATAAGTTACATGGTTATAGTCATACGTGGGAGGAGATAGGTAATAGGAAGGATGAGAAGAATAATAGTAATACAGTCTTAGTAAATAGTTTGACAGTGTTGTGCGAATTAGTTGCTTACAGTCATTCACTGAAAAGTCAACCTTTTAAAAACATATAATGCATGTTTTTTAAAAAGGTGGTCAGACTTTGATCATAGCTATTATCTTGATTATTTCACTATCTTCCCACCTCCTGGCTTTTATTTAACCTGGCCAAAATGCCCACTAGGTGGCAGCAGATACTCAGACAACCATTTAAGCCCTCTAGTGGCTGTCTGCATTTTTTGCAGGGCAGATCTAGAAACCCTAACCAAGTATTAACTTTGGCTTATCTTCTTGTGGTAACCCAGCCAAGTCATTTTCCTCTGACACTTTAAAAAGGGTTGTGTGGGTAGTAAGTTCACACATTGTGAAGAAAGGTATTCTTTGCTGGAAGTTGTCCTCTCAGGACAACTCTCTCTCAGATTTACTCTCAGGAGAATTTACTCTTGAGTATTTACTCTCAGGAGAATTCTTGGCATAAAAAGAAGTGTGTCTATCTGGGTAGAAGTGCATTTTTTATAGTTTTAGAACTGATTAGGTTCTTTGAAGGCCAAAGATGTCACCTGTGAAGCTTCCTTCCCTGTTTCAGGCAATTTATGTTGCTAAATGAGAAATGTGTTAAGTGAGTTTTGTCCCATTTTATGACTTTTCTTGCCACAGCTAAGTAAATCATTACAGCCGTTAGTCACAGCGTTGTTAAGTGAATCTGGCTCCCTCATTGACTTTGCTTGTCAGAAAGTCACAAAAGGGGAATCGCTTGACCCTAGGACAGGGGTCTGCAACCTTAAATACTCAAAGAGCCATTTGGACCCATTTCCCACAGAAAAGAAAACATCGGGAGCCACAAAACCAGGGTGGGCATGGCCAACTCGATGTCACTCATTTCCACCAGTCACATGACCCCCCCCCAGCCACGCCTACCCAGCCTGTCATTAGGGCAGAGAACCAGTTGTTAAAAAACACCGGGAACCACAAAATCCTTTTGACATCTCTCTCGCTTTCTCCCCCACTCTCCCTCTCTCTGTCTCTCTCTATGTCTCTCTCTCTCTCACCCTCTCTCTGTATCTCTGTCTCTGCCCTGGCTACTTCTCCATCCCCCACTGTCACCCTTACCTTCTCAGGCCAGGCGAGGAGTGACTGGGAGAGCGAGGGGCGGGGCCAGCCAGTGGTGGAATCACCTGACAGGGAGCCACAGCAGAGGGCCCAAAGAGCCGCATGCGGCTCCCGAGCCACAGGTTGCTGACCCCTGCCCTAGGACACTGCAACCGTCATAAATATGAAGCAGTTGCCAAGCGCCCAAGTTTTGTTCAAATGACCATTGGAATGCTGCAATGGTCGTGAGAAAAATGCCACTGACTTAGAACGGTCACTAAACGAATGTTTGTAAGTGGAGGACGACCTGTAAATTAGAAGGGCAAGACAAAAAACAACGGATGGAAACTAATCAAGGAGAAAAGCAACCTAGAACTAAGGAGAAACTTCCTAACAGTGAGGACAGCTAACCAGCGGAAAGGTTTGCCTTTAGAAGTGGTGGATGCTCCAACGCTAGAGGCTTTTAAGAAGAGACCGGACAACCACTTGCCAGAAATGGTATAGGGCTGTGATGGCTAACCTTTTTCCCGTCATGTGCCCAAAACAGGAGGAGCTTGGGGGGTTTGCGTGCATGTGTGCCCACACCCATAATTCAATGCGCCCCATCCCCCCGCACATGCACACGTGACCGCCCCTGGGCTCCCCCTCTTTTGGCACGTGATGGCCCAGTGGGCCCATTTTTCACCCTCCCCAGGCTCTAGAGGCTTTCTTGGAGCCTGGGGAGGGCAAAAATGGCTTCCTTCCCCTGGAGGCCCTCCGGAGGCTGGAAACAGCCCGTTTCCCGACTTCCGCTGGATTCAGAAGGCCTGTTTTTCACCCTCCCCAGGCTCCAGAGGCTTTCTAGGAGCATGGGGAGGGCAAAAACTGCCTTCCCCACCCCCCCAGAAGCCCTCCAGAGGCCGGAAACAGCCCGTTTCCTGACTTCCGGTGGGCCCAGAAAGGCTGAAAATCAAGTGGCCGGCACGCACATGCATGCTGGAGCTGAGCTAGGGCAACGCTCACGTGCCCACAGATAGGGCTCCACCTGTGGCACGTGTGCCATAAGACCTCCAAGGTCCCTTTCAACTTTATTATTCTGTATCTTTTTAAAAATCTTCTTCTCTGTTCCATAGTACAAACACCAAAGTTGGAACTAGCAACCAAGACAAAAGGAAAAAAAAAAGTTGCTAGCTTACCGAGCAAACAGAATCTTAGTAAAATAAAATAATTTGCCCACACGTCTCCTGGAAGGTATTTTTAAAAATTTATTTTAACTTTAGGATAACAAATCATCTCTATCTATAAAATGGTGGAATTATCAGTCGATACTCTAAAACTTTAGCTGTTGGGGGAAAAAAATTACGAACTAGCAGGAAAGCTAATCAACGAATTCGAAACAGACTATTGCCTCAGAAAAAGAGCCAGCTTATATAACATTTTAACGCAGTTGATTGAGTGGAAACCAGAAACATTTAATTAACACCGAGATGCTAATTACGTTCAGTTTGAAAACAGGCTATTACTATTACAGAACAGAGAATCTGAAGGGAGGGCTTATAAAACACAGAGAAAAAAAAAATACAATTTTGTCTAACGCCAACGCCAGTACAAATTCTGGGAAGAGATACTCTTTCCATTCACATACATTGTAATTTTCTTTTTAAGATCTGACCAGGACTTGATCATTACAGAAGGCACTTGTGTTGTTGTCATATGACAATGCATGGTGGGCATTTCTAAGCTGGAGGACGTTTATGAAAAGTCTCCCATCTTTGCGAACTGCATTCTTACCATACTGTACGTTGTCTTACTTCCTTTGGGGACTTCACCAAAGTCTTCAAATGGCTATCAACGCTATGAAAAAATGGGGCCAGAGAGGGCCTTGTCAAGATAGAGAACGCTGTTCTAAAACACGAAAACACAACCTGCATTGTTCCGTTCATATATTGAGACTTTAATATGTCTAAAGAGCTTCACACCTTTTATAAAGCTCTGCTTTGCTGCCCTTTAACCTATCCTGGGCCTTGAGAAGGTAGGTTTCATTTCCCCAAATCCCATAAGCCACGTGAGGTAGCCATTTGGGGAGCGAAAAGTTAACATGTACAGGGGATAAAAAGACTGGGGGGGGGGGAAACTGCTGATCTTATTAAGAGGATTAATGAGTCTTTCCTTTGATTGGTTATTAAGCAGTAATTTATTCAATTAGTAAATTGCAAATAACTTGGTCTCCTAGTAGGCATGCATTCTTAAAATTAGCTACCTGTGAAACTAAGTACTGTATTTTTCGGACTATAAGACGCACCTAGATTTACAGGAGGAAAACAAGGGGAAAAAAAATCGTTTTCGGCCTCCATGCATCGTGTTTTCGCCCTCCCCAGCCCCCAGAAGCACTCTGTTGCGCTCTGCATGTTTCGTTTTTGCAAAGTGCTTCTGGGGGCCGCTGAAAACGCGATACGTGGAAGGTTTGGGAGCCCCAAAATGGGCCCGTTTTTGGCAAAAATGTGACGTGCTGAGGGGAGGGCAAAAACACAACACACAGGGTTCAGGGCCAAAAACAGGCCCGTATTTGGTCTATAAGACGCACCGAAATTCTCACCCACTTTTAGGGAGGGGAAAGTGCGCCTTATTCTCCAAAAAATACCATATTTACAGAAGCAGCATCTGGAAAGCAGCCTTTAGAAAATCCAGGAGAGAACAGAATATACAGGTAAGTCCTCAATTTACGACCAGTTTCCAGCTGCTTAATGACCAGCACGATCTACAACTGTAATTCTGGTCGTAAATCAAGGACTAACTGTATGTTTCTCATTAAACTGCAAAAAGAGTCCCCAAGCTTTTCTTAATCTCGTGGCACCCGGGAAGCAGATCAACAGTTCCAGTCCTAATTTTTTTGTCAATAAAGCAACGAGCACAAAAGCAATTGGGAAGTTTTGTTTGCTCTTGATTGCAACGCAAGTGTAGCTTTTTCATTTTTCTTTTTCAAGGAAAAGCTGGCTGAATAAAAAGCATTGAAAAAAAAAATAACAAAACAGCCAACTTTGTATGGGATAAAAAAAAAAAAAATTCACACCAGGAATCTGCAACCAGCTGTCACAGATATTGGGACCCCTATGGCTCTGTGCTAAAATACAGCCTCCAGGTTTCTCCACAGTTGGAAGAAAAATATATTAGACAGCTGAAATCTTGGGACATTTCAAAATTCTCCCAAGTCAGAGAGAGATTACTGAAATCTCACAAGAGTGGGTGATTTCTGGCCTGTTAATATCGTACGCCAATTTTTTTAACTTCAGAGAACGCTAACGCTAAAAACCAGACGAGACGCTATTGCCGATTCCTGTTTGAATCCAAAGCTGCAAAGCATTTTTTTCCCCCGGTTGTTGCCGTCGTTGTTGTTCCTGTTGGTCAGAGATTCGTCTTGTTTTGCAGGTGGGTCTGTTGATGCTGGACGCGTAGCCACTTGCGATCGAAGCCTTCCCCGCAGTAGGAGCACTCGTGCGGCTTCTTCCCGGTGTGTAGGCATTCGTGGCGGACCAGGTCTGACCGCCAGCAGAACCCTCTCCCGCAAAAACAGCACTCGTAGCGTTTCTCCCCCGTGTGCCGTATACGGTGCCGGAAGAAACTCGCTATTCCGTTGAAATCTCTGCCGCATTCCTCGCAGTGCTTGATCTGGTCCTTCGGGGTCCCCGAAGCAGGAGGCGGCCGCTCTTTTGGCTTAGGTTTCACCTTGCGGGGAGTTGAAGAGAGCATTTCCACCTGGATGGGCAGGTGGCTCTTCCGAAGCCTTTCGGAATGACGGCGTGGCTGGACGACGATGTCTCTTCCTTGCCTCCAACGGCAGGAATTGGCTCTTCCAGGAAATACTGCTCGGAGTTTCACGTCTCCGAAATGTCCCCACTGGAGTTTTTTCTTCTTGCTCACATTGGTCTGCTTGTAACCTGCTGAAAGGAAGAGTAGAAATATACTCAGGGTAGACTTACAACAGTTCATTTAGTGACCGAAGTTACAACAGCAATGAAAAAAGTAATCCATGAGAGTTTTTCACACTTAACAACCGTCGCAGCATCCCCGTGATCAAAATTCAGCCGCTTGGCAACCGATTCATATTTATGACGGTGGCAGCGTCCTTTACTCATCTTTTGCGACTTTCTGACCAGCAAAATCAATGGGGAAGCCAGATTCATTCAACACCTCCGTTACTAACTTAACAAATGCAATGATTCACTTAACCGCTGTGGCAAGAAAGGTTGTAAAATGGGGCAAAAGTTCACTCAGCAACGGTCTCTCTTGGCAACAGAAATTTGGGGCTCAATTGTGGTTGTAGGTCGAGGACTACCTGCATCGAACACTGTGTTTCAACTTTTAAACAACCAAGGGTGTAGAGAAGGGTGTGAGAAAAACCTTGGGAGACAGGAGGCGGAATTGAAACTTAGTGTAACACAACCACGGCATCTTTAAACGTTGTGGACTTCGACGTCCAGAATTCCTCAGCCAGCCATGTTGGTTGGGGAACTCTGGGAGTTGAAGTCCACGCCTCTTCAAATTGCCAAGGTTGAGATACAATGGCCTAGACAATGGTCAGATAAAAGAACTCTTAGCCCACAGAAGAAATGGGTGTGTGGAAAGTGTTGCAGAAGGGACCCTCCCGAGTTCCCTGGAAAGTAAATATAGGGAGGGGAGAAGTGTTTTCAGACTTGCAAGTGTCCATAACCTTAAAATAACAAAATATTACAGTCGGAAGGGACCTTTGAGGTCTTCTAGTCCAACCTCCTGCTCAAGCAGACGGTCTACTATTTCAGACAAAGAGGACTTGTAATTTATTTATTTTATTTTATTTTTATTTTATTAGATTTCTATACCACCCTTCTCCCGAAGGACTCAGGGCGGTGAACAGCCAAAAGATAAAACACAGAAATACAAAATTTAAAATAGATTAAAACAGATTAAACAATTTGGCTAAATTTTAAAAATATCCCATAATTAAACAAATTAAAATTAGTGTTTAAAATTTGAATTTAAAAATTTTAAAAGGGAGATGATTTAGGCCAGGCCAGCTTGATGAAATAAAAACGTTTTAAGCGCGCAGTGGAAGGTGCGCAGATCCGGGATCCTCCGTATCTCCGGGGGGGAGCTCGTTCCAGATCGTAGGTGCCCCCACAGAGAAGGCTCTCCCCCTAGGGGCCGCCAGTCGACATTGTTTGGCCGACGGCACCCGGAGGAGCCCCTCTCTATGGGAGCGTACTGGCCGGTGGGAGGCTATTGGTGGTACCAGGCGGTCCCGTAGATAACCAGGTCCTAAGCCATGGAGCGCTTTAAAGGTGGTAACCAGAACCTTGAAGTGCATTCAGAAGACCACCGGGATCCAGTGCAGCTCGCGCAGGAGAGGTGTTACACGGGAGCTTCACGTTGCTCCCATAACCACCCGCGCGGCCGCACTCTGCGCCAGTTGGAGCCTCCGAGTGCACCTCAAGGGGAGCCCCATGTAGAGAGCGTTACAATAGTCCAGACGAGAGGTGACGAGGGCATGAGTGACCGTGTGTAGGGAGTCCCGATCTAGAAAGGGACGCAACTGGCGGATCAGGCGAACCTGATGAAAAATCCTCCCGGTCACGGCCGTCAAGTGTTCTTCTAGAGACAGCCGTGAATCCAGGAGGACGCCCAAGTTGCGAGCCCTTTCCGTGGGGCCAATGATTGAAAGCAAGCCTGATCTCCGTGCTTTCCGCCGTGCCCTCAAAACCCTGATGTTCCAACAAACGGGGCTAAACATATGAACATGTGAATGTTTTTAAAATGTTATCTAATTTTAGATTCTATTTAATTGGGCCAAACTATGTTATAATAATGATTTTAATTAGCAATTTTATGATATTTGTGTATCTATATTTTTCTTGACTGTACACCACCTTGAGTCCTACGGGAGAAAGGCGGTATAGAAATATAATAAATAAATAAATAAATAAAACTCATCTTTCCCTGAATTTTGAAAGAATTCCATTTAAGGTATTGAGTGTGCAACATTTTTAGGACCGATCTCTGTGGAATGTGTAAGGAATTGCATGAAGGATGCAGCTGGCTGTGATTAGGTCAGAAAGCAAGTGTGTCCAATACATATTTACATTTTTATAAATGCCATTGGCTATGTAAGGATTCCCAGGATTAGAACAGAACAGAACAGAACAAAATAGAATAAAAGGAGTGTTACTACTCATGGTTTTGATTTCCTGTCTAGACCACCTCAAAGGCCTGACAAAGGGTGAACTTCGAATCTGAAGTCCTGAACAGGAGGCCCTGACCAAGATTCCTCACCATTCACCCATACAATACACTAATTTTATGTATTTTCTTGTGCTGATAACAGGTCGTGTTCTCCATCAGATCATACCCGGCAGAAACAGAAAGCCGAAGTGTATACAGAATTTGATTTTAGGGAGCCAGCTAAAGTGACCTCCTCAAAATCTGGAATGTTTGCGCTGCTTTTTCTATCCCACTTTTACTCCATGGCTGTTTTCGAACGCAACTCGCAAAGCTGGCACCTAATTTTTTACTTACAGCACACATTAGCCCCAGCAACTTCCAGTCACTAGAGAGAAGGGGTGTCAAACTCAAAGCCTGGGGGGGCCGAATTCGGCCCGCGGGGTGCTTAGATCTGGTCCGTGGGGCCGCCGTGGAAATAGGAAAGGACTCGCCCGTGGTGCCTCTGCCAGCAAAAACGGAGCTTGGAAGACGTTTTCCCTGGCAGAGGGTTGCAGCCGAAAATGGAGCTCGGGAGCCCGTTTTCGCTGGCAGAGTTCTTGGGCCACCACAGGTGCCCCCGGCACAAGTGATGTCGAGCTGGCCACGCCCCCCTGCCCCCCCCCGACATCAAACACAACCCTGATGTGGCCCTCAATGAAATCGAGTTTGACACCCCTGCTATAGAGAGTTGATGATTGGAGGGGAGAAAAACCCCAACCTTCCTCTTCCAAGCAAATGGGACACCCCTATATTTAGACAGCAGGATAGTCATTGCTGCATTTTTAAAAAATAGTTATAAAAAGCTTCTTACCGGGATAAAGTTGTGGTGGTAGTGGCGGGATTTGCTGCTGTTGACTGTCTGTGTTGGTTGGGCTCTGCATTGATGCCATCTCTGGTTGCGCCTTTGGTTCTTCTGGCTCCTGAAACAAACAGAAGATTTTCAAGTAGCACAGTGTTATGGCCCGTCAGCGGCCTGTGCTGCTAGTAGCTGATTCCAACAGCGAGGAGGCTGGTGTGGTGCTGCGCCAGCAACCTGTACAGCTGGCACTCGAGTCAGACAATGAGGAGGCTGGAGAAGATGTGGTGCCAGAGGCGGGCATTCAGCCAGGGCCTTCAGAACCTCCAGAAGGTCCTATAAGTGAAGAGGAAGAAGAGGAGGAGCCTATTCTCGATGCACGGGCGCGCAGAGCTGTCAAAAGGCAGGAGTGGTTCCTCAGGAGGAGGTCTCCTCGAGAGTAAGGCTTGGGGTTAATTGGCCACTCTCTTAACCTATTTAAGGAAGGATGACGACTGAGGCAATTTGCAGGGAATAACTTGGTTCACTCTCCTTCGTGTCTTGATCTTAGTTCTCTTATCAGTTTCCTGCAAATTGCTTCTGGGCTTTCTGCCAACCATAGTAAGTTTATGATTATTTATTCTTTGGATTCTTGTAGGCTGTTAAGAAAGTTAATTAACAGCCTTTGTTTGAAAAAGACTGATTTAATTTAGTAAACTAAGGTTTGTACAGACTTTGTGTGTGCTGCGTTCTTTGGGGTCCGTAGCCCGGGCAGAACACACAGTGAGCTGTTAGTGGCATAGTGGATACAGTGCAGTATTGCTGAGCTAACTCTGCCCACTGCCAGGAGTTCGATCCTAACCGGCTCAAGGTTGACTCAGCCTTTCCATCCTTCCGAGGTGGGTAAAATGAGGACCCAGATCGTTGGGAGCAAGAGGCTGACTCTGTAAAACCGCTTAGAGAGGGCTATAAAGCACTGTGAAGCGGTATATAAGTCTAAATGCTATGGCTATGGAGCAGTATATAAGTCTTAAATGCTATTGCTGTATTAGAACCCAGTGGTGACAGTTCACAAAAATTCACACTGGGAAGTTTGCATATATAATATGATATCTCACTTCACAACAGGGGCAGAAATGAGGTCCAAAATCCATCATGGTCTTGCGATAGCACTTAGCAGCGTGGATTTGATTTAAATCAAGTCAATTTAAATCATTAATAAAAAGGCTCAATTTAAATCAACTCAATTTAAATCATAATTTTTAAAGAGCAACTGTCATCTCTGTCCCGCAGCGGCTCTTCCTCTAAACTGCTGTTGACTCACCGACAGTCCCAATATTGCAGAATATACAGCCTCATACTATATAATTAAGCTCCATTTCATGCTGAATAAACTAAATTATTAATGTATCTTAAATAGAAAAGTATCTTTAGATAAGATTTTTACTCCAAAAGCATTTTATTAAAATAAATTTGATAAAAATAAGAAAAAATCCGATTTAAATAAAAAAAAAAAATCCGATTTTTATCCACTCTGGCATTTAGACTTATATACCGCTTCACAGCCTTTTCTAAGCAGTTTACAAAGTCACCCTTTTGCCCCCAACAATCTGGGTCCTCATTTTACTAACCTCGGAAGGATGGAAGGCTGAGTCAATCTTGAGCCTGGTGAGATTCGAACTGCCAAATTGCAGGCAGCCAGCAGTCGGCAGAAGTAGCCTGCAGTCCTGCACTCTGATCACTGTGCCACCACGGCTCACTTAACAGGGTCATTAACCGATGTCTCACTTAATGACGCAACGGGGTTCCAGGTCACAATTGTCATTAAGCGAGGACTATCTGTACAGCATTTCCGCAACCCACCAGGGGAAAGGGGCTTTCCTCACCTGCTCTTCCCCCTTTTCGGCCGTTTGGAGCCGTCTCAGAAACTCCTCGGCCAGACCAACAGCTTCCAGGCACGTGTCCGGAGTACGTTCCTTGACCCAGTTTTGCATTTCCCGCGGCAGGATGTTCAGGAACTGTTCCAGAAGCAGGAGTTCCAGAATCTGCTCCTTGCTGCTCCTTTCGGCCCGCAGCCACTGACAGAAGAGCTCCTGGAGCCGGGCAAGGACTTGCCGCGGGCCCTCGGCTTCTTGAAAGCAGAACCGGCGGAACTCTTGACGTTGCTTCTCCCTGAAGGCGGCCTCTCGGTGTAGGATGGCCGACTTCACCTTCCAGTAGTCTTCCCGATCCTCGGCGGACAGGGCGATGAAAGCCTTCTCGGCCTCCTCGCTGAGAGCTGGCAGCAGCCGCGTCACCCACTCTTTTCTCGGCCAGCGGCAAGCCACGGCGACTTTCTCGAAGGAGGCCAGGAAGGCCCGAGGATCCTCCCAAGGGGTCAGATCATCCAGCAGCTGCTTCTCGAAAACGGTGTCCTTCAGGAACTCCTGGAACTGCGTTTCCCACAGATTATGCATGCTCTGGTCCTCTTGCTGGTGGGGCATTTCCAAGAATCCCCCCATCCCTCCAGCTTGGGGGGCGAGAGAGGGCTGGGGGCCCACTCCTAAGCCCAGCTTGGATTGCAAACTTGCGGTGTCGTCCCGTAGCCCTCCTTTCTTGGCCAGCTCCATCTTGTTTTCCGGCCCATGCCGGAGGCCTCGTTTCTTTCGCAGCTTTGCTCTTCCCATTTAGCCAAAGTTAGGCCCGCCTCGCACTACCCTTGCAAAAAGCCGTTTAAAATGGCGACCACCGAAACGCCAGAAGTACAGACGCAGCGAAGAATTTCTATTCTGGCTGCCTCACAAAGATCTGGAGGGTTTTGTGGCAGAGAAGCAAGCTTCCAGGCAGCTAAAGAAAAGAAAGAAAGAAAGAAATTGCAATTATCGCTTGCAGATTTTTGAGGGATGTGGAAAAACACTTGCAAAGAAATCACGAAGTTCAGTTTGGGAAGCAAAGGACTCTCGTTTTGCTCTCTGAAGAAAAAAGCAATAGGATTCACACGGGGATCGAAATGAAGGTGTTTCATGGAGCCAATTGAATGAAACTCCACAGGAAATTTGAATACAGGTAGTCCTCGACTTACAACAGTTCATTTAGTGACCATTCCAAGTTACACTGGTATTGAAAAAAGTGACACGTGATCGTTTTTCACACACACCATTGCAGCATCCTCATGAACATGTGATCAAAATTGGCAATTTATGGTTCATACTTATGACCATTGCAGTTTCCCCGGGGTCATGTGATCCCCGTTTGCGACCTTCTGACAAGCAAAAGTCAATGGGGAAGCCAGATTCACTTAACAACTGGGTTACTAACTCAACGACTGCAGTGATTCACTTAACGCGCCAGAAAGGTCATAAAACAGGGCAAAACTTACTTCACAAACGACTCACTTAGCAACATAAATGTTGGGCTCAATTGTGGTTGTAAGTCAAGGACTGCCTGTATAGTTTTTACCAGAGTTAGGCTGTGAGACTTTATTCACCCTTCACATAAAGCTTCGATTTGCAATTATCACAATTATTAAATAAAACCACGTTAAGCCAAAACCAAACAACAAATGCACATTATGGATTAGTGCAGTTTTTCTCAACCTTGGCACCTTTTAAGATGTGTGGACTTCAAATCCCAGAATTCCCCAGCTGGCTGAGGAATTCTGGGAGCTGAAGTCCACCTGTGTTAACATTGTCAAGGTTGGGAAACACTAGTTTAGGTTACTGCCTAAGGAGCCACCCCTTGCTCGGTGCAGGAACACACTACCACAATACAGGTAGTCCTCGAGTTATGTCCACAATTGAGCCCCAAATTTCTGTTGTTAAGCAAGACATTTCTTAAGTGAGTTTTGCCCCATTTTATGACACTTCTTGCCACAAATTGTTCAGTGAATCACTGCAGTTGATAAGTTTGTACCAAGGTTACTAAATGAATTTGGTTTCCCCACTGATTTTGCTGATCAAAAGGTGATCACATGACCTTGGGAGACAGCAACGGTCATAAGTGGAGGGCCTTCTCTGTGGGGGCACCTACCCTCTGGAATCAGCTGCCCTCAGAGATAAGGAGAATCCAAGACCTCGGTGCCTTCCGCCGTGCCCTTAAAACCTTCTTTTTCCAGCAAGCCAGGCTGGCCTAACACTTTTTAAAATGTTTTTAATTGTTTGTTATTGTTTTTAATCATGGGGCCAAATTTATATACATCTTTTTAATTGTATTTTAATGTTTGTAGTTTATGTCTTTACCTGGCTGTTCACTGCCCTGAGTCCTCAGGGAGAAGGGTGGTATACAAATTTAAAAATAAATAAATAAAATAAATAAGTATGAACCAGTTGCCAAGCATCTGAATTTTGATCATGGGCCTGCTACAAAGATCTTAAGTGTGAAAAACCGTCCTAAGTCACTTTTTCAGTGATGTTGTAACTTTGGTCACAAAATGAACTGTCGTAACTTGAGGGCTACCTGTAATTGTATTATTTATTAAAATGTGCTGTATTTAACTCTTAATTTCATTTTATGCACCCAAGTGGTTGGAAGGAGGCTTCTCAAAACCGTGAGACGGATATGTAATCTTGCTCCTCAGTTTGATCCTCCAAGTTAAAAGGAATTTCATTAGAAGCCAGAATCAAAAATATTATTTTTTTAAATGCCCAACCTATTTGGGGTAGTTTCCTCCTTTTTTTTTTTAAAGTAAAGGATCATTTTTTTTCAGCTCCAAGGAAGGAGGATGGACTGAAGTGGGCATTTATCTTCTCTTGAACTCCAAATCAGTTCCAGGATTAGCATTTCAACAGCTTCCCTGAGGCTCCACTACCACCAGGTGCAGCTAATCCATTTGTAAATTATTTGTATTCCTTGAAGACCCAAGAAAACCAGATAATGAAGATGGGAAGTGTTTAGCAAGACAAAAGGTTGTCTTCCCCTTTTTAAATGGGTTTAGATTGGCAAGAGGTCAGCCACAGGGGGCAGGGTGTGTTTATCAGAATAACTGAGTTGGAAGGGACCTTAGAGGTCTTCTAGTCCAACCCCCTGCTCAGGCAGGTGACCTTATACAAACAATTTAGGGGATATCTTTTTTTTTTTTTAATTGAAAAGTTTTACAAAAAGTTTACATATTTCCCCCCCCTTCCCTACCTCAACCTCCCCCCTCCCCCCCTCCCCTTCCCAGAACAAATTACAGGGTATAAACTTCAACAATCATAATCAATCCTAATCTAAACAATTATGACATTTCACATCTCTTGTTTCTTCAATTCCCTAATTACCCGCCTAGCTTTATTACTTAAAGACACACTAAATATCTATATAATCATTCATAACCTATCTGCAATTTCTTATTCCGATATTTATTTTGAATATAATCTATCCACCTTCTCCAATCTCTTAAATATCTTTCATTTGAATGATCCTTCAGGTACGCCCAGATTTTTGCCATTTCCGCTAGATTTATAACTTTCATAGGGGATATCTTTATCAGGTCATTTGAACATTTATAATACTTTGCAGGAACCTGGCTCTAAATCTTTCAAATCCATCTGCAAAAAAAGTGCTGCCCCCCCTCCCAATTTAAGAGCAGAGGACATATTAAACACATAAATTATTTGCCAGAAAAGATCATGATATTATTATTATCATTATTACTAATAATATATATATTATATAGATATAGATATATATGCCGCCCTATCTCCAGCCGGACTCAGGGCGGCTCACAACAGCAAAAGACATCTAATGAAAAAGTTAAAAAGAAATTAAATCCAAATCTCCTAATTTAAGAGTTAAAAGTGCAATTAAGACTAACAAGTTAAAAATTAAAACCCCATCTAATAATTCAATACAGCGTTATAAACCATCCATTAGTTGGATTTTATAAGCATACCCAAGTCACAGGTTTCCAACGATTAAAGCTTACCATCGACAATAAACTTGACGATCTAATCACGGTTTAAACTAATTGGTGGTTAACACTAAGCCACTAATAAACCTTTGCCTGTTCTCTTTTTAGCCCACCACCTCTTCCAAACCCAGCCGGCCTGGCTGACCCAACTTTCCAGCCCCAGGAAATGGAGTTAATGAAGAATAAAGCACGTGTAAAACCCAGCCAGGCCCAAATCTCACACTCGGTAAGCGCCGCCAGCGCGTATTAAACAGGCAGCGGAGGCCTATGGAACTCCTTGCCACGTGATCCTGTGAATGAGACACAGGAAAGGAAATTTTAAAAATAAGGGGGGGGGGGGGAATTGGGGGAAAATATATTTATTTTTGGATGGAGCATGGAAGCCGAATACGAAAGGCCCTAATCCAATCAGATTGGGGGGGGGGCAGTTTTTAATGCCTTTTACTATTATTTCTTGCAAACGTCTAGGAATTTCATTGGCGCCTTATTTCAATCTTGATTGATTTATTAAATTTATATGCCGCCCGCCTCGCTATTCAAAGCGATGCTTTTTTTTCTTCTTCCCCATCCTCAGCCATTTTCTAACCCAGTTTTCCACGCGTGAAATCCCAGATCGTGGCACCGGGGGAGTGGGGAGGCGGACAATCCGGCCACGCTCGCAGGGGGAAAAAAAAAAGGGAAAAGTTCCTTTTTTTAAAAAAAAGATAAGACTGCCCCTGTACCCACGGAAGGGATTTTATATTGCCATGCTTCTTCTTCCTTGCCGGGATATGGGATGTTGGGTCTATCAACGGAAAGGACCTGCAAAAGCAAGCGAGGAATCATAACGCATCCAAAGAAGCGGGTGGCGGTGAGTTCCGCAAGCTTTAAACTCCCGCGCCCCTCCCAAGCCCAGAGAAATAGCTAATGATGATGATCAATTCGCTGCAAACCATGTTGCTCCCCAAAAACTCACCCCGGATCCCGCTTTGAGTGGGAAGGAAAACAGGGCTGCGCCGGCGTCTTCGTCTTTTTTTTTTTTCTTTTTTTGCACGATGCCGGATCTGGGTGCGAATCTAGCCCTGCCCCTCTTAAACTTTTGCAAGACCCCTCCCCTCCTTCTCTGGCCCCGCCCCCTTTGGAGTTGGGGGTGGGGGTGAAATGTAGACCTGGTTCAAGGTGAGATACCGGTAGGAGCTTTTCGAGAGGTGGGAAAAGCTAAATTTAGTAAAATCCTTAAAAGGGGTTGGGGACGCCATTCACATGTTAATGGGGAAAAGAGCGGGAGAAAAGATTTGGGGAAATAGGTTTGGGAAATTGTCCTCTGCGAGACAGGTCCTGATTGATTGATTGATTGATTGATTGATTGATTGATTGATTGATTGATTTGGGCTCCGTTTTTCCTCTGCCAGCTCTAGACACTAGATAGGTTTGGTAGAAAGAAGGTAGCTGGGTCAAAATCTACCCCAAATCCTGGCTCCATGCTAGTATTTCTCAGGGTCAAGAACCCATCATCCCCAGGAATAGATGCATGTCAGGCTAAGGCTGATATCCATTCCAGAGTTCCACCTGCATTATAAGCAGGTGAATGACCGCTTAACCAGGATCACATTGGGGTGGCTTGCTAAAACATATTACATCCTAAACCATGGTTTACAAACCAGTGATCATACCCATGGAGCAGTGTTTCTCAAGGTCGGCTGGCTGGGGAATTCTGGGAAATGAAGTCCACCTAGTTTAAACTTGTTGACCCTGAGAAATACTAGCATGGCTGGCTGGGGAATTCTGGGAAATGAAGCCCACCCAGCTTAAATTTCTTGACCCTGAGAAATACTAGCATGGAAGTAACACAAGCCAGGTCTTTGGGTGGATTTTGAGCCAGCCACCCTGTTTGTACCAAACTTATCTAGTAGTCTAGAGCTGGCAGAGAAAAACCGAACAATCAATCAATCAATCAATCAATTAAATGGCTGGCTGGCTGAGGAATTCTGGGAAATGAAGTCCACACAGCTTAAATTTGTTGACCCCTGAGAAACACTGCTCCATGCATCGATGGGTATGATCACTGGTTTGTAAATCATGGTTTAAGGATGTAATATGTTTTTGCAAGCCAACTCAATGTGATCATGGTTAAGCGGTCATTAACTGCTTAATGACTGCTTAATTGCACTCACAATTTCTGGAGGCAAGTCATTCTGTGAAATAGAATAGAATAGAATAGAATAGAATAGAATAAAATAGAATAGAATAGAATAGAATAGAATAGAATAGAATAGAATAGAATAGAATAGAATAGAATAGAATAGAATAGAATAGAATAGAATAGAATAGAATAACAAGAGTTGGAAGGGACCTTGGAGGTCTTCTAGTCCAACCCCCTGCCCAGGCAGGAAACCCTACACCACTTCAGACAAATGGTTATCCAACATCTTCTTAAAAATTTCCGGTGTTGGGGCATTCACAACTTCTGGAGGCAAGTTGTTCCACTGATTAATTGTTCTAACTGTCAGGAAATTTCTCCTTAGTTCTAAGTTGCTTCTTTCCTTGATTAGTTTCCACCCATCGCTTCTTGTCCTGCCCTCAGGTGCTTTGGAGAATAGCGTGACTCCCTCTTCTTTGTGGCAACCCCTGAGATATTGGAACACTGCTATCATGTCTCCCCTAGTTCTTCTCGTCATTAAACTAGACATACCCAGTTCCTGCAACCGTTCTTCATATGTTTTAGCCTCCAGTCCCCTAATCATCTTTATTGCTCTTCTCTGCACTCTTTCTAGAGTCTCTACATCTTTTTTTACATCGTGGCAACTAAAACTGAATGCACTATTCCAAGTGTGGCCTTATCAAGGCATTATAAAGTGGTATTAACACTTCACGTGTTACTGCTTAATTGTTCTCACCTTCAAGAAATTCCTGCTTAATTCCAGGTTGCTTCTCTCCTTGGTAAGTTTCCATCCATTGTTTCTTGTCTTGCCTTCTGGGGCTTTGGGGGAAATAGTTTGATCTCCTCATCTTTGTGGCAGCCCCTCAAATATTGGAACACTGCAAGAGAAGATGACCAACAGTGAAGGGGATGGACTCGGTTATACGGGTGATGGGGGCACCAATTATCATTAAAAATGTAAATTATAAAATCTGCCAACCTTCAAGATGCCTCAAACTTTTCTTTTTAGTGAGACACTTGTCTTGCAAACTGGCTGACTAACTAAGTGCCATCAGGTTGGTGTTGACTCTTAGCAACCACACAGGCGGCTTTCCTCCATGATCTTCTATAACAATCTGGTCCTTCCATTCTTCCGATGGTGCCCTCATCACTACTGTAACCGAATCCCTTGTGGCTGACCTTCCTCTTCTCTTACCTTCCACCTTTCCCAGCCTTGCCTTATGGACCCCTGAATAGAATAGGATCATCTGAGCCTTCGTCCTTTGTGCCTCAAAGAAGAATTCTAGTGTGAGAGAGAAGGGTATGTGTTTTTTACTCCAAAGTGGAAGCTTAGATTATTCCTTTTACTTACAACTAGCTGGATACCTGTGCAATCCCTCAGGCTTGCTTCACAGAAGCCTCTCCTCTCCTATTCCCCCCCCCCTTTTTTAAATTTGATTTATATGCCACCCTTCTCCGGAGACTCAGGGCAGCTTACAATGCGTTAAGCAATAGCCTTCATACTTTTGTATATATTTATACAAAGTCAGCTTATTGCCCCCACAATCTGGGTCCTCATTTTACCTACCTTTGAAAGGATGGAAGGCTGAGTCAACCTTGAGCCTGGTGAGATTTGAACTTGCAGTAATTGCAGGCAGCTGATGTTAATAACAGTGCTTTAGTCTGCTGCACCACCAGGGCTCTTTCCCTCAGGCTGGCCCCAGTGATCCTCTCCTATCTCCTTCTCTCCCTCAGGCTTGCCCTACAGAGGCTTCTCCTATTTTATCCCCTTCTCTCCCTTTCAGGTGGGGAGTAGAATGTCTAAACTCCCAGCCCGCAGGCCGGATGAGCCATGCGCTGGCCACGCCCAAGTGGCAGTTGGAACAGAGTTCTTTTCAGGTGGGGAGGGGGAGTAGAATGTCTAACTCCTTAGCATCAGTACGTGTTAATAATAATATAAGAAATACTAATGATCTGATGGTCATTTTGAAAAATCCTTTCTTAACCAGCACCTAGAAGCCAAGAAGAAAATATGTGCCAAATTTCAAATTTGTAGGCTTTACGGTTCTGGAGATTTCGTGATGATGTGTGAGTGGTATTTTGCTTTTATATATATAGATTAATCTTTGGAACGGCTTGCCTCCAGAAGTTGTGGATGCTCCATCACTAGAAGGTTTTAAGAAAAGACTGGACAGCCATTTGCCTGTAATGGTATAGGGTTTCTTGCATGAGCAGGGGGTTGGACTAGAGGACCTCTAAGGTCCCTTCCAACTCTATTATTCTGTAATACTCTGAGGTAATTCAGCAGAAGCTCCTAATCCATTTTTTTTTAATAATAGTAAAAACATGGAGGTGCAGGGGAAGCATTTCTCTAAGCCCAAATACCTGTTTTTCTTGATCCAGGATGCCTTACAGAAACTGGCTGAAATTCTCCTTCAAATGTTTTGTTTAATATATTTGTGTATTAAATGCGTGCACCATTTTACTCTCAGCCACTCTGCATGATTCTCGAAGTCAAAATACAGAAAAATAACAATAAAGCAAGGAACACAACAATAGACAAGGAACCATTGGTTACATACAATATATATCCACACTACCCAGAAGGAACTTCCACGCTGCTAATAAAAAAAAATTATTTTCAGTTGCTGCAAACTCTTATTTTTAACTAGATCATTTGTAGTATGATAATGTCAAGGCTCCGACTAACAAACCCAAGCACTTCTTCGGTTTGAAGTTGACAGATAATTGGCATTCATTTTGCTTATAGCGAAACCAACCTTCTGCATCCTGATTTCAGTCGTCATTTTTCCCAACCAGAAGGCAGGGCAAGACTCCTTTCTAAAAATGGGCAATCACATTCTCTGCACTGGTATTTTTATACCCTCCCTGCTATTTCTGTATTCCCAAAGTAACTGCTATTTCCTGCTCATGTTTATATATATATAAAAAATCACCAGTCTGATTTGTTTGTTTTGGATGCTTATTTTAAACAATGTGTTAAGATCCTAGACAATTTTGGCATCCTCCTTACAACATATGTATGTATGTAATGCAACAACCAAAAAAGCAATTATTCTTCCTGTATGCAAAAGACTTCAGTCAGGTTCATTCTGATTCAGCAAAAACTCTTGTGTTCTTTTTCCATAAAATGTGAAAAAGCACCAGTTCAAAAAAAGGTTGGTTCAGAGAGAAAGAAAGAGGTGGGGGGGAAGGAGAGAGGAGGGGGGGAGAGAGGGAGAGAGAGAGCGGCCTTGCTTTCATATTTTCAGAGCTGCACGCAACCTCCGTAATTATTCTTCTTCTTCTTCTTCTTCTTCTTCTTCTTCTTCTTCTTCTTCTTTCTTCTTCTTCTTCTTCTTCTTCTTCTTCTTCTTCTCTTCTTCTTCTTCTTCTTCTTCTTCTTCTTCTTCTTCTTCTTCTTCTCCTTCTCCTTCTCCTTCTCCTTCTCCTTCTCCTTCTTCATCAAAATAGAACTGGAAGGGACCTTGGAAATGTTCTAGTCCAGCTCCCTGCTCAAGCAGGAGATCCTATATACCCATGATGGCGAACCTATGGCACGGGTGCCACAGGTGGCACACGGAGCCATATCTGTGGGCACGCAAGCGTTGCTCTACCTCAGTCCAGCACACATGTGCGTGCTGGCCAGCTGATTTTCGGGTCTTCCAGGTCCACTGGAAGTCAGGAAACGGGCTGTTTCCAGGCCTCCGGAGGGCCTCCGGGGTGGGAGAAAGGCTGTTTTCGCCTTCCCAAGGCTCCTAGAAAGGCTCTGGAGCCTGGGGAGGGCAAAAAAATGGGCCTACTGGGCCCACTGTGCCATTGCGTGCCAAAAGCGGGGGGAGAGTGGGGAGGGTCATGCGTGCATGCGGGGGGGGGATGGGGTGCATTGAGTTATGGGTGTGGGCACGCGCGCATGGAATCCCCCTCCCATTACCCCCGCTTTTGCCACGCGATGGCAAAAAGGTTAGCCATCACTGCTATATACCATTTCAGACAAGGGATTGTCCAGTCTCTCTTTAAAGACCTCCAGTGATGAAGCACCCACAACTTCTGAAAGCAAAGCTGTTCCACAGGTTAATTGTCCTCACTGTCAGGAAGTTTCTTCTTAATTCCAGGTTGCTTCTCTCCTTGATCAGTTTCCATCCATTGTTCCTTATCCTGCCCTCAGGTGCTTTGGAAAATAAGTTGACCCCCTCCTCTTTGTGGCAGCCTCTCAAATACTGGAAGACTGCTATCATGTCCTCCCTAGTCCTTCTTTTCTCTAGACTAGCCCAACCCAATTCTTGCAACCGCTCTTCATATGTTTTAGTCCCCAGGCCTTTAATCATCTTAGTTGCTCTTCTTTGCACTTTTTCCAAAGCCTCAACATCTTTTTTGTAATCTGGTGACCAAAAGTGGATGCAGTATTCCAGATGTGGCCTTACTAGGGATTTATAAAGTGGTAATAATAGACTAGAATAGCATAACAGAGTTGGAAGGGACCTTGGAGGTCTTCTAATCCAACCCACTGCTTAGGCAGGAAACTCTCTACCACTTCAGACAAATGATTGTCCAATCTCTTCTCAAAAACTTCCAGTGTTGGAGCATTCACAACTTCTGGAGGCAAGTTGTTCCCACTGATTAATTGTTCTCCCTGTGTGCATAAATGCACCAGAGTGCCTACCGTCCCTGTCCTAATATTCCTTTCTACTTACTCTTTTCATGTATTCAAATTATGTTTATACTTTTACGTGTTATCTTATGTATGCTTGACAAATAAACTTATGATTATGATTGTTCTCCACCCATTGCTTCTTTTCCTGCCCTCAGGTGCTTTGGAGAGCAGCTTGACTCCCTCTTCTTTGGGGCAGCCCCTGAGATACTGGAACACTGCTATCATGTCTCCCTTAGTCCTTTTCTTCATCAAACTAAATATACCCAGTTCCTGCAACCGTTCTTCATATGTTTTAGCTTCCAATCCCCTCATCATCTTTGTTGCTAATACTTCAGGTGATTTTGATTCTATGCAACCAAATTTATTTTTGATTTATACAACCAAAGATTGCATTAGTTTTTGTTTTTTTTTGGCTGCTGCCTGCTCATGTTTAAGTGATTGTCCACTACGACCCCTTTCCCAGCCTAAACCAGGAGCCTGGTGGCGCAGTAGACTAAGCTACTTGTTAAAGTAGTATTTAGCTGCCAGCTGCCTGTAATTACTGCGAGTTCAATTCTCACCAGGCTCAAGGTTGACTCAGCCTTCCATCCTTCCGAGGTAGGTAAAATGAGGACCCGGTTTGTGGGGGCAATAAGCTGACTTTGTATAAAATAGAACACTGCTTGGGGGGGCCCCAAAAGCCCCACTAAGCAGGTATATACAAAAGGTATGAAGGCTATTGCTTACCGCATTGTAAGCCGCCCTGAGTCTCCGGAAAAGGGCGGCATATAAATCAAACCAATAAATAAATAAATAAATTTTAATTGTTGCCATTCACATTTCATTCTGTCCCTCCTTCTGTACCCTTTTTTTAATGATTCTATTCCACCATTTCTTTGATATTAGTGTAACTCTTTGTCCTACAACAAGCTGGCTGTGGCAAGTTGCCCCACAGCGAGTTGTCCCACAGCAAAGTTGGCTGTAGCGAGTTGGCCACAGCAAATTTTCATAGACCCCCTATGAACTAGCTTGCTAAGAATTCGGGGAGTTAAACTTCCACATCTAAAGAGTGCCCAAGTTGTGGAAAGCTGACTTTGTATAAAAAAGAACTCCGCTTAGGGGGGGGGCGCAAAGCCCTACTAAGCAGGTCTATACAAAAAGTATGAAGGCTATTGCTTAAAAAGCATTGTAAGCCGCCCTGAGTCTCCAGAGAAGGGCGGCATATAAATCAAACAGATAGATAGATAGATAGATAGATAGATAGATAGATAGATAGATAGATAGATAGATAGATAGATGATAGATAGATAGATAGACCATTTGCCCCTGAACAACCACCCTGTAAGGTAGGTTGAGCTGAAAAAGAGAGTTAGAAAAGCCTATGGCTGATTCTCAAACCATCCAGGGCTGCCCCTTGGGTCTCCCCTCCTTTTGGTTCAACCCAATCCCCACGACCCTTCCCTAGGCGTTGCCAGAGGCAAATCTCCCCCCCCCCCCCACATCCCCATCATCCCAGGTTGCACCAGCCCCTGGAGGGCTTTGCAGAGCTGCGGGGATACCAGCCGAAGGGTTAATCCGATAGAGTGGCCGGCTGCTAGAGCGGCCATCCCTGCTCTTGGCGGGTGTGTGTGTGTGTGTGTGTGTTGGGGGGGGGATCCCTGGCAAGGAGCAGCCCCCTCCCTCCCTCCCTTTTCCGCCTTCACCCTCCATTCCTGCAGCTCCTTTGCAGAGAGCGCTTCTTCGGGATTTCGCCTTTGCAATTGCGCGGGGCGGAGGCATTGAGGGGGGGGGTGCAAGACGACCCGCTGCCCAAGTGAGTGAAAAATCCCCCCCACCCTCCCCAAAAGCGCAGAAACGGGGGTGCAAGATTGCTCCGCGGGGCTGAGAAGGCGTCGATCAAAAAAAAGCCCTTTTTTGGGGAGGGGGGGAAGACCTTGCTGCAAAGCGACTCCCCCCCCCACACCCCATAGCAGGTGGGCCAAGCTCAGCCCCCCCCCCCCGCCACTCCACTCCCCGCTGGAGAAAGGCTTGCAAAAGGGCTGGCCCGGTTCCAACTTGTCTTCGGGGAAAGGCTTGGATCCCGATCCCATGGTGCTCAGCCGGCTGGGGAGGATGGGGGTTGGAATCGCATCCCGCTCGGAAGCCCCCCCTCCCCTGCTCTGGGGGAGGATTGTGCTAAAGAGGGGAGAGTGATGTTTTCGGCCAAATGTTTTGGAGCCCAACAAAATTGGGTTTGTTTGCAGAAGATGCTGATCTGATATATATATATATATATATCAATAACAGAGTCGGAAGGGACCTTGGAGGTCATTTAGTCCAACCCCCTGCTCACGCAGGAGACCTATACTAGGGATTCGAACCTCCGAACTGCCGAATTTTCTGATAGACAAGCTCAGTGTCTTAGCCACTGAGCCACCTAGATAGATGGTTAATGGAACTATCGTTTGTTGACCATTGTTTCTCAACCTTGGCCAAGGTTGAGAAACAATGATTTAGATCAGGGGTCATCAACCTTTCGGATCTCAGGGACCACTGAATTCATAATTTTAAATCCCGCGGACCACTAATATGAATTTTTTTAAACGATAAATAGTATTTAGTGCAATATAAAAAAATGCAAATCATTTTTCTGCAGACCACCAAAATTTTATCGTGGACCACCAGTGGTTCACAGACCACTGGTTGGTGACCACTGATTTAGATTATCATTGATTTATTCCATTATTTTTGTTGACATCTAGGGAGAAGGCTGTACCCCATTGGCAGCACTGGTGCGAATCTTGGAAACGTTTGTCCTCCACCGTCCCAAAAGGACTCCCTGGTGGACATCAAGGAAGGAACCCCAGTTTGGGCCTGAGATGGGATAAGAACCCCTCCCATGGCCTCCAGCAAAGCGATCCGGAAAGAAAGGGGGGCTCCCTCGTCCCTGCACCTCCCAATCCAGGCTGCTCAAGGAAAGAGAGTCAAAATGGAGGAGAAGGAAACGGCCTGTGCCAAGCTGGCCGAGCGAGTCCAGAAGGAATCCTGCGTCATCCAGGCTGGTGGCCCCACGGAAATACCGAGACGGGGGTCCCCACTGCAGATCAAGCAGGAACCGGACGAGGGCCTGGCCCAGCGCTGGGAAGCCCAGTGGCAGAATTTCTTGAAGATGGTGCAGGCCCCGCATCCTGGTTGGGGCTCGCCTCCGTTGCCAGAACTGGTGGCTTTTAGCGACTCCAAACGGATCCAACCCACTGGCGGGACGACTCCGCAGGTCTTTGGCTGGAAAGTGAAGGAGGAAGTCTGCGAGGAAGAGATGGGGAACACGGAGGCCCAGAGGCAGCTGTTCCGGCATTTTTGCTACCAGGATGCCGAAGGACCCCGCGAAGTCTGCAGCCGTCTCCGGGAGCTCTGCCACCGGTGGCTGAAGCCGGAGAGGCACACCAAGGAGCAGATCCTGGAGACTCTGGTGCTGGAGCAGTTCCTGGTCATTCTGCCCCCGGAGATACAAGGCTCCGTCAGGGACCGGGGACCGGAGAGTTGTGCCCAGGCAGTGGCCCTTGCTGAGGGCTTCCTCCTAAGGCAGAAGGAGGCCCAGTTGGTGAGCGTTGGCCCTATCTTCTGTTTCCCATCTTGTCTTGGTGGATTGGCCTATAGAGCTTGTGTCGGCCTCCTGTAGTTATGATGGGCTGTTTAAGGAACATTGAACTGTGCCCTGAGTCAGGGGCATTGTCACTGCCCCCCCGCAAAAGCTGAGGCTAGCCCCCAGAAGCCCATCAAAAATGCTTAGCAATTTGATATATTTTTTGTGTCTTTCAGTCAGTCTTCACTCCTGGCGACCTCACAGACAATCCCCTGTAGTTTTCTTGGCTAGATTTTTTTTGGAAGTGAATTTTCCTTGCCTGTTTTCTAGGACCGAGAGCGACTTGCCCCCCTGGACGTTCAGCTGGCTTCATACCTAAAACAGGATTAGAACTCAGGATCTCTTCATTCGTAGCTCAGGGTACTACACCAAACTGACTGTCTAGCTGGCACAGTGTTGTTCTCAGCTTTGGCTGGGTGGACTTTAATGTCAGGATTCCAACTAACATACCCACAGCAAGCAAAACTCCGAGGCAGGTAGATTCCTCAAAGAATAGCTTTATTGGATATGCCATATTAGCCCAGGCTGGTGAAAACCGACTCCCACAGTTTTCACCTAATTAAAAGTAGAAGTTTTTCACTTTCTCAAAACAATCGGTCACATGGTCCAATCAGGACACAGTCCAGTTGCTAGGTGACCTCAGTCCCCTCCTTCCAAGCACCTGCTGGAACGTCCTTGGTTCCCAAGAGAAAGTGTTTTTGTTTTGGCTACAAACCCCCAGCTATCTCTACTTCCCCCTCCCTATCCCTTAGTCCCAGTTGTGGCAACCCTGAAGCCTCAAAATGGCCTCAGGTCAGCTTCAGGGTTGACTGGCAGCCCCTCCTTAACTGAAAAGGACCTCCTACAGAAAGAAGAAACCAAAGTGAGGTTAGTCACAATTCAACCTAATCCCTGGTCCCCCCCCCTTCCCCCCAGGCTTCTGGGGATAGATGTCATGAAGTTGCTTATTGATTGATTGATTTGATTTATATGCTGCCCTTCTCCGGAGACTCAGGGAGCCTTACAGTGCGTTAAGCAATAACCTTCATATGTTTGTATATACCTGCTTAGTAGGGCTTTTGGGCCCCCCCCAAGCAGTGTTTTTTTTTTATACAAAGTCAGCTTATTGCCCCCACAATCTGGGTCCTCATTTTACCTACCTCGGAAGGATGGAAGGCTGAGTCAACTTTGAGCCTGGTGAGAATTGAACTCGCAGTAATTGCAGGCAGCTGGCAGCTAAGTGCTATTTAACAGCACTTTAGTCCGCTGAGCCACCAAGGCTTAACTAACCTATCGGCCTTCACATCCCAACTCCTGACCCAAGTGGCCTCAGAAAGTGGGTACCCCTTCCAGTGGACAAAGTACTGTAATTGACCCCTCCCTATACAGCCTAGAGTCTTAATTTTTTCCACTTCAACTCCCAGAATTCCCCAGCCAGCCATGCTGAATTCTGGGAGTTGAAATCCACACATCTTAAGAGTTGCCAGGTGGAGAAACACTGGTCTAGCAAATTGTTGGTGGGAATCTGTAAATAAATAAATACAAGATGGTGCATGTATTTAATTGAATTCAAATTGTATGTGAAATGATGTCAGATTTAGGTTTCATCCTGGCTACTCCCGTTTTCCAGAGCCATTAATAGAACAAATGGAGCCCTTAGTTTGGAAAAAGGTGGGCAGAAAAGTTTGATCTTTTTTTTAAAGCTTTACGATTTTGCTTCCCAAGAAACTGTTGTGAACGGGTGCTATTCGGATAACTCCGACTACAACTCCCATCAATGCCACACTTTGGTGGCCACTGTTGGCTGTGGCTGATGAGAATTGTAGTGCAACACATTTCAAGGGCATTACGGTAGTAAGGAAGAGCTGATTTCATAACCTGTAATTACCCAGAATAGGGACGCAGTGGCTAAGATGCTGAGCTTGTCGATTGAAAGGTCGGCAGTTCAGTGGTTCGAATCCTTGGTGCTGCGTAACAGGGTGAGCTCCTGTTACTTGTCCCAGCTTCTGCCAACCTAGCAGTTCGAAAGCACGTAAAAAATGCAAGTAGAAAAATAGGGACCACCTTTGATGGGAAGGTAACAGCGTTCCGTGCGCCTTTGGCGTTTAGTCATGCCAACCACATGACCACGGAGACATCTTCAGACAGCGCTGGCTCTTTGGCTTTGAAACGGAGATGAGCACAGCCTCCTAAAGTCAGGAACAACTAGCACATATGTGCGAGGAGAACCTTTATTTTACCTTAATTCCCAGAAAAAAGTTTTTTGACGCAAATGCTCTCGTTATTACAGCCAATAAGAACATATTTGAACCAGGCTTCACATGAATATCAATACTTTAATATGAATTTCATCTATCACGCTGTTAGCAATTTGATTCAGGGCAGCATTGCACATTTGAAGATCCTAAATGTTTTTAAATGGCTTGGGACCAGGTGTTCTGTCTCAGCTACGGACCGCAAAGAACACAGCACATACAAAGTCTGTACCAAACTTAAATTTACTAAAATAACTCAGTCTCTTCCAAACAAAGGCTGTTAATAAACTTTCTTAACCTTAGTCTACAAGAAACCAAAGATAAAGTAATCACAATCTTACTAAGGTTGGCAGAAAGCCCAGAAGCAATTTTGCAGAGAATCCAGACGCGAAGGAAAATGAACTAAAGTTGTTCCCTACAAATTGCTTCAGTCGGCGTTCCTCCTTAAATAGGCTAAGGGAATGGCCAATTAGCCCCAAGCCTTACTCTCGAGGAGACCTCCTCCTGAGGAGCCACTCTTGCCTTTTGGCAGCTCTGCGCGCCCGTGCATCAAGAAGAGGCTCCTCCTCTTTGTCCTCTTCACTTAAAGGAGCTTCTGGAGGTTCTGGCTGAATCCCTGCCTCTGGCACCACATCTTCTCCAGCCTCCTCATCGTCTGACTCGAGTGCCAGCTGCACAGGCTGCTGGCGCAGCACCACACCAGCCTCCTCACTGTCAGAATCAGCTACAATCCGCACAGGCCGCTGACGGGCCACAACGCCAGGTTATCTGAGGGACCGTCTCTTGCCGGTCACATCTACCCAACCCATCAGAGCAGGGAGGCAGGGAATGTTGCAAGTCCCATCCCCGAGGGAGATACACCTGGTGGGACCCAGAAGGGTCTTCTCTGTGGTGGCTCCCTCTCTCTGGAACATCATTCTCCCAGAGATTAGGACGGTCCGCGCACTAATACTCTCCCGGAATGCGCTGAAGGCCTGGTTCTCCTAGCTGGCCTGGGGAACCCAGAGCGGGATGGAGCCCATTAAATGGTTCGTGTGATTGGCTGTCGCCAGGGCGGGGGATGGGTGGGAGACGGGGGTGTGTGATTTTGTTATGTTGTACTATATGAATTTATTTGATTCTTTTTGTTTGTTTTTTTTGTTTTAAATGTGGTCTTTTATTCTGTAAGCCGCCTTGAGTCGCCATGGACGAATAGGCGGCAATATAAATTCAGTAAATAAATAAATCTGAATCCCGGTGGCTTCGAGGGCATTTTTGACAACCATACATGTTGTCTTTGACTTACAACCACAATCGAGCCTAACATTTTGATTGCTGATCAAGACAGTGGCTTAAGTGAGTGTTGCCCCATTTTGCGACCTCTCTTGCCAGAGTCGTTAAGTGAATCGCTGCTGCTGTTAAGTTAGCAACACAGTTGTAAAGCAAATCTGGCTTCCCCATTAACGCTGCTTGTCAGAAGGTCGCAAATTCAGTGCCGTTGTAACTTTGGTCACGAAACAAATGGTTGTAAGTCAAGGACTACCTGTATTAGATTTTTTTTTTTTTTTGCCATCGTTTTCTTCAGGATGATTTTTTTTTTCTTCCAAATTTCCTATCTAGAGATTTCCTTGTGGTCTCCCATTCAAACCCTAACTTTATTTATTTATTTATTTATTTATTTTTATATGCTGCCCTTCTCCGGAGACTCAGGGTGGCTTACAATGCGTTAAGCAATAGCCTTCATACTTTTACTTACTTACTTGTATACTTTATACAAAGTCAGCTTATTGCCCCCACAAACCGGGTCCTCATTTTACCCACCTTAGAAAGGATGGAAGGCTGAGTCGACCTTGAGCCTGGTGAGAATTGAACTCGCAGTAATTGCAGACAGCTGGATGTTAAATGCTGCCTTAGTAGGAGGCATTAGCCTCCTACGCCACTCAGGCTTGGCCTGAGTCCCTTCGTTTTCCAAGTTCAGCTTAACTTGGCTAGGTGGCACTGCCTGCTTCAGTTTACTTTCCCAGGGTTAATAAAAACAGGATTGTAATGTTTTTCAAATTGTCCATATTTTTGTTTCTGTATCACGGGTTCCTTTGAACTGATGGGCTGGTCCTTTCTTTGTTCTTTCAGGGTCAGGATTGCTTTGAGGAAATGACGGTGAATCTTCCAAGGATCCATCAGGTCTGCCTGGGGGCCTCTCGAAAGCTAGGTACTGTAAAGGACGGGTTTTCCCTGACCCATATTCTAATCTATTGATAGAACAGCCTGATCCACCTTACAGGGTGGTTGTTTTAAGGGAAATAGGAAGTAGGAATAAAGATGCGGTAAAAACAGGGGTGCTATTCAGCAGGTTCGGGAGAACCGGTAGCGGAAATTTTGAGTCGTTCAGAGAACCGGCAAATACCACCTATGGCTGGCCCTAGAGTGGGGAGGGAATGGAGATTTTGCAATATCCTTCCCCTGGAGAGGGGAGGGAATGGGGATTTTGCAATATCCTTCCTCCAGGAGTGGGGAGGGAATGGGGATTTTGCAGTATCCGTCCCCTGGAGTGGGGAGGGAATGGGGATTTTGCAGTACCTTCCCCTGGAGAGGGGAGGGAATGGGGATTTTGCAGTATCCCTGCCACGCCCACCAAACCACGCCCACAGAACTGGTAGTAAAAATATTTGAATTCCATCACTGGGTAAAAATCAAATAAACAAACCGAAGTGGGTGCTCCATCAGTGGAGATTTTTAAGAAGAGATTGGGCAGCCATTGGTCTGGATGGTACAGGGTCTCCTGCTTCAGTGGGTGTGGGGGGGGGTTGGACTAGATGACCTCCAAGGTCCCTTCCAACTCTGTTATTCTATTGATGTGCAGCAAACGAAACAGAAGATGAGGAGTGGAAAGGAGGCTGATCAGATCTATTGATTGATTCTGTACCATTAAGTCACTGTGAACTCTTAGCCACCACACAGATAAATTTTCTAAGCTTACAAATAAAACTAGAACATTTTGCATCGTTCATTTATTGATTTATGTGGCCCAGTGGTTAGAGTGCAGTACTGCAGGCTACTTCTGCTGCCTGCAATTTGGCAGTTCAAATCCCACCAGGCTCAAGGTTGACTCAGCCTTCCATCCTTCCGAGGTGGGTAAAACGAGGACCCAAATTGTTGGGGGCCAATACGCTGACTCTGTAAACCGCTTAGAGAGGGCTGTAAAAGCACTGTGAAGCGGTATATAAGTCTAAATGCTATTGCTATGTGGTTGCTAAGAGTCAACACCAAGTTGACGGCCCACATCAATCAATACATCCGTCAGATTATAGACGATGAAAAAAATTACAGTGTATTAGCTTAGAGGTAGTACAGGTAATCGATTTACAACAGTTCATTTAGTGACTCTTCAAAGGTATAACGCCACTGAAAAAAAATGACTTAGGACAGTATTGCACACTTATAACTCTCGCAGCATCCACATGGTCACATGATCAAAATTGAGAGCACCAAGGACTGCTTGGTTTACGTGATTCTGGCGTAGGTTGGAAAACTGCTGTTTTGCCAGAGTAAACATGCCGATCTCGGACTCGGAGGTAATGAAGACACAGATGAGGTGAAAACTAAAGGGATTTATTGAAAAAGCCCGGAGGAGTAGCAGAAACTTAATTAAAGGATGATTCGCAGAAAGGATAGAGTCTTTTAACTTTTTTCAGGTGCTGGAAACGCCATCTTCTCCAGCCCAGGAAATGAGAACAGACACTCAAGAGTTCTGCCTCTTGAGAAAGTTTTGTGGACTGCCATTTTACGATTTTTTTTATTTGGCACTTCTATTACTTACCTTCATTAATTATCAACACTCGAAGCATCTCTCTGTCTGAGGGCAGCTTTGTACATTTCTACCTTCCTCGCCTTCCTTTGACAGGGCTGCCCTAAGTTTCATAAATCAGTAGATTCATTCGTAAATTCATTCGTTTGTTCTATGGCTTTAAACCGTTCAAAAGTATCTGGGCTAGTTTAGCTCAAGTTTATTTATTTATTTTTATTTTATTTTATTTTATTTTATTTTATTTTATTATTTTATTTTATTTTATTTTATTTTATTTTATTTTATTATTTTATTTATTTTATTTATTTTATTTTTATTTTATTATTTTATTTTATTTTATTTTATTTTATTATTTTATTTTATTTTATTTTATTTCATTATTTTATTTTATTTTATTTTATTTTATTTTATTTTATTTTATTTTATTTTATTTTATTGGATTTATATACCGCCCTACTCCCGAAGGACTCAGGGCGATGAACAGCCACAGAATAAAACACATAAATACAAAATTTAAAAACAGAATAAAACCGAATTAAACAATTTGGCCGATACAAATTTAAAACACCCAATAATTTTAAAAATTATTTAAAAGTTTAACCTTACAGATGCAATAAAATAAAATAAAAAGAAATGATTTTTTTAAAAAAACCTGTGGCAGTAAATTAAAATTAGCACGTGTCCAAGGTGGAAACTAATCAAGGAGAGAAACAACCTAGAACTAAGGAGAAAAATTTCCTGACAGTAAGAACAATTGATCAGTGGAACAACTTGCCTCCAGAAGTTGTGAATGCTCCAACACTGGAAGTTTTTAAGAAGAGATTGAACAGTCATTTGTCTGAAATGGCATGGGGTTTCCTGCTTGAGCAGCAAGTTAAACTAGAACAGGGGTCCCCAATGCCTGGGCCAAGGGACACTACTGGGCTGTGGCCTATTTGCGAGTTGAAGATTAGGAACTAAGTTTGTAAGCCCTTCCCAATGTGGTGCCTATATTTCCCATCCTCCTCAGGAACCACGGGCAGCGGAGTGGAGGTGAAGGTAGATACCTGATTTGAACAGCATCGAGTTAGGGAAGGCTGCTGATGAAAGTACCGGCAGTCGTGACTGTAATGGAGTCTGCCCATTATAGTCATATATGATCCTAAAATTTTAAAAGGGTTATTTTAAGGGTAATGGGTTTTAAATATTTTGGGAAGCCAATTGGATTTAATTCTGTTTTAAGTTATTTTAAATTTTGTATTGTATGTATTTTAATTTGGCTGTGCACCGCCCTGAGTCCTTCGGGAGAAGGGCGGTATACAAATTTAAATAATAATAATAATAATAATAATAATAATAATAATAATAATAATAATAATAATAATAATATGGGTTATCATAACCAACCTGATTTTTTGTGGTTGTTAAACAAATCACCCCAGTCATTAAGTGAAGCCAGTCATTAAGTAAACTCTATGATTGTTCAACGAACGCTTTGCTCACTACGGGTTATTTTTGTCCCAAATTGGAAACAAACAGCAGTTTTTGGCAAAAACGTTGTAAATTGCAGTCATGCAACTATGGGACTCCGCAAACAAGCCGTAAATGTGGGCTGATTGCTGAGCTCCCCAATGTGGTCATATGGGGGCGGGGAGCAGGCATTGGAACCCTGGAACAGGTCAAGTCTACCTGTAAACTTTATGCACACATTCACCATGTCCTTCTACTCTTCCTCCTGCAGGGGGCAGGCTGTTGAATGAACAGGAGCGGCCACCTCTCTGGGCCCAAGATTACCGAGAGTCTGCCGGCAGGACATCGCTCCCAAAAAATCAGGACAGCCTCTTGCCACGGCCCGGATTGGGCAAAATTTCGGAGAACGAGCTGATGAGGCCCGAAAGATCTTCGGGCTCCCTTCCGACCAAGCGAGGCTCCGAAGCGATCCCGTGCAGAGTGGGCTACAAAGATCTCGGCGGGATCCTTTTCCAGGAGAGGATCCAAGAGAGCCCCCGGCAGAAGCGCTGCGTCGTGCTCCGCCGGCGGATCCACACGGAGGAGCGTCTCTACAAGTGCCAGGATTGCTGGAAGAGCTTTGACCACCGTTCCCACTTCATCCGCCACAAGAAGATCCACACGGGCGAGAAGCCCTTCCAGTGCACCGACTGCGGGAAGAGCTTCAACCGGAACTCCAACCTCACCACCCACATGCGGACTCACACGGGCGAAAAGCCCTACAAGTGCTTGGACTGCGGCAAGAGCTTCCGGTGGAGCTCGGATTTCATCGTCCACGAGCGGACTCACACCGGGGAGAAGCCCTACAGCTGTGCGGACTGCGGGAAGGCCTTCCGCCGCAGCTCCAACCTCACGGCCCACGAGCGGACGCACCGGGGCGAGAAGCCCTACAAGTGCTTGGACTGCGGGAAAAGCTTCACCCGAGGCCTCTACCTGATTGCACACAAAAAGACGCACTCGGGGGAGTGAGCGGGCGCGAGCGAGAATCGGTTAGCGGTGCGTCCTCCTTGGACTTTTCCTGGGGGGAGGAGAGTTCATCAAACGTTTCATCTGAATTGCATCCACGGCAGTTTTCAGCTCATCGTGGGAGGGTGGCGGTGGGGAACAAAACGATCACTCCTGGGTTTGGGTTCAGGGCCCTGTCAGCATATCTCCAGATGACCCGGTGATGGATGAGATCCACGGTAGTCTCACCCCCGTGCAAGGTTGGCCCACTGAAGTTGCAAAAAAAAAGTCAGCCGGAATTCATTTCGGCAGACGGTCCTTCTGGCAAATCCTTCGCCCCAAGTCCGATTGATCAGTTTGGAGAATAGGTCAATTCGGCCTACGATAACCACGCTGGGGATGGCAGCTTCTCTCAAGGACGTGACTCACTACGGTGTGAGCAATTTGAATTGCCCAAAACCAAAATCGGGAGAGAGCTGGAGACGAGCAAGGCCTTGTTAGGAAGACTGGTTATTCTGGGCTAAATGGTTTCTCCCATCGTGAAGCTGAGGGAAAGTCTTTTAATTTTTAGATTGGCTGCAGTGCAGTGCTGCGGATTTCAACCCCAAAAGGATTTTGGAGCAGCGGAGAGACCTGCTTAACCCCCTTAAGAGCAGGGATCTCCTAATTTGGCCACTTTTAAGACTTGGGGACTTCAACTCCCAGAATTCCAGCATGGCCGGCTGAGGAATTCTGGGAGTTGAAGTCCATCAGGCTTAAAAGCGGCCATGTTCGGAGACCTCGGATTTAGAGCAACCATTGCTGTTTCTGTGGGGCAGCTGCAGAAGACCATAATGCCCAGCACCAGCTGCCTTTAGGGGGGTGGCAGACCAGGGCTGTTTGCACTTAAGAGAAACCTTTTTGGGATTTAGATCCAGAGAGCACTGCTCAGCTTTCGTCTTTTGATCCGCTTGTCATGTACCAGCAAGGAAGTAGAACCTCACTGTTGGGTCATTTTGGTTCTTCTCAAGTGATCTCCTCTTGGCTGCAGCCCACCCCTCTGTATTATGGGCATAGTAGTACTGATTTACCATATAGTGTTTCAACCTTGGAGGCTTTAAAGATGTGTGGACTTCAACTCCCAGAATTCCCCAGCCAGCAAAGCCTCCCCAAGGTCGAGAAACATTGCCATATGGTTCACTCTGAAGATTACACTCCTATTTCAAGATAAATATGCGTGAAGGGCTTTCCTTGCTCAAAAGTGCTATACAAAGGCCAAGTATTTATTATAATTATTATTTTTTATGATTACCTGTCTCTTTTGGGAAGCTGGGGTGGGGGGGTCGGATTTAAGATATTCGGCGTGCCAAGCAGCGCCTCGGCAAATAAATTCTGCTTTTTGATAGCTATTCTGCTGTTCCATGCAAATGTGGCTTTTTAGCTTTGGGGAGGTGCCGAAAGAGGCTTTCGCTTCAAAAAGGGGAGGAAAAAAAAACCAGGGAAAAGGAGCATTCCTTCCTAGTCTTCATGGAGAAGGAGGAGGAGGAAGAAGAGGGATGATATGTCTAGCAAATGCAGAATAAATCCAATAAGCAAATATGAAAAGTCTGTCTAGTTTAATCTGGGGGTAGAAAAATCTGAATGGCTAAATCCATATTAGGGTACTACAGAATTGAGTACCACAATTGAGCCCAAGATTTATGTTGCCAAGCAAGACAGTTGTTAAGTGAGTTTTGCCCCCATTTTACTTCTTCTCTTGGCCCAGCTGTTAAGCGAAGCATTGCAGTTGTTAAGTTAGGAACTCGGTTGTTAAGTGAATCTGGATTCCCCATTGACTTTGCTTGGTCAGATTGTCGCAAAAGGGGATAGCGTGACTGCGGGACACTGCCACCGTCGTAAATACGGAACAGCTGCCAAGCCTCTGAATCACGTGACCACGGGGATGCTGCAAGGGTCGTTAAGTGTGAAAAAGGGTCCTAAAGTCCCTTTTTCTCCAGTGCCGTTGTAACTTTGAACGGTCACTAAGCGAATTGTTGTAAGTCGAGGACTACTACTGGTTCTACCAGCTCGAATCACAAAATAATATGCAACTTTTTTTTCAAAATGGTTTGCTCAGGCAGATCAACAAAACAAACCACAACCAAGGAGGGAGGAAAGTCACCGTCTATCACTGGGCACAATCAGGAACAGTACTGGGACTCCTCGATTTAAGACTATTAAATTGTGACCGTTGTAAATCAAGTCACCCATACGGCCGATCCAATTTTATGGGGGTTTTTTTGCAGCAGCTGTCAGAACTCTGGAACAAGGTTGTAAGAACTTCAAGAGAGGTCAATTATACAGATAGTCCTCGACCTACGACCACAATTGAGCCCAAAATTTAAGTGAGACATTTGTTCAGTGAGTTTTGCCCCGTTTTACGACCTTTCTTGCTACAGTGCTTAAGTGAATCGTGGTTAAGTGACTACCTGTAAAACCAGTGCAACCCCCTAACCTACCCCCCAAAATTTAGCATAGTAGTCCTCTACTTACAACCATTTGTTCAGCTACTGTTCAAAATTGCAACAGCACTGAAAAAATACCTCACACTTACGACCATCAGCGTCTCTGCAACCACGTGATCAGGATTCGGACTTGCCGAATAACTACATGCAAGTGACACATAGTTATGACAGTTGCAAAACCGCAGGGTCATGTGATCACCAAGTTTGGAACTTCCCAGATGATTTCCAACAAGCAAAGTCAATAGGGGGAAGCTGATTTGTTTAACGACTGTGCAATTCACCATGCTTCGCTTAAAAACAAAGGCCATAAGGTCGTAAAATGGAACGCAACTCAACCGCCTCGCTTAGCAATGGAAATTCTGGTCTGGGTTGTGGTTGTAAGTCGAGGACAGCCCGTACTGTCGCTGTTAACTATTTGTGCAACATCCCTCATTGTAGCATTGACGAAAGGAATGAGCAACCATTTGTGGCTGTCAATCATGCGAGGTGATAACCTGGCCATAGCGAGTCGGGCGGCCATTTTCCTGCAATGCTTGTAGCCCTCTTAATTGGAAGAATCTGATTGGCTCCTGTAAGGGACAGAACATTCAATTAGAACAGTGCTTTTCAAACTTGGCAAAACACGTGGACTTCAACTCCCAGAATCCTCTAGCCGCCATGCTGGCTAGGGAATTCTGGGAATTGAAGTCCAGGCCTTAAAGTGGCCAAATTTGAAACACGCTGAACTAGTAATAAGACTGTATGCCCAAGTTCCACCCTCAGAAAATTTCAAGTGTGTGTCAAGAAGAGTCCTGAACTGGCATGGACAGGGAGAAGAGGTAAACTCTGAATGTAGCATTATTTTTATTTATTTATTTTTTTTGCACCTATCCGCCTCTGCACAAGTCGTCGCCTCTGAATGGCTTCCCAGGACATTGTTCACAACCTTCTTGAAATTCGCTTGACGCACAGTGCTACTAGTCCTCATGAAAGTTAGAAAACGGTTGAGTCAACATTTTCATGAGATTTTGGCAGGGGTCTGTTCTGTGAGCTTGCTGTTTAGCTCCTGGACGTTTTGTTACCAGACTAGGTAACATCTTCAGTAGGAGTGGGGGGGTGGGGGTGTTGGCTGAAGTACCTTGTTCATTTATATAGGTTAGTGATGGCTAACCTTTTCCAGACTGAGTGCCCAAAGCGCGTGAGCGTGAACCCCCCAAATGCAATGCATGCATGGCCCCCATGCATGCACGCGTGACCTGTGCTTTGCGTGACCCCGTGCATGCACCCTGCCCCTTTGCACCCCACGCATGTGTACATGGCCCCCACATGCACCTGTCCCCCGCATGCACTCCACCCTCACGCATGCGCGGCAGAGACCCAAAAACCAGCTGGCTGGCGGGAGGTGCCTGCGCAGCTGAGCTGGGGCGATGGCCCACATACCCACAGAGAGGTTCGCCATCACGGATATAGGTCGTGAAATGGTCGGTTGGTCTTGTGACTGGTCAAGGTACTTCACCCCAAAACCCCACAGATGATGTTACCCAGTTTGGTAACAAAACGTCCGGGAACTAAACAGCAAGCTCGGAGAACAGACCGTGGCCAAAACCTCATGAAAATGTTGAATCCCTGCATCGTGAGGCACTTCTGCTTGTCTCTCGAGCCAACGCGGTTCATCTGTATGAAATGTATTCTTCCCGCTTCTTTCGCTCCCTTGTTTTCCGTCCGTCCCTCCTCTTTTAACTATGGAATCCCCGCAAAAGGCTTTATAATAAAACATGCTTTCCTCCCTATGGCAATGTGACGGTTGCGTATATATTCTTTTTTTTTTTAAAAAAACCATCCTTCAAGATCAGCGATCAGTCTCATTTTATTCGGCTTGTGTATACAGGTAGTCCTCAACTGACGACCACAATTGAGCCCAAAATTCCTGTTGCGAGGCAAGACATTGGTTAAGTAAGTTTTGCCTCAGTTTACCACCTTTCTTGCCACAGTTCTTAAGCGAATCGCTGCTAGGAACACGGATGTTCAGTGAATCGGGCTTCCCCGTTGACTTTGCTTGTCAGGAGGTCGCAAAAGGGGATCGCATAACCCCGGGACACTGCAACCGTCATAAATATGAACCAGTTGCCAAGCGGCTGAATTTTGACCACGTGACCATGGGGATGCTGCAACGGTTGTAAGTGTGAAGAACGGTCGTAAGTCACTTTTCAGTGCCTCTTAAAAACTTTGGTCACTAAACGAATGGTTGTAATTCGAGGACTAACCTGTACTCCATCCAGCCCATCAACAACTGGCAGAATTCAACACCATAGGACTGTGATGGCGAATCTATGGCACGTGCGCCACGGGTGGCAGGCGGAGTCATATTGGTGGGAACACGAGCTCAGCTCCAGCGTGCATGCACGCTCCGGCTACTTGATTTTTGGGCATTCTGGACCCACTGGAAGTTGGCAAATGGGCCGTTTCTGGCCTCCGGGGGGTGGGGGAGGCCGTTTTCGCCCTCCCCAGGCTCCTAGAGTCTCTGGAGCCTGAGGAGAGTAAAAAAAACGGGCCTACTGGGCCCACTGTGCCATCACGTGCCAAAAGCGGGGGGAACACAGGGGGGTCATGCGCGCATGCACGGGGGAGCGGGGCGCATAGAATTATGGGTGTGGGCACGTGGACGTGCAACCCCCCCCCGCGCGATGGCAAAAAGATTAGCCATCACTGCCATAGGACATCCAAATAAAACAACTAACTCCCTCCCTTCCCAATTATAGCTTAGCGTGACCTCTGCGTCTGAACATTTTGTGGGAGCCCAGCTAATTGTTGTTTATTCAACAGACCATGGCTCAAACAAATCACGGCTTAGCCCAGGGGTCTGGAGCCGCATGTGGCTCTTTTACCCCTCTGCTGTGCCTCCCTGTCACTCAAAATATGCATCACAACCTCCAATGTGCAACATCCGCCGGCACGTGATTTATTGAGCTTTTCAATCCCCAGTAGGCCAACCATGGATAAATCCAAGAAAAGAAAAGTTTCAGAAGAAAACAGAACGTTTACTTCAACTACATATGCTAGTTTTGTGGCCACTCAAGAAATAGTCAGGCATGGGAAGGGTTTTGTGGCTCCCGGTGTTTTCTTTTCTGAGGGAAACGGGTCCAAATGGCTCTGAGTGTTTAAGGTTGCAGACCTCTGGCTTAGCCCAATGTGGGTCCAACCTTGGCAACAGCTTCCAGGTTTCTTCTCATCTCCCCAGGGATGTCAAGACTGAACCTGGGGATGTTCACAAATGTACCCTGGAACTATGATGTGGGGCACACAAGACACTGCTAAGGAGGAACAGCACAAGCCCCACTAGTTCGTCTGCACATTGTGTTTATTAGTAGTTCCCTTCCATAAAACTGAACAAACAACAGATTGTGATCATGACAATAAAAGTCGAACAATGCAAAAGAATTCCCAACCGTTGTATTACTCACACCTCTGAGGACTTTCACACAAGAATCAATACTGCAGTATTTTTGGTGACATGGCACAAACGTATTTCCTTGTTTTTTACATATTTTTATGTCAATATACTTAAAACCCTGAGTCTGTTCCTCTTGCCCCACCCAACTCAACTCAACAATTTGCATCTAACAATATACAAGAGCCAACTGATATGACATTGTGTTCAATAACAAAAGTCAGATGTCGGATGAGCATCCATATTGGAATTCTTAAAACTATAATTAAGGGACTGGGGAGCACAAACCAACATGGCCCCAAACAGGCAAAACTCCATTTGGGTTTGCTGATATTCTGCCCCCTTTGGTGGGACCATGGCTTTCATTATGTTACGGCTCAGAGAAGATTCTGGAAGGTATTCTTCCGTTAAAACTGACAGGGTTGGCAATCTTTCCTCAGATTTGCCGCTGAAATCTGCAGCACAATTTCTTGACGCCGGCTTCTGTTATTGATTGGCCCGTTTTGAGATCATGTCGTCACCACTTCCGGAGCATTCAAGGTTGGAACGGGGATCTCCTCTTGGAGTTCTAGGGGAGTGCCACACACGCCGGGCTCCGACGCGATGCATTGGGGTGATTCCGGGGTGGCGAAGAATTCTTTGTCCAGCACTTGCACGGTGAACTCTGCCAGTCCCGCGTGGGACTTCTCGTGCCTCGTGAGACTGTCTTTGTATACGAAGCTTTTCTCGCAGTGCGAGCAGTGGAACGACTTTTCTTCTTGGTGAGCGAACCAGTGTCTTTTCAAGCTGGCGGACTGCGTGAAATGCTTCCCGCATTCAGTGCAGGTGTAACGCTTCTCCTTGTGGTGGAGCCGTTTGTGTTTCTGCAACAGCCTCAATTTGGAGAATTTTTTCCCACACTGGAGACAAGGGTAGGTGCTTCCACCTCTACTGGGTAGCTTTTGAAGCAGGGAATTCGGTTCTTCTTCTTCCTTACAAGCCTTTGGGTGTTCTTGGAGGGCTGAATTCCATGGGAAATTCTCTTCGCCGTGGCTGGATTCATCCAGTTTTTCTCCCTTGTGGATACTCTGATGCCTTATAAGAGATGATAAAGAGGGGAAGGATTCTCCACACTCCGCGCACAGGTGATTTTCCTCTTTGACCGGGTCATCTTTGGGCAGGAAAGAGACCGCTGGCTTCTGTTTATGGATCTTCTCCTGATGTGCTTTAAGAGCTGAATCCCACCGGAAACACTCTCCGCAATCAGGGCACCGACAGGGCCTCTCCTGTGAATGGATGCGTTGATGTCTTAAGAGACGGGATGGCCAGTTAAAAATTTTCCCACACTCAGTACAGGGATAAGTTTTCCCCGGGGTCACAGGTCTCATTTGGAAAAAAAGCCCGAGTTTTTCTCTCTCGTGGATCTTTCTATGTCGCAGAAGAGCTGAAAACCCCACAAAACTCTCTGCGCACTTGGAGCATTTGAAAGCTTTCCCTTCAGCGGAGACTGGCTGGGGTTTAGCACTGCCTTGTCCCTGAGATATGGGTTGCAAAGCGGGGACTGGTTTCTTTTCCTTGGTCTTATGTAAATGCTTGTGATGCACCGACAGTGAGGACTGCCAGAAGAAACCTTTCCCGCAAGTGGTGCACTTGTACTTCCTCTCCCCGGTGTGAGTGCTCTGATGGCTCAAGAGGCGGGAAGGTATCTGGAATTCTTTTCCGCAATCTGAACACCCGTAAGGTTTTGTCTCCCTGTCTGCCTGTCTTGGGAGAAGATGAGCCACCTTCGTGTCCGCGTGGACCTTCTTTTGGTGCAGGTTAAACGAGGAAGCCCACCTGAAGCTCTCGCCACATTTTGCACATTTGTACGGTTTCTCTCCGGTGTGAATGCGTCGATGCCGAATCAAGAGATACGAATAGACAAAGCGTTTCCCACAATCGGAACAAACGCAGGATTTGTCCCCCGGAGTGGATTTTTGGGGCAAAGGGCCTCCTGCTTTCCTGGTGTTGTGGATCTTTCGGTGTCTCAGAAGAGAGCGAGGCCACATGAAACTCTTCTCACAGCTGGTGCACTGGTATGGTTTTTCTCCGGTGTGGGTGCGCCGGTGGTTTATTAGGCTCGAGGAACGGTCGAAACTTTTGCCGCACTCACAACATTTGTAGGATCTGCCTTCCCCCGGAGGTAATTTTTGGAGGAGGGGGACCAATCGCTTCCCCCCGTGGACCTTCTTCCGATGCATAGTGAGAGATGAAGGCCACATGAAGGACTCCCCACATTCCGTACATCTGTGGGGCTTCTCACCAGTGTGGACCCGCCAATGTCGCATGAGGTCCGATTGTTGTCTGAACGTCTTCCCGCACTCCAAACACTGATTAGGTGTCTCCTGGGAAACAGACACCGCTGGCACCGGAGGCTTCTGCTTCTGCTTCCTATGGACCTTCAGGTGTCTTTCAAAAGGTCCCTGCCACATGAAACTCTCCTCGCATATCGAGCACTTGTAGGGTTTCTCGCCCGTATGGACCCGTTGATGCCTTCTTAGGTGGGACAGTCGATCAAAAAACTTCCCGCACTCCGAACAGGTTTTGTCTTTTGTCTCGGGTGCCTTTTGCAAAGAGCTATTTAGTTTCTCTCTTTGGTGGAGTTTTTTATGTTTTTCCAAGGATTTGAGCGCCGGGAAACTCTTCTCACACTCGGGGCATTTATAGTGTTTCTTTGCAACGGGGAAAGGCTGAAATTTCATGAGCTGGGACCCTTGCTTGAAGCTTTTCCTTTCATACGAAAGTGGGCTAGATTTGTTTCTCAAATGGATCTTTTTGTGCCTGTGATATGATGAACCCCAAATGAAGCTTTTCTCGCACTCCAGACACTTGTAGGTTTTCGGTGTGGCAAGGGCCGTTGGATGCTTCCCCAGCTCCAGAGTTTGGCTTTTTCCAGATGTCTCTCCACTCTCTGTCCTGCCACTGGGATTCTGCTCCTGGTGAATTTTTTTATGTACATTTAGGTCCAGTACACTGTCAAATTGTTTCCCACACTCGCTGCAAAAGTTCTGTGCGATTTTGTCGGAAGGAGGAAGAGGTAAATCCTCACCGGGCTGGGCATGAGAGGCATTAGGACACCTTCGATCGGTATTGTGGGTTCTTTGATGTCTTTTCAGGGCTGTCTTATCGTAGAAACTTTTGTCGCACTGGAAACATTTGTACGATTTTTCCCCCGTGTGGATCCTTTCGTGCCGGTTAAGGGCCGAGTTTCGCGTGAAGCTTTTCCCGCACACCAAGCATTGCTTTCTTCTTTTCTCCTTCTGCGTGTCTGAACAGAAGACAATGATTTCTGCTTTTCTACCATCCTGCTCGTAATTGATGACAAATGGACTCCCCTCCATGTGGTAGACTCCCTGCTGTCCTCCAAGGGTCTCTTCTGGATCGTAACACGGTAGAGCAACGCTATTTGCTCTCTCCGGAGGCACCCCGTGCATCCTTCCCTGCAGCTGATTTTCACTCTCGCGCAGCTTCCAAATATCTGCAGAAATGACAAACACATGTCCAGTGAGTACTCGAGGCCTGCGAGAATATGCTTAACGGAACTAATCAGCATCAGGACATCTGACTGCGAAGCAACTATTCCCCGGATGTCCCAAAGCTGCTTTTTCAAGAGACAACTGGACTTTTCTGGTTTTTCAGATTAATCCATTTCCTGGATGTTCTGGCCAGAATTATAAAACAGCCTTTACTAGTTGATATCAAGGGGAGGGGGAGGTATTATAACTGAATAACAGATTTGGAAGGGATCTTGGAAGTCTTCTAGTCCAGCCCTCTGCTCAAGCAAGAAACCGTATACCATTTTAGACGGACTGCCCACAACTTCTGAAGGCAAACCATTCCACCGATTAATGGTTATCACTATTAGGAATTTTCTCCAGTCTTAGGTAGCTTCTCTCCTTGATTAGTTTCCTCCCATTGCTTCTTGTCCTGCCCTCAGGTGCTTTGGGGAATAGCTTGACTCCCTCTTCTTTGTGGCAGCCACTGAGATATTGGAACACTGCTATCATGTTTCCCTTAGTCCTCCTTTTCATTAAACTAGACCAGGGTCGGCAACCTTAAACACTCAAAGAGCCACAAAGGTCCTAACTGGAATCCCCCCATCAATTCTGGAGCCGACCGGAAGTCCGGTTTCCCCCACCATAGAGTCTCCTCCTAGTGCGGCGTTCTTTTTCCTCTACCGGTCCTAATAGAAAGCCCTATCAATTGTGGAGCCGACCAGCAACAGGGAGCCGCAGAAGAGGGATGAAAGAGCCACATGTGGCTCCAGAGCCGCGGGTTGCTGATCCCTGAAGGAGACATACTCAAGTTCCTGCAACCGTTCCTCATGTTTTAGCCTCCAGTCCCCTAATCATCTCCGTTGCGCTTCTCTGAACTCTCTATCTTTTACTCTTTACGCTCTTCTCTGTACTCTTATAGTTAGTCCTCACTTAACAACCAGTTGCTCCAAACTTATGACGGGCCATCAATTTTGAAAGCCTATCCTGGCTGGGGAATTCTGGGAGTTGAAGCCCACGTATCTTAAAGGGTTGAGAAAGCACTGCTTTATGACGAGGAAGGAGGCCCACGGTGAACACAAAAACATCTCTTTTTTTTTTTTTGCTTTGGAGCAGAAGGACAAAGGGGAAGGCGCATCTTAAAGATGCCTTGGCTGAGAAATGCCGCCCGAGTCTGACCACCTGGATTGGACAGCCCCCCCCCCCCTCCCCACCCCCCCCAAGGCTTTAAAATAAACGCCTCAAATCTTACCTGCATCAGCATCTTCTTCGATCTTCAGCTCCCTGGCAAATTGTAGTTTCTGCCCGGCATCAGAGGGCCCTCTCTCCAGGGGCTGCATATTTTCAGACCTAGCACCAAGCTCCTGTCCCCCCTACAGGAATAACCAACTGGATGTGAGAGATTGCAAGAGACAGCAGTAGGACTTAGACTTATACACCGCTTCACAGCGCTTTACAGCTCTCTCTATGCGGCTAATATGTCGGCCTATTGCCCTCAAACTCAAATCTTTGTTGTCAGTGTACAACATATGTACAATGAGATTGGTTGAGATCCCTCAGTACACCCCTCCCAACACAATACAACTCACAGTGAAGACAAAAAAATCCCTAACCCAACACCCAGTCCTATTGCACCAGTGTGAACATGTTACACATTGCGCCAGCCCTGCAGTCCATCATACTACATAGTTATGGTGTTATTTCTCGTTCAGGAGTCTGACAGCCCACGGATAAAAACTGTACTTCAGCCTATTTGTGCGGCTGGCTATACTTCTATATCTCCTTCCCAATGGTAGGAGCCCTCGACAATCTGGGTCCTCATTTTACAGGCCTCGGAAGGACAGAAGGCTGAGTCAACCTTGAGCCGGTGAGGATCGAACTCCAGGCTGTGGGCAGAGTCAGTCTGCAATACCGCAGTTTAACCACTGGGTCACCAAGGGAGACGACTCTGAGTAGAATTTGCTTAATGAGCTTAATAAGGGCCAGGACTTCGGTCACTAAGTCAAGCATCACTAGCATGGCAAACGTCTCGTGATGGCACCGCTTAGTGACGGCAGCTTCAGTAGTCCTGTTTATGGTTGATAGGCCAGGACTGTGCTTTTGTTAGGGGAGGACTCCATGCTTTCCCCGCCCTGCCCTGCCCACCTTCGGTTTAATGCTCCTCGCTCCCTTATCTCCCTCCTTCCTCAGCTTTTCGGCCACCCTGCATTCTGCCACCACCCATCACTGGCCTTCACCATCTTCTTCCTCCCACTGGTGACAAGATGTGCTCGGCTGAGGCAGTTGCCAATTGCTGATATGTGGGACTTACGTACAGGTAGTCGTCGACTTACAGCCACAGCTCAGCCCAAAATCTATGTTGCTAAGCGAGACAATTTGTTTGGTGGGTTTTGCCCCGCTTTACCACCTTTTTTTCCCACAGGTTGTTAAGTGAAAAACACCTGCAGTTGTTAAGTTAGTAAGACGGTTGTTAAGCGAATGTGGCTTCCCCGCTGATTTTGCTTGTCAGAAGGCCGCAAAAGGGGATGACGTAACCCCGGGACAGTACAAAAGTCATAAAGATGAACCAGTTGTCAAGCATTCGAATGTAAATCACGTGTACAGGTAGTCCCTAACTTACAACGGTTCGTTTAGTGACCGTCCGTGAAATTACAACGGCCCTGAAAAAAAGGGATTCATGACCGTTTTTCACACTTATGACCGCTGCAGCATCCCCATGGTCACGTGATTTCCATTCGGAAGCTTGACAAATGACTCACGCTTATGACGGTTGCAGTGTCCCCGGGGGGGGGGTGTCACGTGATTCCCCTTTGCGACTTTCTGACGAGCAAAGTCGACGGCGAAACCAGATTCATTTAACAACTGCACTTATTCATTGAACGACTGCCGTGATTCACTTCGCAAACGTGGCAAGAAAAGTCGTAAAATGGAGCGAAACTCACTTAATTCTCGCTTAGCAACGGTAAAATTTTGGGCTCAACTGTGGTCGTATGTCGAGGACTACGTGGCCGTAGCTTCGAGGGAGAAAGAGATGGTTTTGAATTCCGGTTGTTTGCTAGATTTCACGTTTTTGTCCGTACGTTCCAAACCGATGCTCCAAAATGGGGCTGTTTCATTCCGAGTTCAGGACATTTTTGTCCTTTTTTTCGGTGCTCCACTTTGCTGTTTCCTGTCAGATTACAGACAATGTCTGAGAAAAATAAATAAAAGAATGAGCTCTGCACACATACCTCTTGTTCCGTTATCACCGGCACCCACTGCCTGAGCAAGAAATCCTCAGCCAGGGATATGACTTGAGCGCTGCTCTCCACGTTATGTCTCTTTACCCAGCTCTGCATCTCCGGCGGAAGGATGGCCAGAAACTGCTCCAGAATCAGCATTTCCAGAATCTGTTCCTTTGAATGTCTCTCCACTTTCAGCCACTGACGGCAAAGGCTCTGCAACTGGTCGTATACCTTCCTCGGCCCTTCGGCCTCTTGGTAGCAGAAACGTCGGAAGTGCTGCCGTTGCTTCTCCCGGCTCAACGCGTCGGCCTGCAAGATGGCCGCCTTCATTTTCCCGTAATCCTCTCGGTCTCCCGCCTCCAGGCTGCTGTAGGCTTGCTCGGCGTCTCCTCCCAAGGTAGGCCGGAGACGGGCCGCCCATTCTTCCATGGGCCACTGGAAAGCTCTGGCGACTTGCTCGAAGGAGGCTAGGAAGATGTGAGCGTCCTCCCATGGGGAAGGCTCCGGAAGGATCTGGGGGACTTCCACTGTAGTCAAGAACTCCTGCCACTGAGTCTCCCAGAGTTCACCCAAATCCTCTTGATTTTCGACCTTCACTTCCTGCTGAGTAGTTGTGCTTCTGGAGAAGAGCACCGGTGCTAACGGGGGCTGGCTCTCTCCTCCGGGATCCTGCTCTTGTCCCAGCATCATGGTGCCTATGAACACAAACACAGCTTGTCAATTCCGTCCCTTGAAGTACAGGTAGTCCTCAACGTACGACCACAATTGAGCGCAACATTTAAGTTGCTAAGCGAGACATTTGTCAAGAGCCGTGGTGGCGCAGTAGTAGTTAGGATGCAGCACTGCAAGCTACTTCTGGTGACTGCCGGCTGCCAGCAGTTTGGCAGTTGGAATCTCACCAGGGCTCAAGGTTGACTCAGCCTTCCATCCTTCCGAGGTCGGTAAAAACGAGGAGGCGGTTGGGGGGGCAATAGGCTGGCTCTGTAAACTGCTTAGAGAGGGCTGTAAAAGAACTGTGAAGTAGTATATAAGTCTAAGTGCTATTGTCATTTGGGCACTTGGCAACCGGCTCGCATTTACAAAGGTTGCAGCATCCCCCAGTCATTTGATCACCGTTTGGGACCTATCATGTTTCCCTGAAAATAAGCCCTATCCCAAAAATACGCCCTAGCTTGGATTTTTACATGTGCGCCCAATGATATGAGTCAAATAATTTCACAACTGGTTTGCCCAGAGTCAGGTTGGCTGTCGTGGGAGGCGTGGCCCATCCCTGTCCTCCAGCTCCGCCGCACAAGCCGGACGAGCCTCCCACAACGGCCAAACTGACCCTGGGTAAACGGGTTATTAAATTTCCACCCTTTGCCAAAAGGCTGTTTCCAAGGGGGCTCGTCTACATGTTGGTCTCGCGGCTGTTTCAGCCTTCTGGACTGGCTCCTTTAAGAGGCGAGGTTTCCAAGAAACGAGGAGGAGTGGGTTTTACCACAGAGACAAGGAGTTGATGCTCCTGAGAGCTCGCGCGGGAAGTTGAAGAATTGGGGGGAAGTGGAGGGATTCAATCCCCCCCTTCCCGTGGCACTGTGTGCAGGGGGTGTTGGTCAGTCTGCGGGCAAAAGTGAGAGGGGCGAGGAATTAAGTCAGCAGCATGATCGAAGCTGGGCCCAATATAGGGGAGACTGCGGGGTTAGTTTGGCCAGGCAAATTATTAAACACACACACACAGATCCCCACTATCAAAGTGGATCCTGGACACTGTGCTGCACTGGAGAAACTAACAACCGGCACGAGACAAGGAGGAGGAGCAGGGAGAAGAAAGACGGAAAGCGGTCTTCTTCCCTTGTGCCGGCCGCTTTTGCTGCCATTTCTCCATTGCAGCATAGCGCCCAGGACCCACTTTGATAGCAGGGGTGGGTAATTTAACAACCAGTTCGTTCGAACCCGTGCGAACCAGCTGAATTCCACCACACTGTCTCCAATATAAGCCCTACCCACAAAATAAGGCCTAGTTAAGACCCCGCCCACTCCGTTGCACCTGGTTACACGAGGTGAGGTGAGGCGCTTGGGTAAAAATCAAGCTAGGGTGGGGATGGAGCTGCCCCACATGTCCCGCACCCACTTAGCACAGTTGCAGCCAGGCCTCCCACACCCTGACAGCCGCCTCACCTTGCTGGCCGACTTCTTCTGCAGCCGCTTGCCACCGCTTCCACACATTGCCCTTTCCTGAAGGCCTCTGATGACGAAATGGAGGCCAGGGGTTGCTATGCGCGAGCGGTGGCAAGTGGCTGCATAAGAAGTGGGCCAGCAAAAGCCACACAGACTCCTGCTGGGCGGAGCTGTCAGTGCCGTCACCCGCGAGGTGAGACAGTGGAAGACATCCCCCGAAAATAAGATCTAATGCCTCTTTTGGAGTCAAAAATATATATATGACCAGGTCTTATTTTCAGGGAAACACAGTAGTTTGGATATATATGTGTATATGGTGAGAAAAACTAATCTTGTGACTTTACCAGATGGAGCGCACAGGGAACAAACTGTTCCAGAATCTGGTAGTCCGGCTAGAAATACTTTGAAACCTCCTCCCAGAGGGGAGCAATACAGACAGACTGTGGAGTGGGTATGTGGGGTCTCTAACAAGTCTTTGAGCTCTAAGCACATAGCACTTATAAGCAGTATCCTGAATAACAGGAAGGGAGCTTCCTATAATCTTCTCAGCTGTCCTTACCACTCTCTGTATGGACTTTCTATCTGAGGCACTGCTGTCACCAAACCAAGCAGTGATGCAGTTTGTTAAAACGCTCTCAATTGTGCCTCTGTAAAAAGTGGCCAGGAGAGAAGGACAGAGATGTGCTCTCATCCAACGCAGGAAAACGCAGATGCTAGTCTGCATTTAGTACCGTTCGAAGTTACAACGGCACTGAAAAAAACATTTTTCACACTTATGACCGTTGCAGCATCCCCATGGTCACGTGATCAAAATTCAGATGCTTGGCAACTGTCTCGTATTTATGACGGATGCAGTGTCCCAGGGGTCATGTTTTCTCCTTTTGCGACCTTCTGACCAGCAAAGTCAACGAAGAAGCCAGGTTCACTGAACAACCATGTTACTAATTTAACAACTGCCGCAATTCACTCAACAGCTCTGGTAAGTAAGATCGTAAAACGGGACAAAACTCACTTACCAAATGTCTTCACTTAGCAATAGAAATTTTGGGCTCAATTGTGGTCGTAAATCGAGGACTACCTGTACAGTCATATACCAATTTGATGCATAAAAATGATTCGATCTCCATCAGCCAGCAAGCCTTGCAGCCTGAGATAATGAGGGACTACGTAACCCATAAACCTCATACCACCCCCACGGGACCTCCAGTACCAAATTTCATTAGTACAGTGACCAAATTTCAATGCTACAATTTTCTTCCTGAAATAACGGACACTAGAAATATTTATTGCTGTATTTATTATCATTTCTTCTTATATTTCACTGTAAATTAGTAAAAAATACATATACAGTAGTCCTGAATGTAAATTCATCACTTGATAGCTATTCAAAGTTACGACGGACCTTCCCAGGGCTACTTATGATCTGGTTTTGGGGTAACAAGGGCCACACACAATAGCACTTAGACTTATATACTGCTCCACAGCCCTCTCTAAGCGTTTTAGAGTCAGTGTATCCGAGTCCCCAACAATCTGGGTCCTCATTTTACCCACCTCAGAAGGATGGAAGGCTGAGTCAACCTTGAGCCTGGTGAGAATCGAACTGCTGGCAGCCGGCAGTCAGCAGAAACAGCCTGCAATACTGCATTCTAACCACTGCGCCACCTCGGCGCTACAAACACACGAACTCACGTGATTGCAGTTTTGGCATTTGGCAACTGGCTCGCCTTTGCAACCGTTTGCCATGTCTGGTGGTCTCCTGTCTGCAATTTGCGATTTATGACTGCAGCGACTTTTGACTTTAATCTTGGGCTCAATTAAAGTCATAAGTCGAGGACTGCCTGAAAGGGAGCCCGGGAGCAGATAGGTCCTGTATGTCCCTAACTGTGTTTTTTTTGGCTCGATGTTGGCCTTTTGGCAGGGTTTTAAGGATGGGTGGGGGAAACCTTTCAAAGATTTGTTTACTTATATCCTGCCTTTATTATTTTTTTACAAATAACTCAAGGGGGTGAACGTATCCAACACAATTTCCTCCTCCTATTTTCTCCACAACAACAACAATCCTGTGAGGTGGGTTAGGCTGAGAGAGTGATTAGCTAAAAGTCACCCACCTGGCTTTCCAATCGACCCCAATAGTCCAAAATTAGTGCCTGAAACTAAAAACAAAACAACAAACGAACAAAATAAGCAGTATGTTTTATAGTATCTACACCTTGACCCGCAAGTTGCTGCCAGTACGTGAATGTAATATTCTAGAAATAAAAAAAAAAGATTGTAAAAGTAATAACGTATTAGCTGTATTTAAATAATGCTTAAAGAAAAAATAGAATTTATTTGTATCCCTGTATTATTTTTACAACTAACTCAAGGCAATAAACACCCCTTCCTCCTCCTTCAGGTAGTCCTCGATTTATGACCACAATGGAGCCCAAAATTTAGGTTGTTGAGTAAGAATTGGTTGAGTTTTGCCCAGGGTGGATTTGATTTAAATCGAGTTGATTTAAATCACAATTTAAATCATGATTTAAATCACTAATAAAAAGGCTTGATTTAAATCAACTCGATTTAAATCATAATTTTTAAAGAGCAACTGTCATCTCTGCTACTCCTTTGACCCACTGTTGACTCACCGATAGTCCCAGTGTTGCAGAATATACAGCCTCATGCTACATAACTAAACTCCATTTCATGCTGAATAAACTAAATTATTTATGTATCTTCAATAGAAAACTATCTTACGATAGATTTTTACCCCAAGTTTTTTATTAAAATAAATTCGATAAAAATCAAAAAAATCCGATTTAAATAAAAAAAATCTGATTTTTTTGATTTTTAAAAAAAATCTTTGATTTTTATCCATCCTGGTTTTGCCCCATTTTACGACATTTTTTTGCCACAGTTGTTAAGTGAATCGCTGTGGTTGTTAAGTTAGGAACACGGTTGTTCAGCGAATCTGGCTTCCCCATGGAGTTTGCGTGTCAAAGGTCGTAAAAGGGGATCACATGACCCCAGGACACTGCAACCGCCATAAATATGAACCAGTTGCCAAGCATCTAAATTTCAATCACACGACCACGAGGATGCTTCAAAGGTTGCAACTGTGAAAAACAGTCCTGTCACTTTTTTCAATGTCGTCATAACTTTGAATGGTCACTAAGCGAACTATTAGTCGAGGACTACCTATATTCCCCCAACAACCACCGTGTGACGTGAGAAGGCCAGCTTCTATCCGTTTGATGGTTTCTTCCAACTTTAACTACTGTATTTTATATTACACTAGCTGGATACTCGTGCTCTGCTGCGAAACTATTTTTAGGGCTTGATAAATCGACACTTACAGCTTGAAAATTAATGAGTAGTTACAATCTGCCTCCCCTTCTCTCCCTCAGGCTTGCCCCACAGAATTGTCTCCTCTCCTCTCCCACTTCTCTCCCTCAGGCTGGCCCCACAGAGGCCTCTCCTATCTTATCTCCTTCTCTCCCTTTTAGGTGGGGAGTACAATGTCTAAATTCCCAGCCCGCAGGCTGGATGAGTCATGCGCTGGTCAAATGGCAGTTGGAACAGAGTTCTTTTCAGGTGGGGAGGGGGAATAGAACCTAACTCCTTAGCATCAGAACATGTTAATAAATTATGGTCATTTCGAAAAATCCTTTCTTAGCAAGCAGCTAGAAGCCAAGAGGAACATACGTGCCAAATTTCAAGTTCGTAAGCTTTATGGTTCTGGAGATTTCATGATGATGCATAAGGGTATTTTGCTTTTATATATAGAGATTTGACCTTGCCAAACCTTTGGGAAAGTTTTTTTTTCCCTCCTTACCTTTATTCTCACTCCTGCTTACACCTTGGCTCCGTTTATAGGCTTAAACTTGCAGCTTTGAGAAGATTCAGTTCATAACTGCCCTACACAAGACAAATGGAATGTTAAAAAATATTGAATGGTTTTACTAAAGAAAAGAAATAAGGGAGTGGAGAAGGTATCAAAGAGATAAGCAAGCACTCCTTCCCATAAAATAATAAACTGCCTATTTATAATCAGAATAAGATAATAAATTTTTATTGGACAGCAGGCTATAAAAAAGGGGACAGGATGCGTTAATTGAAGAGACTGTGTTGCAATATTCTGAGCAGAACCAACTAAAAATTAGAAATAATGTTCCCTCTATTCTTCCAAATAAGCAATAAGGAAAACCTCAGCCTAATGACTGGCTTCCAATTCCAATCCAAATCCCAATTATTAGTCTGTGCAGGATATAGAGATAGTCCTCGACTTATGACCACAATTGAGCCCAAAATTTCTGTTCCTAAGCGAATCATTTGTTCAGTGAGTTTTTAAGACCTTTCTTGCCAGTTTGTTAAGTGAATCGCTGTGGTTGTTAAATTAGGAACACGGATTGTTAAGCGAATCTGGCTTCCCCATGGAGTTTGCTTGTCGGATGGTTGCAAAAGGGGATCACATGACCCCCAGAACATTGCAAGCGTCATAAATATGAACCAGTTGCTAAGCGTCTGAATTTTGATTGTGTGTCATTCTGCAACAGCCGTAAGTGTGAAAAATCGGTCGTAAGTCACTTTTCTCAGTGCCATTGTCACTTTGGTCACTAAACGAATGGTCATAAGTTGAGGACTACCTGTACATTAACACAGAATCACATTTTGCCTTAAGAGGGGGCCATACATGTAAACCTGCACACTCTGATATTATCAGCCCTCCCAACTAGATGAATTAATTCTACTTTTTTGGAAGCTACATTAACAGAAACTTGCAAGTTTGCAAGTATAAACTTCCTGCCGCCGTTAGGACGGGTCCTTCCTTCCTTCCTTCCTCTGACCGTTGAGCCACTAAGGGCTCCTGCCTCTCTTCTCTGATTGTTTCCTAGGCAACAACTCTTCTTCCCATTTCCTCAAAGTCACCCAGTCATACATTCTGTATTTAATACAGAAAAAGTACTTTGCAGGCAAAACAGAATACACGAGATCTAACTTGACAAGGACAAGGATATTAGTAATTGCGACTCTGCCAAATTAAGCCAGGCTTTGATAGATCACAAAAAAAAAAAAAAATGTGTTTAGCTTTGATCTCAGATATTTAGGTAAACAAGGGAAATCTAAGGGGCCATCCTGAAAGTCTTTGGATAAAAGCTTTCTGAAAGGGAAGTGCTCGGTGACAGGAAATGAGATCTGGTTAAATAAAAAAGGCACCTAAACATGGGAGAGTTTTTTAAGTAGATTGGACAGCTGTTTGTCTGAAATGGTATAGGGCCGTGATGGCGAACCTATGGCATGCGTGCCACAGGTGGCACACGGAGTCATATTGCCTGGCACGCCAGCTCAGCTCTGTCAGCTGATTTTCGGCCCTTTTGGGCCCACCAGAAGAGGGCCTGGGGGGGGCAGGGGAAGGCCCGTTTTTCTTTCTCCCTGGCTCCAGATCGTCTCTATGCATCTGGGGAGGGTGAAAACAGCCTTCCCCACCCCCTCGGAGGCCGGAAGTTGAGAAACGGGCCGTTTCGGGCCTCCGAGGGGGTGGGGAAGGCTGTTTTCACCCTCCCCAGATGCATAGAAAGGATCTGGAGTCAGGTGAGAAAGAAAAATGGGCCTACTGGGCCATTGTGTGCCAGGAGTGGGGGCGGGAAAAGGGGGGTTGCGCTCGCATGTGCGTGGCGTGGCACATAGAATTATGGGTGTGGGCACATGCACGGGCAAACCTCCCCCACCCCACCCCTTCCTGGCACGCGATGGCAAAAAGGTTAGCCATCACTGGTATAGGGTTTCCTGCCTGAGCAGGGGGTTGGACTAGAAGATCTTCAAGGTTCCTTCCAAATTCTATTATTTTGTTATTCTGAATGGAAAAAATCTAACAAAAATGAAGGCCTAAGCAAATTGGAAAAAATTCAGATATGAAAAAAACCCCAACATAGCCTTGTATCTATAATTAGGAAGATGGTAAGTTCCCCACATACTCAAATTCTCTGGAAATCGAGAATATGTTAACAAAAACTTGCCATCTTACCTGTCCCTCTTAAAAAATGCTGAATCTTGCCAACAAACCAGCATTCATTTATTCATGTAGCCTTGATTCGTATGTTTCTTTACTTAAAAACCTCCAGTGATTTCCTACAATTTCTGAAGGCAATTGTTCTCACTGTTAGGAAGTTTCTCCTTAATTCTCTCTTTGATTAATTTCCAACCATTGTTTCCTGTCTTGCCTTCTGGTGCTTTGGAAAATAGGTTGACTCCCTCTTCTTTACAGCAGCCCCCGAGATATTGGAAGATTACTATCATGTCACCCCTAGTCCTTTTCATTAAACTAGCCCAGGGGTCAGCAACCTGCGGCTCTGGAGCCGCATGTGGCTCTTTCACTGCTCTGTCACTCAAAATATGCGTCACAACCACCAATGTGCGACACCCGCCAGCATATTGAGCTTTTCAACCTCCAGTAGGCCAACCATGGATAAATCCAAGAAAAGAAGTTTCAGAAGAAAACAGAACATTTAATTCAACTACATATGCTAGTTTTGTGGCTGCTCAAGAAATAGTCAGGCACAAGAAGGGTTTTGTGGCTCCCGGTGTTTTCTTTTCTGTGGGAAATGGGTCCAAATGGCTCTTAGAGTTTACGGTGGCAGACCCTGAACTAGCCATACCCAATTCCTGCAACCAATTCCTTCTTTATATGTTTTAGTCTCAAGCCCCCTAAATCATCTTTGTTGCCCTTTTCTGCGCCCTTTCTAGTGTCTCCACATCTTTTTTATAATATGGTGGCCAAAACTGGATGCAGCAATTCTGAGTGTGGTCTTACTAAGGCTTTACAAGCCTTTTCTTCTACACTGCTCAAAAAAATAAAGGGAACACAAGCAGAAGACATCCGAGATCTGAATGAATGAAACAGCCTTATTAAATACTTTGTTCGTTACATACAGTAGTTTTGTGTTCCCTTTAGTTGTTTGAGCAGTGTATAAACTCCTGTATGTAACGAACAAAGGATTTAATAAGGCTATTTCATTCATTCAGATCTCGGATGTCTTCTGCTTGTGTTCCCTTTATTTTTTTGAGCAGTATATATTCTTATGAATGAAGGCGAATATACGTGTCCCAGGAATAACATTTGCAGGTCGGTCAGTCGGTCGGTCTCTGCAACCAGAGGTTTAGCCTTCCGAACTTTAGGCACTTGTGCTGGAGCCCATCCTCAGGGAACTTCTCTCTACCGGAGTGTGTATAAACATTTTAATTTATTTATTCGTATTTCCCACTTCTGAACCACCCATCGTCCTCTTCTCTTTCCTTCCACCTTTCCAATAGAATAGAAAAAAATCACAGAGTCGGAAAGGGACCTTGGAGGTCTTCTCGTCCAGGGGTTTCCAACCTTGGCAACTTTTAAGCCTGGTGGACTTAAAACTCCCAGAATTCCCCAGCCAGCCTGGTGGCTGGCTGGGGAATTCTGGGAGTTGAAGTCCACCAGGCTTAAAAGTTGCCAAGGTTGGAGACCTGTTTTAGTCCAACCCTTCCTTAGCCAGCAAACTCTATATGCCATTTCAGACAAAACGGTTGTCCAATCTCTTCTTTAAACCTTCCAAGGTTGGAGCATTCACAACTTCTAGAGGCAGGTCGTTCCACCGATGAATTGTTCTAAAACATCAAGAATTTTCTCCTTATTTCAAAGCTGCTTCTCTCCTTGATCGGTTTCCATCTGTTGCTTCTTGCCCTGCCTTCAAGGGGCTTTGGAGAATAGCTCGACTCCCTCTTTTTCTTCCATATTAAAGAGATTTATTAAGGAATCTAATTAAATCTGAACGGATTCCCTCGACACCCTCCCCCCCCCATACACACACAGCCGCTACTTTGTTTTACCTCTCCTGGCAAGTCTCTCAAGGCAAGTCAAAAGTTCATACTTAATAACAAAGAGTTTTAATTTTTAAATGATTGGGGTTTTAATCTGTTTGGGCCAAACTTGTTTAATTTGATTTTACTTTTGTTTTTTAAATTTTGTATTTATGTATTTTTACTGTTTGGCTGTTCACCGCCCTGAGTCCTTCGGGAGTAGGGCGGTATATAAATTAAATTTAATTAATTAATTAATTAATTAAATAAATAATTTATTTTTTTTAAAAAATCAGGTTAATTGCTATATCGCTGGGAACACTGAGTCCCTGGGGAAGGGGAGGTTTCCTGCGGGCCCTTCCCCAGCTAAAGGAGCAAAATCCCCAAGATCTTTTGGGATCTTTTGGGATCGAGCCGCTTGATTGCTCTGCAAAAAAATACCCCCCCCAGGGAAAGAGAGGGGAGGGGTGAGAAAAAAAAGCCCCCACCCTTTTTTAAATCTCCAGCCCGCCTCCTCTTTCCTCTCGGCGTCCTTTCCCCGCCTTCGGCCGCACTCACCCCTTCTTTTTTATTTGCACCGCCGCTTCCCCGCTCCGGAGCACGAGGGAGCCCGACGGGGCTTCCAACCCACCGCGGGGAAAATGCCCCTTTGAAGAAAAAAAAAACCCAGGCCGGAAGTCCAGCATTGGGGAATGGTTTGGGGGCCCCTCTCCTCACCCTCAACTCTATGGTCTCTGGCAGGAGGCGCCCCTCTAGGATGCTGCAGCTCTGTCGATTGACGACCGCGTTTTGTCCCTCCTTCCCTCTCGACGGAAAAAAAGGGATTCCTATCATTCGACGATGGGAAAATGCCCCTTGAAGAACCGAGGCCGGAAGTCCAGCATTGAGGAATGGTTTGCCTTACCATCCCCCTCCCCGCTCCTCACCCTCAACTCTATGGTCTCTGGCAGGAGGGACCCCCTTCTAGGATGCTGCAGCTCTGTCGATTGGCGGCCGCGTTTTGTCCCTCCCTCCCTCCCTACCGACGGAAAAAAAAGGGATTCCTATCATTCCACGATGGGAAAATGCCCCCCCCCTCTGAAGAACCCAGGCCGGAAGTCCAGCATTGAGGAATGGTTTGCCTCACCACCACCCCCTCCCCGCTCCTCACCCTCAACTCTATGGTCTCTGGCAGGAGGAGCCCCTTCTAGGATGCTGCAGCTCGGTCGATTGGCGGCCGCGTTTTGTCCCTCCCTCCCTCCCTACCGACGGAAAAAAAAGGGATTCCTATCATTCCACGATGGGAAAATGCCCCCCCCTCTGAAGAACCCAGGCCGGAAGTCCAGCATTGAGGAATGGTTTGCCTCACCACCACCGCCTCCCGCTCCTCACCCTCAACTCTATGGTCTCTGGCAGGAGGAGCCCCTCTAGATTGCCGCAGCTCTGTCGATTTGCGACCGCGTTTTTTTCACTCCTCCCCTCCCCCCCTCCCGGCGGAAAAAATGGGATTTTAACAGTGGTGAAAATTCAATTTTTTTCAGGAATGTTGCAGGAATTGGGTATTTCTAGTAATGTTTAATGAAAAGTAGGGTTGCCAGGTCTGCTTCCAAAAAATAGCGGACAAGTGGGGGGGTGGGGTGGTTAAGTAGTAAAAAAAAAAAAAAAAAAATTACAATTAAATTATATATTTTCTTACAAACATTTTAACACGTATTAAAATAATCACTTCAAAACTTTACTTAAAATTCAAAACATCAAATATAATATGTAAAATATTAAATTACATTTTACTTTGCTGTCGTGTGTATTTTTTATTTGACTGCGCAGCTTTGATCAATTCTTTGTGTTTAAGGAATAATTCTTTAATTTCAGTACAACGTTGAGAAATATCAAAAAATATACAAAGTTCACTTCGAATTGATGGTACAAGCGGTCGGTTCCGTTCGTCAGTCCACAAATTTCCCATGACGCTGAAAATTCGTTCAACGTTTGCATTGGATACCGGAATTGATGCACAATACTGGAACAGTTTCAGTAAACTCGGAGCTGGCTCTTTCTTGAAAAAGTACATCCACTTATCAAGGGACAAACATCAGATGCAGATGAACATAAACTTCTTCTAAGGCAGAAATTTCATCGAAGAGAGTGTTGGGTGGAAGTTCTTCTCGCCATGGTGATAATAACCAGATGTTCGTCATTTCTTCTAAAGTTGGAGGATTATTGCGATCAATTAGATTGAAACAATTTAGCATCTCATATACTGAATCGGTGAAATTATACCACTTTTCTAGGTACGCAATGGCTCTTTGATACACGTTGATGGCTTCTTTCTTGAACTTTTGCACAGCATTCTCAGGCAAATGTTTTTTACGTAAGGCAAATAAAACTTTCATTCCAAAAAACTGCTCATCGTATTTTTTTTGCAAAGAATCACGCAGCTTACACATGATAATGTGAAGATCACATGCAAGAATTTTCTTGCTTTCCAGCTTCAGTAGGGTGTCTTGCATTATTGACATGAAGAAGTGCGTGAAATATAAATACAATTCTGAAATTGTTGGTTCATCGTCCTTTGCGAGTTCATTTTCCTGATCCGAAATAAGGTTCCAGATATGGCACTCATCAGATCCAAGAGAAATAAAATACGATTTTAGAGGTATCCAGTTTAAAAGAAGTCTTTCGACCACTTTAAACAAACTTAACCAACGTGTTGGAACATGGCGTAAAACTTCATGGAATTCTGACTCGCAAAACTTACATACCATTTCATCATAAAGCTTTTGAATAAAAAAAATGTCCACTATTTTGTGAAAAAAAATAATGAACATAATGTGAAAAAAGCAGACTGTCCACTCAAATAGTGGACACCTGGCAACCCTAATGAAAAGAGGGACTAGGGGTGACATCAATGGTGAAATTCAATTTTTTTTACTACCAGTTCTGTGGGCGTGGCTTGGTAGGCGTGACAGGGGAAGGATACTGCAAAATCCTCATTCCCTCCCCACTCTTGAGGGAAGGATATTGCAAAATCTCCATTCCCACCCCACTCGGGCCAGCCAGAGGTGGTATTTGCCGGTTCTCTGAACTACTCTAAATTTCCGCTACCGGTTCTCCTTTTCTCATTTTGCTTTGAAGAAATATTTCGCAATATGAAATTTTGATCCATTGTGCTGTAGCCACCTCTGAACCCTGCCTGCTCCTTTGGCTGTGCGTCATTTAATGTTCTCCATATTCTTTTTGCTATTATCTTGGTGAAAACCTTTTAGATGACCGAAAGAAGGCTTATTGGGCGATAGTTCTTTAAATCATCTTGGGCCTCTTTCTTGTGTATAACAATCACTTCAGGATTTTTCCATCCATCAGGTATTTTTCCTTCTCTGAGGCATCTTGAGTACAGATAGTCCTTGACTTACAACAGTTCCTTTAGTGACCATTCGAAGTTTCAACGGCACTGAAAAAAGTGACTTGTGACCGTTGCAGCATCCCCATGGTCACGTGATCAGGATTCAGACGCTTGGCAGCTGACTCATATTTATGACGGTTGTAGTGTCCCGGAGGTCATGTGATTACCTTTTGCGACCTCCTGACAAGCAAAGTCAATCAAAAAGCCAGATTCACTAAAGCCAAGATCTGTGTTATTAACTGAACAAGCACAATGATTCACTTAGCAACTGTGGCAACCAAGGTCGTAAATTGGGGCAAAGTTCACTTAACAAACGTCTCACGTAGCAACAGAAATGCTGGCCTCAATTGTGGCCGTAAGTTGAGGACTGCCTGTATAGTTTCGCTGGTATCTGGCATAAACTGTGACTACCAGTGTTCATTTTGAGGTTATAATGGGGTTTATTCTGTCCCTCCCCAAACACTGCTTTATGGCAAGGAAGGATCTTGACAGACTTGAACATTGGGCACTATCTAACAAAATGAAATTCAATGGTTAAAAAAGTAAAGTTCCACATTTAGGCAAGAAAAACAAAATGCACAAGTACAGTATAGATGGTACCTGGCTCAATAGTAGTTACTGTGAGAGGGATCTTGGAGTCCTAGTAGACAATCACTTAAATATGAGCCAGCAGTATGCAGCATCTGCCAAAAAAGCCAACACAGTTCTAGGCTGCATAAACGGATAGAATCAAGATCACGTGAAGTGTTAATACCACTTTATAATGCTTGGTAAGGCCACACTTGGAATACTGCATCCAGTTTTGGTCGTCACAATGTAAAAAAAGATGTTGAGACTCTAGAAAGAGTGCAGAGAAGAGCAACGAAGATGATTAGGGGACTGGAGGCTAAAACATATGAAGAATGGTTGCAGGAACTGGGTATGTCTAGTTGAATGAAAAGAAGGACTAGGGGAGACATGATAGCAGTCTTCCAATATCTGAGGGGTTCCCACAAAGAAGAGGGAGTCAAGCAATTCTCCAAAGCACCTGAAGACAGGACAAGAAACAACGGATGGAAAGTAATCAAGGAGAGAAGCAACCTAGAATTCAGGAGACATTTCCCGGCAGTTAAGAACAATTAACCAGTGGAACCACTTGCCACCAGAAGTTGCGAATGCTCCAACACTGGAAGTTTTTCAGAAGAGATTGTCTCAAATGGGGCAGTTCGGCGGTTCGAATCCCTAGCATAGGTCTCCTGCGTGAGCAGGGGGTTGGACCAAATGACTTCCAAGGTCCTTTCTAACCAGGGGTGAAATCCAGCAGGTTGTGACAGGTTATGGAAAACCAGTAGCAGAAATTTTGAGTAGTTTGGAGAACTGGCAAATACCACCTCTGGCTGGCCCCAGAGTGGGGTGGGAATGGGGATTTTGCAATATCCTTCCCCCAGGAGTGGGGAGGGAATGGGGATTTTGCAATATCCTTCCCCCAGGAGTGGGGTGGGAATGGGGATTTTGCAATATCCTTCCCCCAGGAGTGGGGTGGGAATGGGGATTTTGCAATATCCTTCCCCCAGGAGTGGGGAGGGAATGGGGATTTTGCAATATCCTTCCCCTACCACGCCGACCAAACCACGCCCTGAGAACCGATAGTAAAAAAAACTGGATTTCACCACTGCTTCCAACTCTGTTACTTCTATCCTCCAAAATCCCTTCCAGCTCTTGTTTATTCTGTGATCTAAAAAGGAGCAGTGCAAAGCATTCAAGGCTCCCTGGGACGAGCACAAATACATATTTTTCCTTAACAGGACCAAGCAAGGAGTAGAAAAGGCCTCTCCAACTTCCCCCACAAAAAAAAAACCTTTCCAAAAAAAGCAAAAAGAGAGAGAGAGAGAGAGAGAGAGAGAGAGAGAGAGAGAGAGAGACGACCAGAAAGATCCAACCAGCAGAGGGCTAGACGGGACGCGTCTCCCTTTGCAAATAAGAATACAAAAGGATGTGAACCAGGGATGGGCAAATATGGCCCCTTTATGACCTATGGACTTCAACTCCCAGAATTCCTGAGCCAGCTTGTCTGCCTCAGGAATTCTGGGAGTTGAAGTCCACAGGTTGTAAAAGGGCCACAGTTGCCCACCCCTGATGCAGTCTCCTTCCTAGACGGGCTCCTCTCCCGGAAATGGACTTTTTGGGGAGGAGGGAAAAAAAAAAAAAAAGCACATCTACCTCCCAGCAGGGTTTCTCCATTTTTTATTTTTTATTTTAAATTTTTAAATCACAGTTGCAAAGAGCCGGAAGCAAGAAAAAAGCTGCAGCAACGCCTGGGAGCAGAAATCAAGGATTGCAGCAGGGCTCAGATGCCTTCGTCGTGCAAGCGGGGTGGGAGAAAACATTGGAAAAAGGAGACCAGGTAAAGTGGAGGGTTCACGATTTCCCATTGTTATTACGTGCACGTTGTTCGCACGTTACAGTACAATGTCTACATGGCGCGTGTAAATATGTCATTGCAATAACGTTATACCTTAAATATACACGTTGTCTATCCTCGTTGTTATTAGCGTTATTCGTTCCTGTGCATCTATAGCCCTTTTCTTCAGGAGCTCAGGGTGGCATAAATAGAAACACACAACCCCATTTTATCGCCCAACAACAACCTTGTGGGGTAGGGCAGAGAATAGAATAGAATAGAATAGAATAGAATAGAATAGAATAGAATAGAACAGAACAGAACAGAACAGAACAGAACAGAACAGAACAGAACAGAACAGAACAGACTTGAATTATTGAATTGAATTGAATTGAATTCTTTATTGGCCAAGTATGATTGGGACACACAAGGAATTTTTTTCTTGGGTGCATATTTATTTATTTATATATATATATATATATATATATATATATATATATATATATGCCGCCATTCTCCCGAAGGACTCAGGGCGGCGAACACAAGTTAAGAAACAAGTACAATAAAATCATAATTTAATCCAAATAATTAAATAGTAGTAAATAATAAAGCCCGGAATCAGTCTCATAATCTGATATGATATGATCTCAGTGTACGTAAGGAGAATAAAATACATTCATCAAGAATAAAAAGATACATTTTTTTTTAATTTTTAAAAAGTTTTTTATTAATAAATACATAAATTTATTAATTTGTATTATTAATAAATTTTATCAATAATACAAATAAAAGATATACTAAAATAAATAATACCCCCCCCCCAAAAAGAATAAAAAGATACAACACTTAGTATAGTCAAGGTTACTTAATAAGCTGTCAAATCGTACTAGGAAACAAATAAAAACAATATAAATTGAAAGCTACAAGGAACATGGTTATAGTAATAAGTGGAAAGCTATAGATACTAGTAAGGAAGAGAAGAATAATAGTAATGCAGACTTAGTAACTGGTTTGACAGTGTTGTGGGAATTATTTGTTTAGCAGAGTAATGGCGTTTGGGGAAAAACTGTCCTTGTGTCTTGTTGTTCTGGTGTGCAGAGTCCTATAGCATCGTTTTGAGGGTAGAAGTTGAAACAATTTATGTCCAGGATGTGAGGGGTCTGTAGATGTTTTCTCAACCATCTTTTTGACTCCTACAGTATACAGGTCCTGAATGGAAGGCAGGTTGGTACCAGTTGTTTTTTCCGCAGTTCTAATTATCCTCTGAAGTCTGTGTCTGTCTTGTCTGGTTGCAGAGCCAAACCAGACAGTTATGGAGATGACAGACTCAATAATTCCTCTGTAGAACTGGATCAGCAGCTCCTTGGGCAGTTTGAGCTTTCTGAGTTGGCGCAGAAAGAACATTCTTTGTTGTGCTTTTTTGATGACGTTTTTGATGTTAGGTGTCCATTTTAAAATTTTAAGATTTTAAAAATTTAAGAGCGTATCCTCCCCCAGTTGTATTATTAGAAGAATGTTGATCCCTTTCTTTCTTCTCAAGGAGGATATTTGGTAGCTCAGGGTCGAAATGAGGGGTCCTTGATGCTCTCTGAGCTTGATTTCTTTTCTTGCAGGCGTTTCATTAGCTGACTAGATAACATCATCAGTGCTAAGGGATGGCTTGGTTTATCATTTGATTTATTTGATTTATTTGCTAACAACTCTGGGAGGTTTGAAATCATAAAATATAACTATTTCTAAAACAATAAAAGTGAAATCCCAATCAAAGATAAAATTATAGCTCAATTTATATAGTAGTAAATTATATATCTTATAATTTATATAGTATTATAGTAATATTCCATGCTTTTGATGTTATTCAATAATGTGAGATTAAAAACTCCCAACAACCTCAAGCCGCCTAGCATTCCCTGTGGGTGATTTGCAAATTCCTTTTGTGTCTTCAGAGATCGTAACCTGAGGAATTGCCCTTGATGCCAGTACGGTTGCAACGGTTTGGATCCCGGGGCAGGTTTTGGACCGTCGGGCTGGGTGGTACTTTTGCCTGGAGACCCTCTGAGAAGGACAATGGAAGAGCAGGACCTCAGAGATCATCCGCAGAAGAAAGATCCTCGCGGAGGGGAATCCCCGCCCCGAAAGATGGGCAGAGAGATCAAGCAGGAACCGGATGAGGGATCCCTTCAGCAGTGGGAAGCTCAGTGGCGGGAGTTCCTGAAGACGGTGGAGACCCCGTGTTCGGGGAGCTCTAAACCACCCGTGGATCCGTGGGAAAACAGTTTGGCCTTCCTGGATTCCTTCGAGCAGGTGGCCCGAGCCTGTCGGTGGCCCAAGGAGGAATGGGTGGCCCGGCTCCAGCCAGCCTTGAGCGGAGAGGCCGAGCAGGCCTTTCTGAACCTGGAAGGGTGCAGCAAGAGGGATTATGGGAAAGTGAAGGCAGCCATTTTGCAAAGGGATGCCCGGCGGCGGGAGGAACAGCGCCAGCATTTCCGGCGCTTCCGTTACCAGGAAGCTGAAGGGCCCCGAGGGGCTTACAGCCGACTCCAGGAACATTGCAAGCGGTGGCTGAAAGCGGACATGTGCACCAAAGAGCAGATTGTGGAGCTGCTGATCCTGGAGCAGTTCCTGGCCATCCTACCGCCGGAGATGCAGCGCTGGGTCCGGGCGTGCGGCCCAGAGAGCTGCTCCCAGGCAGTGGTCTTGGTTGAAGACTTCCTCGGGAAGAAGGAAGAGCTCAACATGTGGGAACACCACGCAGGGGTATTGCAATGGGTCCTTTCTTATGAGGTGTGAGGAGTATTGATGACAAGGTTGCACCAGGACAGAGTCGTTGCCCAACTCATTTTTCATTACCCAACCTTGATCTGTTTAGCATCCACGCTGTTCTGTCCCCGTCGCGCACACACACAAACAGACAGCCAGGAGTTAATGAATCAAACAGTCAGGAATTCCTTTAAGATAACAGTCTTGGCAGCGAACCATGAACTGCCTGCCAAGAGATTTTACTCACTAAGGGAGGTTTTTTCTCCTCAGTCCGATATACCAAATTAATTCCACAAAGCAAAAAATTGTCAAAGTCCAGTCCGAAGAAATCCAAAAAGAGATTCTAACAGGGTTCTAGAAACACGATATGACTTCCAAGCTTTTCAATTTGTCCGTCACAAGGCCTGAATAGCCGACACACCCCCTTTTATCCCTTGTGGGGTGTGGTCCAGTGACTCAGCTCAATCTCTGGCCCGCCCACGTCTCTTTCTCTGCTATGCGCGCTTATCCTTCCGACACTGTCTGGGATCCAGCCAAAACTCATCCCCCTCGCTCTCTATCTGCGGCTGCTCCTAAGTGCCTTGCTCCTGGCATATCTCTTGGCCTTCAGAGGAAACCTGAGGCATTGCCAGAGAGGAGGGTCCTGGAGAGGGAGGCCTTGCCAAATCCTCTCCTTCACCTTCTGAGTCCTCTCCCTCTGTTAGGACAGGCTCGGGGGTCGGAGTCACAACACACGCGATTACAGGTAGTGCGTGTATACCAATGATAATGAGGACCAATAAGGGAAAATATTTGTAGCTCAGGGTTGACCTGTGGAGTCCTTGGTGCTCCCTGCCCTAGGTGGATTTTCTTGCAGACATTTTGTTACCCAACTAGATAATGTCATCAGGGCTAATGATGTTATCCAGCACTGATGATATTTCCTGGTTTGGATAAGGAAACATCTGCAAGGAAACAACCAAGCTCAGAGAGCACCGAGGACCCCGTCATAAGTAGGATCTCTGTTGCTAATGACGGGGTCACACAGTGAGACATCACATGACCACACCGACCATGATAGCAACCGTGACTATCCAGTTGCCATCATTAGGTGGATACCACACAGTCATAGTGTCCCATGGTCACGTGATTGCCATTTGTGACCAATGGAATGGAATAGGAAAAGGAGAGAATGAAGAGAGAATAAAATAAGAATTAGAACTAGAATTAGAATTAGAATTACACTAAACAGAGTTGGAAGGGACCTTAGAGGTCTTTTAGTCCAACCCTCTGCTCAGGCAGGAAATCCTATACCATTTCAGACAAATAGTTGTCCAATCTCTTCTTTTCCAGTATTGGAGCATTCAACTTCTGGAAGGAAGTGGTTCCACTGATAAATTGTTCCAACTGTCAGGAAATTTCTCCTTAATTCTAGGATGCTTTTCTCCTTAATTGGTTTCCATCCATTGTTTCTTGTCCTGCCTTCAGGTGCTTTGGAGAATAGCTTGATTCCCAGGAGTGAAATGCTCCCGGTTCGGACAGGATCGCCCAATCCGGTAGCGATGGTTGTGGGTAGTTCGGAGAACCGGTAGCAAAAATCCCTGCCCTCCCCTCCTGCCCAGCTGAGCCACGCGATCATCAGAGGCTTTTTTTTTTTAGTTTTAAAAGCATTTTTTATACCTCTTCGGCCAAAAAAAAATGCTTTTAAAAGTTAAAAAAAATCCTCTGATGATCGTGCGGCTCAGCTGAGATCGTCTGAGGCTTCTAAAAGCATTTTTTTCTGCAACCTCTTTGGCCGAAGAGGTTGTAGAAAAAAAATGGCTTTAAAAGCCTCTGGCGATCCCACCTAAATTGCCTGATCGTTAGAGACTTCTAAAAGCATTTTAGAGTTTAAAGTTGGCCACGCCCACCCAGTCACATTACCTCCCTCAAGGCACGCCGACAGAACCGGTAGTAACAAATTTTACATTTCACCACTGTTGACTCCCCCTTCTTTGTGGCAGCCCCTGAGATATTGGAACACTGCTATCATGTCACCCCGGTCCTTCTTTTCAATAAGACTAGATATATCCAGTTCCAGCAACTGTTCTTCCTGTGTTTTAGCCTCCAGTCCCCTAATCATCTTTGTTGCTCTTCTCTGCACTCTTTCTAGAGCCTCCACATCTTTTTTACATCATGGTGACCAAAACAGGATGCAGTATTCCCATGCAGCCTTACCAAGGCCTTATAAAGTGATATTAACACTTCACGTGATCTTGATTCTATATCCCTCTGTTAATGCAGCCTTGGACAATGTTGGCTTTTTGGAGACGTGCTCACTTCCTTGTTGACTTTGTTTGTCTGAAGTCAGCAAAGAAGGTTGTAAGTGAGATCACGTGACTGCAGGACGCTGCAACGTCGAAATTGTGATCCAATCGCAATCATGTGACGAAGGAGACACTGCGATGGCCATGATGTTAAGATCCATCCCATTGCAAATGCCCCTTATTCAGCACTGTTGTATTTCTAAACGGTCACTCAATGAGGGGACGTTAAGTGGGACCACCTGTGGTCTCCTTTGGCATCTCTCTAGTACCCTCAGCTTTGAGCCGCTATACGTGCCCCCCAATAGTCTGACGTGGCCTCAAAGAGCTTTAGGGGTGAAATGTAAAATTTGTTATTACTGGTTCTGTGGGCGTGGCTTGGGGGGTAATGTGACTGGGTGGGCGTGGCCAACTTTTTTTTTTACTTTTAAACCATTTTTTCTCATGCTTTGAAAAGCCTCTGCCGATCAGGCAACTCAGCTGGGATCGTCAGAGAGGTATTTTTAAAAAAGCCTCTGATGATCCCAGCTGAGTTGCCTGATCGGCAGAGAGGTATTTTTAAAAAAATACCTCTCTGTCGATCAGGCAGACTTTTCAAAGCATTTTTTTTACCACCTCTTCGGCCAAGAGGTTGCAGAAAAAAAATGCTTTGAAAAGCCTCTTGACGATCCCAGCTGAGCTGCGCAATCATCAGAGGCTTTTTTTTTTTACTTTTAAAAGCATTTTTTCATCGGAAGAGGTAGAAAAAATGCTTTTAAAAGTAAAAAAAAAGCCTCTGATGATCGTGTGGCTCAGCTGGGCATGGGGGGGGGGGGGCGCTGGGATTTTTGCTACCGGTTCTCCAAACCACCCGCCGTCATCACTACTGGATCAGGCGATCCGGTCTGAACCGGGAGCATTTCACCCCTGGGCCACACCTAAAAATTCGGAGGGTCCTTGTATCCCTGATGGTTGAAGATTGTGTTTGCGTTTGCTGCCTGTTTTCAACCCTTTTTGTTGAGTGTCCGAGGGTCTGATAGAGGGCAATGCCATTTTTTCCTTTACAGGTATTATCGGAGGAGGCAGCAACAATCTCCAGAATTAGCCAAGTTGGTACTGAGGCAGGGTGGAGGATGATGTACGTGGAGACCAAACAGGAGAACGATGACTCCAGTACTGATCTCTTAGGTAAGGAGACCCTCTCTTGTTTTCCTTACGGTCAAGTGAACAATCTTTGTGGAATTTTGCAGAGTTTAACTGAGGAGCCCGAGTCCTCAAAGTTGACTGCTCAGAATCTGTCTATTCCCAAAGAGATGCTATGAACTAAGGCTCCCATTATCCCCAGCCAGCATGGGTGGGCCTGCTGTGGGGCGGGATTGCGATGCAACGCTTCTAGAAAAGATCGGGGTGAGGACTAAACCGAGGACTACCTGCGTTGCCAACAAACGGTAACAATTTAAGCAAGAGAGTCCCAAGGGAAGCCATACAGGGAACACCGTGTGTATATTCTGCATATTTTAATGAGCTTCCAACTTCCAGAAGTTCCAAAATCCAGAAAAGTCATGGATTTTAGGGTAAACATGTTAAGAGCAGAAAGGGAATCACAAAGGCCTCTGATGCAACCGAAGGAGCAGGTTAATAGCAGGGGTGAAAAGCTCCCAGTTTGGACTGGATCGCCCGATCCGGTAGCGATGGAGGCGGGTGGTTCAGAGAACTGGTAGCAAAAATTCCTGCATCCTCCCCCCCATGCCCAGCTGAGCCACACAATCATCAGAGGCTTTTTTTTTTAATTTTTAAAAGCATTTTTTCTACAACCTCTTCGGCTGAAAAAAATGCTTTTAAAAAAAAAGCCTCCGATGATCGTGCGGCTCAGCTGGGATCGTCAAAGATCCCAGCTGAGTTTCCTGATCTGCAGAGGCTTTTTTAAAAAGCCTCCGCTGATCAGGCAACTCAGATTGGATCGTCAGAGGCATTTAAAAGAAAAAAAGTCTGTCTGACGATCAGGCAACTCAGCTGGGATCGTGTTCTGTCCCCGTCCCACACACGCACCCCCACAGACGGCCCGGAGTTAATAAGCCACACGACAAAGTCTTGGAAGATAAAGCTGGCAGCAACCCAGCGGCTAGCTGCCAATTCAGACTTTACTCACACAAAACAAAGATTAGGCTGCAAGCATTCCGATAAAACAGGCAGAGTTTTCAACAATACAAGGATTAGTCCAAATGCAGTCCGACAAGGCAGGCAGGAGTCCAGTAACGCAGAGATCATGGATTATTTATAGTTTTTGCTCGTCACAAACTGAACCAGCCACCACACCCACATTTATACCCTGTGGGGTGTGGTCCAGTTACTCAGCTAATCTCTGGCATGCCTTCCCCTCTGCTGCGCCGCTGTCGAGGATCCAGCCAGCACTTATCTCCTTTGTCGCTGTCCACCTGTGGCTGCGGGGACGTGCTTGGCTCTGGGCCTATCTCTTGGCCTTCGGTGTCCTCCGGAGGCATTGCCAGAGAGGAGGGTCCTGGAGAGGGAGGCCTTGCCAACTCCTCTCCCTCACTCTCAGAGTCTGCATCTGTCGATAGCCCACGCTCAGGCAACGGAGCCACAACAGATCGTCAGAGGCTTTTAAAAGCATTTTTTTTACAATCTCTTCAATTGAAGAGGTAAAAAAAATGGTTTTAAAAGTAAAAAAAAAAAAAAGTTGGCCACGCCCACCCAATCACATTCCTCCCCAAGCCATGCCCACAGAATCGGTAATAACAAATTTTACATTTTACCACTGCCTCTGACAGAAAAAAGGAGGCCTGGGGCAATGGGCGCAAGTGAGGTGAGTCAGTGGACGACATCCCCCCTCAAAAAAATAAGATCTGGTGCCTTTTTTGTTGGCAAAATAAATATAGGACAGGGTCTTTTTTCAGGGAAACACAGTAGCAGTGAGGAGTTTTGTATTTTGTAATTTTGTCCAGTTCTTTTTCTTCTCTGCTGCTGTCTCCTAGTCCTGCCACGTCCACTATCCAGAACTTTTTTTCTCACTGGGAAGCCCAAATATTCTGGAAGAGGCTACTTCTGAATAACTTGGTTTGTGCTCTAACCAATCTCCCAATCTTAATTCCAACAGGATCTGAATGGAAAAGCGAAACAGAAGGGAAACTGTGTGGAGATTTCTCTGAAGAAACCGAGCGGGAACCCTTTGAAGAGAAAGTCTGGAGCCGAGTTCAACCCGCACACCGAGAGAGAAACCAACAAGAAGAATGGATCGAAAGATCTCTTCCTTGTCCAGTCGGAGAGTTCCATGAGATCTCACTCCAGCAAAACAACCAGGGAGGAGAGGAAAGGAACGGATGCCTCAGTGATCACTGGGAAATGTCTGCCGAGACTGAAACCCAGAAAAGTATGTTTGGGAAGAACCCCGGAGACAAGGAAATGCTTTCTGAAGGAGAGAGTTCGTACACATTTCTGGAAAACGGAGAGAAGTTTCTGGACCCTTTAGTTCCTCCTTCGTATCGGGCTGCCCATGCTGATGGACAACATCAACCCACTGAGTTCAGCAAAACCTTTTATGGTCCATCCAGCCTGCTCAAACCACCGACAGTCCCCAAAACGGAAAAGTTGTACAAATGCTTGGAATGCGGGAAGTCCTTCAGTCGCAGCGCCCACCTGACCTCCCACCAGATCATCCACACCGGGGAAAAACCGTACACGTGTTTAGAGTGCGGGAAGAGCTTCGTTCAGAGCGCCCACCTCGCCTCCCACCAAATTATCCACACGGGGGAGAAGCCGTACAAGTGCTCGGAGTGTGGGAAGAGTTTCAACAAGAGCACCAACTTTCTGAGGCATCAGAAGATCCACAAGGGAGAGAAGCCGCACCAGTGCGCCGATTGCAACAAGACTTTTGCCGACAAACCGAGTCTTATTCAGCACCAAAGGGTTCACACGGGGGAGAGACCCTACAAGTGCTACGAGTGTGGGAAGAGCTTCAGTCACAGGGGCAGCCTCAATGCGCATCAGCGGATGCACACGGGGGAGAAGCCGTACGGGTGCGCGGACTGTGGGAAGAGCTTCAGGGATCAATCCAGCCTTATTAGACATAAGAGAACCCACACCGGGGAGAAGCCCTACACCTGCTCCGAGTGTGGGAAAAGCTTCAGCCAGAGCACAAACTTGACTTTGCATCAAAAGGTCCACACGGACGGAAAGTTTCCGGCAGATTCTCCCCAAATACTTAACACGGGGATGGGCGTGTTAATGTATCCACCGAGTCCCGCAAATGGTTTAGTGGCGCTTGAAAGCTAAGTGGTACTTGACTCAATAGTAGTAACTATTTAGAGGGATCTTGGAGTCCTAGTGGACAACCATTTAAATATGAGCTAGCCGTGTGCATCAGCTGCCAAAAAAGCCAACACAGTTCTGAGCTGCATACACAGAGGGATAGAATCAAGATCACGTGAAGTGTTAATACCGCTTTATAATGCCTCGGTAAGGCTACACTTGGAATATTGCATTCAGTTTTGGTCGCCACGATGTAAAAAAGATGTTGAGACTTTAGAAAGAGTGGAGAGAAGAGCAACAAAGATGATGAGGGGACTGGAGGCTAAAACATATGAAGAACGGTTGCAGGAACTGGGTATGGCCAGTCTAGTGAAGAGAAGGGCCAGGGGAGACGTGATAGCAGCCTTCCAATATTTGAGGGGCTGCCACAAAGAAGAGGGGGTCAACTTATTTTCCAATTCACCAGAAGGCGAGACAAGAAACAATGGATAGAAACTAATCAAGGAGAGAAGCAACTTAGAAGTAAGGAGAAATTTTCCTGACAGTGAGAACAATTAATCAATGGAACGGCTTGCCTCCAGAAGTTGTGGGGGTTGGACTAGAAGACCTCCAAGGTCCCTTCCAATTCTGTTACTCTGTTATACTATTAACTTGCTCCTTCGGTTGCATCAGAGGCCTTTGTGTTTGCATTTCCGCTCTTAACACGTTTACTCTGAACTCCATGACTTTTCTGTCCAAGCTGCACCTTTGTGGAACTTGGAAGCTCATTAAAATATGCAGAATATACAGACTGTGTTCCCTGTATGGCTTCCCTTGGGACTCTCTTGCTTAAATTGTTACCTTTTGTTGGCAACGCAGGTAGTCCTCGGTTTACAACCATTTGTTTAATGACCGAATTTACAAGGACGCTAAAAAAAGCGACGTAACTTCGCTTGTCTTTTGGTGTTCGCAGATTCGTTTCTCATTATTGATTTAGGTGTAGCATTCAATGGATTTGGGCAGGGTGAGGTTACTGCCTGGATTAATTTATATGCATATTGGAATATAAAACAAGGAGGTGGAATAAACGACGTCATATTTCTCGCCCCAATGGATCCCCGGGTTGAAACCAAAGAGCCTAAGATCCTGTACAGATGGTCCTCGATTTACAATCATTCATTTAGTGACTGTTCAAAGTTTCAACAGCACTGAAAAAAGTTGACTTACGATCGTTTTTCACACTTCCTACTGTTGCAACATCTCCATGATCACGTGATCAAAATTCAGACTCTTGGCAAGGGACTCATCTTTATGACGGTTGCAGTGTCCCGGGGGGGCCATGCAATTCTCTTTTGTGACCTCCTTGACAAGCAAAGTCAACGGGGAGGTCAGATTCATTTAAACAACCTTATTACTAACTGAGCAATTGCAGTGATGCACTTAACAACGGTGGGGGAGAAAGGTCGTAAAATGGGGCGAAATTCACTGAACAACTGTCTCGCTCAGCGACAGAAATTTCGGGCTCAATTGTGGTCATAAGTCGAGGGCTACCTGTATTTATAGGCCTCAATTTCTTCCATCCGAGGCGTGTTCTGAAACCCCACAAATGTTTCATTATCCAGTTTCAAAATTGTATTAGTTTATCAAAGCATTAAATACAAAAATACAAGGGACATTTTAAAAAAAAATACAGTAGTGGCCAAAATTGTGGAAACCTTTTTGGGAAAAGTGTATTTTCTAAAACTGGCTAATAACACCACTTTTTTTTGGAGTAGTACCATAAAATTATATATCAATGGAAAGATAATTTAATCAAGAATGTAATGCAATAACTTTTAGGAAGGATTTGCTATTAGAATAGCAGTTACAGTAGAAATAAGAAAAGTGAAACACGTAGAAAAAACGAGATATACAAAAATTAACACCATAGAAAGAACGAGATATACAAAAATTATCACATCAGTTAATACTTAGTTGGGTAACCTTTAGCATGAATTGCAGCCTTACAACGTCTTCCCATAGAGTGAACCAAGTCTTTTACTTCTGCAGCTTTAATAATGTGAAACCAAGATTGAATGATGGCTTCTATTAACTGGGTTTTGTTGCTGGGTTGCTTCTGACTAACAAGTTTCTTTAGTCAGCTCCACAGATTTTCAGTTGGGTTAAGATCTGGGCTATTCCCAGGCCATTCCAACAGTGGAATATGATTATCTTGAAGCTCCAAAAAAAAAAAAAAAGTGGTGTTATTAGCCATCAAACCTCAAAAATACACTTTTCCCAAAAGGCTTCCACAATTTTGGCCACTATTGTAAAGGTAAAATAGATAAAACTCTTCCAGGTCCATTTTCTGCCAGCTGTTTTCTTGAAGAATGAGTTCCTGCCCTTCAGTAAAATCTATTCGTCTGTCGCCTCTATTATCTCGTTCCATACGGGCCAATCGCTTTTTCTCCAGGTATTGTTCTTCCTATTCTTGCATTAAAGTCATCCATTAGTATTTGGTATCTGCATTTTTCTTTGTCTTGAAGGCGGGTCGCAACGTCACAAAACTTTTCGACCCCCTCATCACTTATAGTTTGTTGTTGTCGCCTAAGCTTGGATGATTTGAAGCTTATATTGTTTGTTTAATTGCACAAAGCCTTGGGCTACTCTGATATACTTTCGAATTTTACGACTGTCTTTCAGGTTATACCATAAACAGCCATGCCATCCAAATATTAATTCATGTCTCTCTAAGTTGAGTCACTCCTCTTATTTTGGAGTGCTGCCCATTCTTTTTGCCAGACCGCCCCCACTCCCAAAAAAAAGGAACCTCATTTAATCTGCAGGATGACTGTTAAGTAAAACAAAAGTGATATTGGTTGATGTAATAATCCTCAAGCACAGAAGGCTCTTAAAAGAGATCTGTTTGTTTGTGTTCTGCCCTAGCTATGGACCCCAAAGAGTGCAGCACACACAAAATCTGTACAAACCTTAGTTTACTAAATTAAATCAGTCTTTTTCAAATAAAGGCTGTTAATTAACTTTCTTAACAGCCTACAAGAATCCAAAGAATAAATAATTGTAATCTTACTATGGTTGGCAGAAAGCCCAGAAGCAATTTGCAGGAAACTGATAAAGAGAACTAAGATCAGGACGCGAAGGAGAGTGAATGAAGTTGTTCCTTGCAAATTGCCTCAGTCGTCGTCCTTCCTTAAATAGGCTAAGGGAGTGGCCAATTAGCCCCAAGCCTTACTCTCGAGGAGACTTTCTCCTGAGGAACCATTCCTGCCTTTTGGCAGCTCTGCGTGTCCGTGCATTGAGAAGAGGCTCCTCCTCTTCTTCCTCTTCACTTATGGGAGCTTCTGGAGGTTCTGAAGGCCCTGGCTGAATCCCCACCTCTGGCACCACATCTTCTCCAGCCTCCTCATTGTCTGACTCAAGTGCCAGCTGCACAGGCTGCTGGCGCAGCACCACACCAGCCTCCTCGCTGTCGGAATCAGCTACTAGCTGCACAGGCCGCTGACGGGCCACAACAGTCTGGACCTTGTAGGTCTGATTAAATCATGATTAAAATAAACGATTGGTTGCCCAATCGTGCCAGCTGAAATGATATAAGAAAAGGCTTCAGGGTGCACCCATCACCTACTGTTCAAAGAACTGCAACGTGACATACACCTGACGGTCGGATGAAGAACAAAGCAAATTAAACTTTAAGGCAATTTCCTGTGGCCGGATAGTGAACGGGAGGAAAAAAATTCCATCCCTGATCTCAGGACCTTCCCACCATGGAAATGATAGGGGGTCAAACTCTCTGGATGATGGCACTTTACTTGTACATTTCAGCCATGTTTTTATTCCTCAGATGGGCTCTTTACTATGGCCTCACTAGCATTGCCTACCCCGCCAGAATTGACCAGGGGACCAAACTACGCCTTCTGTATTTGGCCGTGAGAAGTATTGTTGGATGGGGAGGCAAGGAGTGGCTGAGAGGGGAGAGTACAAGCTGGCGAGGGCCCCTTGACGTGAGTGACATCGAGTTGGCCACGGCCACCCAGTCACATGACCACCTAGCCACGCCCACCCAGCCGCTCATTAGGCAGATCATATTAGTGGTCCACGGGATTTAAAATTATGAATTTAGTAGTCCCTGAGGTCCGAAAGGTTGGGGATCCCTGGACTAGAAGATCTCCAAGATCCCTTCCAACTCTGGTATTAACAAAGGAGAATATTTGGAGCTCAGGGTTGAAATGAGGAGTCCTTGGTGCTTGGTGCAGATATTTCATTACCCAAACTAGGTAACATCTTTGTCAAGGGTTTGTTGCAGAAATCAAACATCCAGGAAGCACCCACAGGTAAACTGATTCAGCAGGATTCATTAACTTCTCTTTATATCAGGGCTGAAATCCAGCAGGTTCTGGAGAACCGGTAGCGGAAATTTTGAGCGGTTCTGGAGAATCAGCAAATACCACCACTGGCTGGCCCCACAATGTGGTGGGAATGGGGATTTTGCAGTATCCTTCCCCCAGGAGTGGGGAGGGAATGGAGATTTTGCAGTATCCTTCCCTTGCCACGCCCACCAAGTCACACCACGCCCACCAAGCCACGCCCACAGAACTAGTATTTAAAAAAATGGGATTTCACATAACACATAAGTAAATATACAATACCAAAAGTGGTTCTTCCAACGTGGTAGAGAAGAGAGATTTATTTCAGTTCAGAGTTCAGAGCAGACTAGACCAGACTTCTTTTAGAGCTGAGCACAGAACTTAATTCAGACCAAACCCCACCCCCTAACAGGGCAGTTAAACTAAGTCTAAGCCACGCCCAGGCTCCAAACTGGTTTCAGCTTCCATTGGCTGACTTAGTTGCTATGCCTGTTCATTGGCTGACCTTGTTACCATGTCTTCCCAGTCATGAATATTCTGATAATCCTCAGTGCCAGTCAGAGGTGGGTTTCAGCAGGTTCTGACCAGTTCTGGAGAACCGGTAGCGGAAATTTTGAGTTGTTCGGAGAACCGGTAGTAAAAATTCTGACTGGCCCTGCCCCCATCTATTCTCCGCCTCCCAAGTTCCAGCTGATCAGGAGGAAATGGGGATTTTGCAGTATCCTTCCCCTGCCACGCCTACCAAGCCACGCTTTGGTACCAGTCATGGACCACTGAAAGGCGGAAATGGTTCACATGCTTTGCCGAAAATGTGATAGGCAACAGGCTTTTAAGGGGCTGCCAGAAAGAAGGGGGGGCAATGTATTTTCCAAAGCCCCAGAAGGCAAAACAAGAAGCAATGGGTGGAAACTGAAGAAACAGAGAAGCAACCTAAAACTAAGGAGAAACTTCCTGACGCTGAGAACGATTAACCAGTGGAACTGCTTCACTAGAAAGGGCTTTTGCTTCTTTTGCTCCAGAAGAAAATCAGAATAAAGAACTGGAAAAGCCTTCACAGGAAAAGGCTTTTTTGTTCTGCTGTGGAAGAAAAATAGAAGACACAGAGAAATCTTCCCTGGAAGAGGCGCTCTGCTTTTGCTCCGGAGGAAGCAAAAGGCAGTTTCTTTTGAGGCAGTTTCTCAATTCAGGGAAGGTGGTTTGAAGCTTCACAACATTGTAAGGTGGTGATAATTGCTCTTGGCTGAACACCCAGACATCTCATTAAAGCTAGTATTTCTTTCCCTGCTTTGGGGGTGGGGGCGGAGAGAAAAGGGCAGAAAGTGTCCCTTTATTACAGGGGTGAATTTTTTTTTAAACTTTTCAAACCATTTTTTTCTAATGCTTTGAAAAGCCTCTGCCGATCAGGCAACTCAGCTGAGATCGTCAGAGAGGCTTTTTAAAAAATGCCTCTGCCGATCAGGCAACTCAACTGGGATCGTCAGAGACTTTTCAAAGCATTTTTTTTACCGCCTCTTCGGCCAAGAGGTTGCAGAAAAAAAATGCTTTGAAAAGCCTCTGACTATCCCAGCTGAGCTGCGCGATGATCAGAGGCTTTTTTTTTATTTTTAAAAGCATTTTTTTCGTCGGAAGAGGTTGTAGAAAAAATGCTTTTAAAAGTTAAAAAAAAAAAAAGCCTCTGATGATCGTGCGGCTCAGCTGGGCATGATGGGGAGGGGACACAGGGATTTTTGCTACCAGTTCTCCGAACCACCCGCCGCCATCGCTACCGGATTGGGCGATCCGGTCCAAACCAGGAGCATTTTACCCCTGCTTTATTATTCTAGCTGAGGGCAAATGAGACTAAGACTCATTTACTGTTTCTTAGCTCAGCTGAGGCAGCAATTGCTCTGCCGCGCAAATCATCTGAGCTAATAACAGAATATAGGAGAGGTGAGAGGAGGCGGAGGGCGGGTGGGCGTGGCCAATCAAAATTTTCCTTACCGGTTCTCCGAACCAGTCAAAATTTTCCCTACCCAGACGGCAGAACCTGTCTGAACTGGTAGCATTTCACCCCTGGACTGGCCCCTTAGATATTGGAACACTGCTATCATGTCTCCCCTAGTCCTTCTTAGTGAACGGTCACTAAATGAACTTTTGTAATTTGAGGACTACCTGTACCATTGCAGACAAATAGTTGTCCAATCTCTTCTTAAAAACCTCCAGTGTTGGAGCAATCACAACTTCTGGAGGCCAGTCGTTCCACTCGTTCATTGTTCGGTCAGGAAATTTCTCCTTAGTTCTAGTTTGCTTCTCTCCTTGATTAGTTTCCACCCATTGCTTCTCTTGCCTTCTGTTGCATTGGAAAACAGATCAGCCCCTTACTCTTTGTGGCAGCCCCTCAAATACTGGAACACTGCTATCACGTCACTCCTTCTTTTCATTAAACTGGACATACCCAATTCCAGCAACCGTTCTTTGTATGTTTTAGCCAACCGTCCCCTCATCATCTTTGTTGCTCTTCTCTACACTCTTTCTTTAGTCTCAACCAGGGATGAAATCCAGCAGGTTCTGACAGGTTCTGGAGAACCGGTAGCAGAAATTTTGAGCAGTTCAGAGAACCGGTAGCGGAAATTTTGAGTAATTCGGAGAACTGGCAAATACCACCTCTGGCTGGCCCGAGAGTGGGGTGGGAATGGAGATTTTGCAGTATCCTTCCCCTGCCATGCCCACCAAGCCACACCCCGCCCACCAAGCCACGCCCACCGAACCGATAGTAAAAAAATTTGGATTTCACCACTGGTCTCCACATCTTTTTTACATCGTGGCGACCAAACCGGATGCAGTATTCCAAGTGTGGCCTTACCAAGGCATTATAAAGTGGTATTAACACTTCACCAGCTGCAGTCTGTTTCATCACACAGTGCCTCCGGACCCCAAAGCCTTTCTCAAAAATCAACCTGTGGGCAACCGAGCCCCATTTGCGTCTGATAATAATGATCAGTCCTCGAATGACTCACTTCAGGAATGCCAAATGATTTAAGGAAAGGGCTCTTGATATTTCAGTTTACGCTGCAGTCAAAAAAGATCAAGGACCCTTGCTTAAATATGTGGTCTGCCTTTGTTTTAAGGCAGCAATGTCACTGTGTTTTTTATTTACCAGCTGAGCTCTCATTTCTGGACTATCAGACTTTCCGTAGCTTGCCAAGAATTGTTATCAGTAAGCTAAACTGCGCATGTCATCCACCCACATTCCTTCACACATCTTTCCTTTGTTCTCTTGCCAGAAAGGTCCCGCTGAGAAATAGCCGGCACGAACTTTTTCAAAAATGTAACAATTAATTTTCTTAGTGAGATGTTTTATTTTCTTTATAACAAATAAATGAGTTTTATTAAAAGATTTATCTTCGGGTTTTTGTTTTCTTAAAGTATGCTTGCAAGGAAAAGTCTCGATCCGCTCCTCTTAATCAAGGTGCGATTATCCCAAAGGCAGAATGGGATTAATCAGCGCCCTGACAAGCAATCCCCTACCTTTTTTTTTTTATTAATTTGATTTATATGCCGCCCTTCTCTGGAGACTCAGGGCGGCTTACAATGCGTTAAGCAATAGCCTTCATACTTTTGTATATTTATACAAAGTCAGCTTATTGCCCCCACAAACTGGGCCCTCATTTCACCTACCTTAGAAAGGATGGAAGGCTGAGTCAACCTTGAGCCTTGGAGAGATCGAACCAGCAGTAAATTGCAGGCAGCTGTGTTAATAACAGGGTGCGTAGACCACTGTACTATCAAGGCTCTTTTTGGCTCCAGATGTTGGTTTCAGAAGAAAAAATTGTCTTCCACAGACTGGGGCTGGTTTCGCATACACAACCTAGATCCTGTCCATGTGTGCAGATGAAGCTTCGCTCGCTTGCCTGCTGCTTCCATGACCCAGGGGTTAGGAAGCTCATTTTAAAATAAATGCTTAAATAAATTAGGCCAGGTTATCATAACAAGGTGATGCAGTCGTTAAATGGATCACCCTATGACCACGCCTAATTTTACAATCTTTTGCTGGTTGTTAAGAGGGGACTACTTGTAGCTCAGTTCTGATGCTCACTCAACTGTAAAGTTGGTGACTTGCTTAATGACTGGAATGACTTACAATTGTAGCTCCGGGCTCAATTACAGTCATTAGTTGAAGAATACCTATACTGTTGCTTCACCTGTGGGTTAACCAGGAATCTAATGTTTTCATTGACAACTCGGAGGAAGCATACAATATGTGCCAAAGTCACCATTAGCTCTACAGGCCTTCAAGGTCATGGGAATTTCATCAGGAAACACCCAATATTCCTAGGATGGCACCCAATGTCCTTGGAAGACTTCCAAAGGCAGAGGATGACTATATGTGTACTTCTTTATCTTATCTGGAGTGTACCAGCTTGTCTGGATGGGGTGTGCCAGTACTCTTGGGTGGAGGGATGGACAGTCTAGCTGTTGTGGTCCACCAGCAGCCTGCGGAGCTGGCAGCAGAGTCAGACAGTGAGGAGGCTGGGGGGGGGAACGTGGGCCAGTCCTGGAGTCTGGGGAAGGCTCGGACGAGGGCTCTGCGTCGGAGGCAGAGATGGGGCCAGGGCCATCTGGGAGTGATGCATGGACTCCAGAGCCCCCAGTCGGACAGCAGAGAGGCAGAGGAACAGGAGGAGTCTGTTCCTAGTTCACGCATGCGCAGAGCTGCCAGAAGGCAAGAGCAGCTAAAGCAAAAGGGATGACTCAGGAGTAAGGCCAGGAGATGATTGGCCCCCCCATAATTTTAAAAACACATGATCCCCACCCCATAGTCTTGCCGTTATTTTCTTTCTTCCATCTGACTGAGCCCCCGTTCCCCCCCTCCAGTTGACAAACAGATTAACAGTTGGAAGGGACCTCATAGGTCCATAGGACATAGGTCATCTAGTCCAACCCCTTCCCCGCCGCCTAAGCAGAAGACCCTACACCATTTCTGACAAGATGGCAGTCTAGTCTCTTCTTGAAAGCCTCCAGTGATGAAGCACCCACAACTTTTGAAGGCAACTTCTGTTCCATTGGTTGATTGCTCTCCGTCAGAAAATTTCTCCTTATTTCTAGGTTGAACCTCTCCTTGTTCAGTTTCCATCCATTATTCCTTGTCTGGCCTTCAGGTGCTTTGGAAAATAGCTTGGCCCCCTCCTTTCTGTGGCAGCCCCTCAAATATTGGAAGACTGCTATCATGTCTCCCCTGGTCCTTCTCTTCACTAGACTAGCCGTGCCCAGTTCCTGCAACCGTTCATCCTATGTTTTAGCTTCCAGTCCCCTCATCATCCTGGTTGCTCTTCTCTGCGCTTTTTCTAGAGTCTCAACCTCTTTTTTATAGTGTGGTGACCAAAAACCATGTTTCTGACACTTCTTTTTTTCCTCCCTCAACAGAAGACAGAAACATACTTCACAAATGAAAAGGTTATGTGTCAAAAACCACAAAGCAGATGGAACTGCGAATGACATTTTTATTTTGGAGACCTCTCTTAACCAGACAAAGCCAGACCCCTCCCTTTTAACAGGGCCGTTTATTACTTCCAAAATTAAGAGTAGTTTAGTTGGAAGAGTAGAAGTGCTCCCTACCCCACCAGCTGGGAGATATCGAATCACATTGGACTTCCAAATTGCACATGGAATATAATTGGATATCTCACTTTTAAACCATGCGTCTTGTCTAGAACCTGTAAGGATTTTATTTTTTTTAACCAAGACTTTCTTTATCTGTTGTGTTTTTTTTCAAAAAAAGTACCTAAGATTTGCTCCTTGGCCTGAACATTAAAAATATGATTTGTTATTTTTACCCAAACGCCAGGAAGAGAGTTCAGTGGGGAAAACACTGGAAGCTAGATTCACATTATGCTGCCTCTTGATTTGTTGATAACAACCACAATTGAGCCCAAAATTTCCACTGTTAAGTGAGACGGTTGTTAAGTGAGATTTGCCCCCATTTTATGACCTTTCTTGCCACACTTCAGTGAATCGCTGCAATTGTTATTATGCATGGTTGTTAAATGAAGCTAGCTTCCCCTTTGCTTGTCAGGAGGTCGCAAAAGGGGAACATGTGATCCCCCGGACACTGCAACCGTCATAAATATGAGTCAGTTGCCAAGCATCTGAATTTTGATCACACGACCATGGGGATGCTGCAATGGTCATCGGTCACTTTTTTTGCAGTGACGTCGTAACTTCAAACGGTCACTAAATGAACTTGTTGTAAGTCGAGGACTACCTGCAACTGGCTGATTTTGTACAGTGGGCCAAGGACATACCAAACCAACCCCTGTTCTGGCTCAACAATATGTCGTGACTCCGATCAGAGAAGACCGATCAGGTAGGCCAAGGTTGAACTACGTATGTATTCCTGCACTTACAACCGCAATTGGGACTGCAGCAGTCATTAAGTGAGGTACCACAGGAACGCACCTGATTTCACAGCCTGGTTTTTCGCAACATTCATCAGGCGGATCTTGTTCTTTTCTCGCCATGGCTGTTAAGCGAACCGCTGCAGTTGTTAAAATTAGTGACACGGTTGTTAAGCGAATTTGGCTTCCCCATGGACTGGGCTCGTCGGGTGGTCGCAAAACGGGATCGCACGACTCCCCAGGACATTGCGACCGTCATAAATATGAGTCAGTTGTCGAGCGTCCCAATCAGGGGTGGGTTCTACTTACCTTTACTACCGGTTCGCATCGCGCCCGTGCCCGCTCACTTCACTCGCGCTCTTCTGCGCATGTATAGAAGCTTCTGCGCATGCGCAGGTCACTTATGATGACTTCCGGGTCAGTGGGCGGAGCTTCCCACTGGCTTTACTACTGGTTCTTATGAACCAGTCCAAACCGGGGGCAACCCACCACTGGTCCCAATGTAGATCACATGACTATGGAGATGCTGCAATGGTCGTAAGGGTGAAAAACGGCCATAAGTCACTTTTTTCCAGGGCCGTTGTAACTTCGAACAGTCACTAAGCGAACTGTTGTAAGTCGAGGACCATCTGTAACTCAGGCAGCATCCCCACAGCCACGTGGTCAATGTTCAGGCATTTGGTGACCAGCATGTATTTATCATGGTTGCAGCATCCCAGAGTCACCTAAATGCCTTTTTTTACCTTCTTAGCAAAGTCAATGGAGGGAACCAGATTCGCTTAATGACCATTTGATTCTTTTGTGGCCCGTCAGCGGCCTGTGTGGATTGTAGCTGATTCCGACAGCAAGGAGACTGGTGTGGTGCTGCACCAGCAGCCTGTGCAGCTGGGACTCGAGTCGGACAATGAGGAGGCTGGAGAAGATGTGGTGCCAGAGGCGGGGATTCAGCCAGGGCCTTCAGAACCTCCAATAAGTGAAGAGGAAGAAGAGGAGGAGCCTCTTCTCGATGCACAGGTGTGCAGAGCTGCCAAAAGGCAGGAGTGGTTCCTCAGGAGAAAGTCTCCTCGAGAGTAAGGCTTGGGGCTAATTGGCCACTCCCTTAGCCTGTTTAAGAAAGGACGACGACTGAGGCAATTTGCAGGGAACAACTTTAGTTCATTCTCCTTCGTGGCTGGATTCTCTGCAAATTGCTTCTGGGCTTTCTGCCAACCTTAGTAAGATTGTGATTACTTTATCTTTGGATTCTTGTAGGCTGTTAAGAAAGTTTCTTAACAGCCTTTTTTGGAAAAGACTAAGTTATTTTAGTAAATTTAAGTTTTGTACAGACTTTGTGTGTGCTGTGTTCTTTGGGGTCCGTAGCTGGGGCAGAACAGATTCACTTTTAACAACTGCAGTGATTTTGCTGGGGGGAAAGGGGTCATAACATCAGGTAAAGTACGCTTAAGAGTTGTCTTGCTTAGCAACGGGAATTCTGGCTCCAACTGTGGCCATAAGTCAAGGACTACCTGTATGCAACAGTCAAATTTGAAGAGTTCGAATCTTTGGGTCTGCGAGTCATGGAAACCCTCTCTTTTGTTAGTAGAAAACCATTTCTGAAATATCTATGGAGGTTCTCAGTCATCCCAGGACATGGTTGTCCCAAAGGTGTTTTTTTTCAAGAGGCAACTGGACTTTCTGTTTTTTTCTTTTGAAGACGTTTTGCTTCTCATCCAAGAAGCTTCTTCGGCTCTGACTTCTAGTTCCCACCATCCAGTCAGAGCCGAAGAAGCTTCTTGGATGAGAAGCGAAACGTCTTCAAAGAAAAAACCAGAAAGTGCAGTTGCCTCTTGAAAAAAAAGCACTTTTGGGACATTTCTGAAATACCTCCAATACTTCCCCCAGTTCCTTTTCCGCCTTTTCTCTGGAGAATCAGAGGAATAGACAGGCCTGTAAGTCAGCCAAATCAATCTTTTGAAACTTTCTAAAGTCAGAGCCCTGAATTTTTGGGGTGGGTGGGTAGGATGGGGGAATTGAGGGGGGGAGGAATAGAAACCCTCTCCCCAAATAATTCTGTAATTAAATTTAGATATCAAGCCTTAAGAAGATGAACCTGCGTACACCCGCTCCTTTTAATATTTCTCTACTTGAAAAATACGGCAGCCCTTGACTTCAAACACGAGATTTGGGTGCCATTTTGCTTCCCGTAAACTAGAATTCCCTTCTCTTCCAAGCGGAATTTCCTCATCTAGTTCTTATAGGTTCTCCAGGAACTAAAAAGCCAACCAGTCGGATCTCAGATCTCAAAACAAAAATGGAAGTCCTCCTTTACAGTATTCATTCTATTCCAGACCTGGCGGATTCTCTCTTTCTGGAAAAAGAAAAGATTCCCTCAGCCCTGCAGTGCAGATGCGAAGTGGATTCTGAACAGAAGGTGTGACCATGTATTTACCCCTCTGATCACCTTCTCTGGGCATCGCACCATCAGCACCTCCCCAAACTACCCATATTTTGGTCTGGGTAGATTGGTGGACACACACACGTGCCAGTTTGTGTTTGGAAAGGAAACCCTTTGTTAGTGCATAATTGCTGAAAATGCGCCCCTCCTGGAGAAGAGGTGGAACTGCCGGCGAAATACCTAAGAACCGATGTCTCCCTCAGAAAAGAAAGATCCTACTGAGAATCCACAGAGATCTGAGGGAGATCTCAGGAATTCCCTTCTGTGTGGATTCGCTGATGACTAATGAGGTTTGAGCTCTGAGTAAAGCTTTTCCCACAGTCCAGACACCGGTACGGCTTCTCTCCGGTGTGAGTCCGTTCGTGCGCCACTAGGCTGGAACTGCCCCGGAAACTTTTCCCACAGACAGAACACTGGAACGGTTTCTCCCCGGTATGGATTCTCTGGTGAGTAATGAGGTGGGATTTGTAACTGAAGCTTCTCTCGCACACCACGCACTGGAATGGCTTTTCCCCCGTGTGAATCCTCCGGTGCGCGCTGAGGCGCGAGCTGACACTAAAGCTTTTCCCACACTCCCCACACTGGTACGGTTTTTCGCCCGTGTGGATTCTCTCGTGGCTCACCACCTCGGAGCTACGGAGAAAACTCTTCCCGCAAAAGGAGCAGCGAAAGGGTTTCTCTCCCGTGTGCGCCCTCTCGTGGGCCAAAAGATCAGAGCTCTCGCTGAACGTTTTCCCGCAGTCCAAGCAGACAAAAGGTCTTTCTCCGGTGTGGCTCCTTTGGTGCTTCCGGAGCCGAGAGCTGACGCTGAAGGTCTTCCCGCACTCGGCGCACTCGTATGGCTTTTCCCCCGTGTGGATTCTCTGGTGGCTGTTGAGGTACGAGCTCTGGCTGAAGCTTTTCCCGCACTCCAAGCACTTGTAAGGTTTTTCTCCCGTGTGGATCCGGTGATGGGTAATGAGGTTGGAAATGTCGCTGAAGCTTTTCTCGCACACCGAGCACTGGTACGGCTTATCTCCCGTGTGGATTCGCTGGTGGCTCACGAGACCCGAATTGCGGCGGAAACTTTTGCTGCAGTACAGACATTTGTAGGGTTTCTCTCCTGTGTGGGTCCGCTCGTGAGCGATCAGCCCGGACTTCACGCTGAAACTCTTTGCACAATGGGAACACTTGTAGGGCTTCTCGCCCGTGTGGGTTCTCCGGTGGGCGATGAGACTGGAGCTGACGCTGAAGCTTCTTCCGCACTCCAAGCACGTGTAAGGTTTCTCGCCCGTGTGGGTTCTCTCGTGGACAATCAGGCGCGAACGAAGACTGAAACACTTTCCGCACACCGAGCATTTGTGGACTTTTTCCCCTGCGTGATCGGAACCCTGGCTAAAAGTTTCTTTGCATATAATGATCTTGACAGCTGGTTCATCATCGGCATTTTTCTTTTCTGCTGGGGCGACGCCGAGATTTTTGTAACCCTCTACCAAAGAAATGGAGTTTTGAACCCTCTTCCTTGGAAGTTTTCTCAAGCTAGCATGTTCTGGCTTCTGCTGATTTTCAGAGAGGGCTCCTTGCTCATCTGAAACGGGAATGGAGTCCGGGGTGCCTCCCTCGGATGCCTCGGGCAGCAGCTCAGGTTCTCTCCTTGGCAGCTGGGGAAGCCTGGCATCGTTTTTACTTGTGCAGAGATCACCTAAAAGAAACCCCAATAAATTTCGACCAACATTAGTATAAAATTGTTCTAGTTTGTCCTTTAAAATCAAAACAGCAAATGAAGAAATAGCAATAGCACTTACATTTAGACCTCACAGTGTTTTATAGCAGGGGTCCCCAACCTTTAAGACCTCAGGGGCCACTAAATTCATAATTTTAAATCCCGTGGACCACTAATATGGTCTACCCAATGACTGGCTGGGTGGGCGTGGCTAGGTGGTCATGTGACTGGGTGGGCGTGGCCAACTCAATGTCACTCACATCAAGGAGCACCTCGACAGCCACTCCTCGCCTCCCTGCCCGGGCTCCTTAGGGCCCCAACAGGAAGCAGTTGTTGGAGCTAAGCAGCCACCAAGAGAAAGAGTTGGCAAAACAGCTCAGTTCAAATTGGATCTGACTGAGAAGGAGACTCAGCAGAAGCACCTCACTCAGGACTAGGAGCATAGGTTTTCCAAGCAGAGGGAAGACGTGCGGGAGTGCAAAGCCAGGTACTGGTGCTTGGAGGCTCAGCTGGCTGAGATGGTCAGCCAGTTTCAGGCCATGATGCAGTCCCACTGGAATGAGGTCCTCTGGCTCCTTGCCACCAGCGGTACTTCCCTCCAGCCTTTGCCCAAAGCCCACATCAGGAGGCTGAAGCAGACTCCAAGTTGGAATTTCTGCCCCCTCTGACCTGCACAAAAAGACCCCAAAGGGGGAGACTCTCTGCAGTAACAGAAACATTCATTGCACGTATCCGTCCCAGGGGTCCCTCAGCGTCCCAGCACCGACATATAATAAAGGGAGGAGAAGCCTGAACTTTTGCCTACTAAATTCCTTTGAAGATTCTGTCTCCTCGGAGATGTGAGAGGGGGGGAGACATTCCTGTGATCTGACGAAGAAGGGATCAGGAAAGTGACTTGGAAGATAGCCAATGAGAAGCAGAGAATTGGGGATCGGAAAGGGGAGGGATTGGGGGGCAAAGGTCAGTACTGACCGCGAAAGAGCCAGGATCAGATTGCTGTGCTCGAATAAAGAGAAAATTTCCTTAAAGATCGGCAGTTTGGAAATTCATTTATTTTGAGATAGCATCGAAACCTGACAGGGTCATAGTTTGAGGACCCCTGATTTTAGTGCAATATAAAAAAATGCAAATAATTTTTCTGCGGACCACCAAAATTTTCTCGCGGACCACCAGTTGCCAGAACGTTCCGAGATGAAGCGATGCACTTCAGGGAACTTTGAATGTCACACGAGTTGTGCCTCACCTAAAGATGAGTCCTCCAGAGGCTGCTCCTGTTTAACTTCCAAACACAGTTGACTCTGCTTAGCGTCTGACAAGGTTTGGTCGCTGGCCTTTGGGGAGCTCGCCCCCTTCTCCTCAAATAACTCAGGCACCTGGAAAAACAGGAAAAATCCCATTCAAGGATGAGGAGAACAGTGCTGACTGGAAGAGTTCCATAATTGTGATCAATGACATTTCCACCGCCCCCCCCCTAATTTAAAAATCATCTAGAGCAATATTTCTCCAACTTGGCAACTTTTAAGATAGGCGGACTTCAACTCCCAGAATTCCTCAGCCAACAGGCTGGCTGGGGAATTCTGGGAGTTGAAGTCCATGCCTTATTATTGCCAAACTTAAGAAACACCAATCTCGAGAAATAAGTAGTCCTTGACATATAACTACAACCGGGACCAGAAATGTATTGTTAAGTCATACGGTTGTTAAGCGAGGCAACCTGTGACTGTGCCCAATTTTATGACCTTCTTACCACAGTCGTTAAGCGAATCACCATGGCTGATAAGCAAGACACCAGGTGATTATGTTTTTACATCCTTTCCAATTGCTGGCTTCCCCACTGACTTTGTTGGAAATCGGCTGGGAGGGTCCCAAATGGGGATCACATGACCATAGGAGGGCTGCAGATTTTTTAAATGCCACCCGGTTGCCAAGTGCCCGGATCACAGTCATATGGCCATGGGGACACTGTGACGATCGTAAGTGCATGGGTAAGGTAAGGTACTTTTTTAGTGTTGTTGTAACTTTGAATGGCCATTTAATGAACGGTCGTAAGTCGAGGACTGCCTGTACCCAGCAGGTGGTTAGATAAACAGAGGACAATTCTATGTACCTTGGATTCCCTCTTCAGCATTACGTAACAATTAGTTTCACCTTAATTTTTTTCCCTCTCAGTTATTATAAGGTAAAGGTTTCCCCTCGCACATATGTGCTAGTCGTTCCTGACTCTAGGAGGCCGTGCTCATCTCTGTTTCAAAGCCAAACAGCCAGTGCTGTCCGAAGACGTCTCTGTGGTCATGTGGCCGGCATGACTAAACGCCAAAGGCGCATGGAATGCTGTTACCTTCCCACCAAAGGTGGTCCCTATTTTTCTACTTGCATTTTTTACGTGCTTTCGAACTGCTAGGTTGGCAGAAGCTGGGACTAGTAATGGGAGCTCATCCTGTTACGCAGTGCTAGGGATTCGAACCGCTGAACTGCCGACCTTTCTATCGACGAACTCAGTGTCTTAACCGCTGAGCCACTGTTAAATGAGGGGCAGGAACTTGCTTTCTTCCTCTACCCTCCATATAGGTCAGAGTTCACCAACCTTTCTTGGTTGGCAGCCCGGAAGGGGCGAGGGGGTGGGACAGAGGGAATGATTTTGTGGGAGGGGGCAGCCGCATGTGCAAGTGAGCACCCAAGACATTTGTGGCGACACTCAAGCAAAAAATGTTTTAAAAGTAAAAAAAAAAAAAAAAATGGCCACGCCCATCCAGTCACATTACACACACCCCACCAAGCCACGCCCACAGAACCGGTAGTAACAAATTTTAGATTTCACCACTGCTTCAAATGTTTTACGCTTGGAACGCTTTGCAGAAGCTTAATCCTGCAAAACCAATCAATTCTCCTGAAAAATCTATTACCTGCTGAGTCGGCCTCTCAACTTCTTGTCGGCTCAAGAGGAAGTCTTCAGCCAGAGTCACTGCCTGGGCACAAGTCTCAGGGCAGCCATCTTTGACCCAGCCCTGGATCTCCGTGGGCAGGATGGCCAAGAACTGCTCCAGGATCAGCAGTTCCAGGATCTGCTCCTTGGTGTGCCTCTCCGGCTTCAGCCACCGGTGGCACAGGAACCAGAGACGGCTGCAGGCTTCCCGGGGACCGTCAACCTCTCGGTATAAGAACCGTCGGAAATGCTGCCGCTGGACTTCGGTGCTGATCGCGTCCACCCGCGAGATGGCTGCCTTCACCTTCCCGTAGTCTCCAATCTCCTTGTCCTCAAATGCTTCTCCTTCGTCTTTGAGGCCTGGGATGAGCTGGGACATCCATTTTCCAGGGTGAGCGTTGACCGCCTTTTCGATGGAGGTCAGAAATAAATCGTCCCAGCGTTGGGAAGCCAGGAACGGAGCTTGCCCGGGTTGAGATGGAGACCTTTCCTCCATCCCTGGGACATCTTTCCCATGAGATGTTTTCTCTTCGTTTTTCATCAGGCCGACATGGTTGCTCACCCCAGTTCCTTCAGAAACATCTCCAGGACTTGCCACACTCTGTCCTTCTGCTTTCTCCTCCTGTTGTTCCACTGGAAGATAATCCTGTTGATCTCGGGGGCTCATCAAGTCTTCCTCTTCCTCCTTGGAGGCCATATCAACTCCTCCAGGCCAGAGTGGCTTTGGTCCAGCTCGGTTTCTTCCCTTCCCACACAATTCTTTGTGTCTACTGGCTTTGGGTCCCAATTTGGTTGAGGTGACAAAAGTCCAACCTTGGTCAGCTTGAAGCCACGCAAGAAATCTGCCTGCCACAAGGACATAAATGTCATTACATCGGGTTATTTAAAAGAGCTGCTGAGATAGAATAATAATAATAATAATAATAATAATAATAATAATAATAATAATAATTTTATTTCTATACCGCCCTTCTCCCGAAGGACTCAGGGCGGTGTACAGCCTATTAAAAACACAAAACAACATCAGTTAAAATAGTTTAAAATTATTAAATGAATTCGGCTAAATTTTAAAACCCCAGAAATTTAAAACCCAATTTAAAATTGTTATGTTGATAGCCCAGCCTGGCGGAACAACAGGGTCTTGAGTGCACAACGAAATACCCGGAGGTCAGAGATCTTACGCACTTCCGGGGGCAGTTCATTCCAAAGGGCAGGAGCTCCCACAGAGAAGGCCCTCCCCTTGGGTGTTGCCAGCCGACATAACTTGCCGATGGCACCCTGAGGAGACCCTCTCTGTGGGAGCGGACTGGTCGGTGGGAGGCTATTGGTGGCAGAAGTCGGTCTCGAAGGTACCCGGGTCCTGTGTCATGGAGCGCTTTAAAGGTGGTGACCAACACCTTGAATCGCACCCGGAAGACCACTGGGAGCCAGTGCAGCTCGCGCAGGAGGGGTGTCACGTGGGCACAACGAGTTGCGCCCATAACCACCCGTGCGGACGCATTCTGGACCAGCTGGAGCCTCCAAGTGCTCTTCAAGGGGAGCCCAATGTAGAGAGCATTACAATAGTCCAGCCGGGAGGTGACAAGGGCGTGAGTGACCGTGCGCAAGGCGTCCCGGTCCAGAAAGGACTGCAACTGGCGAATCAGGCGAACCTAATAAAAGGCTCCTCTTTTATCAGGTAAAGGCAGTAATAGAAGAACGATTACTGCCTTCTCCAACCAGGGTACCCCCTAGACTTCATTTCCCAGAATTCTCCAGGCAGCATGGCTATTGCAGAGAATTCTGGGAGCATAGATCTTGGTCTATCTCAGCCGCGGCCATGCTGACTGGACACTGACAATGGATCCCAGAGTTCTCCAGTCAGGGCTGAGAATTCTGGGAGTACATAATTAAGAATTCAGACAGCAGAGAGGAGTTAGAAACCAAAAGCCAAGAGGAGCAACAGACAGAGGAAAAAGAATCAGAGCAAGAAGTGAGAGAGAGAATAAACCCGGAGAACCAGGAGACTCTGGATTTTGATTCCCAGAATTCTTGTCAGAGTGGCCGTTGCTAAGAATTTGGGGACTACAGATTTCTCTAGGCGAATGTTATTCAAGCGTGGCAAGTTGAAGAGATGTGAACAATAGCCCTGAGGAACTCTGGGAGTTGAAGTCCATACATCCCTCAGTTGCCAATCTTGAAAAACATTGCTCTAAACTGGGAGCAGAAACAGCAATGTGCTCTTACTGGTCCCTCTTTGAAGCAGCTGCATCTGTTCCTGAGTTTGCACAGTGGCCCTTCGAGAAAAAGCATGTTTGACTTAAGGAGGCATCAGTAGCGCCCCCACACCTCATTCACCTTGATGTACTTGTTGACACCTGCTCAACTGAAATGATACTTAATACCATAGTATAGTATAGTATGGTTTATTGAATAGCCCGAAGGCCTTTTCAAACAAAACAGAAAAGAAAAAGGGAAAAGGATAAAACAGTTACAAAAATAGCAATCTAAAAATATATGATAGATGACATTAAAATTTTACAATATCAAATTTCAATAGCTAAGTTGCCAAGACTAGATAACCCAAATAGGAAAGCTCTCTCTAACTGAGCTCATCTTCCTTACAATCGATAAAATGTTTTTTGATATAACTGGCTCGTATTGCCGTCATTCTTTTAAGGTATCGAGAGATCGCTCTTACCAGGGGACTTAATACCATAGAACTATAGGTTTTACCAGGGGTAATTTTTTACTACCGGTTCTGTGGGCGTGGCTTGTTTTGTGGGCGTGGTTTGATGGTCATGTGACAATTCTTTAGGATTTAGCAGAGGTACTGGTCTACCAGGCTTTTACCTGCTTGCAGAGCTGTACCGGTCTACCCATTTGTTCTTGGAGCGTTCCGGTCGACCCATCTGTTTTTCTAGCGCACTGGTCTACCACCACACTGCCTTTTAACACTGATCAGCTGTAGGGCGGCCCTTTGAAGCCCTGCAGCAAGAGTTTAAACAGGTTTTTTTCCTTCTAGCCAATCAGCTGGGACTCGGGAGGCAGTGAATAGATTGGGGGTGGGGCCAAATAAAAGGTAAGAATAACGCGGGGGGGTGGGAGGGCCCAGCTCCCGAACAAAGAGAACTGGTTCGGTGATGTCATATCGTCACCGCTACCGGCTCGGCAGAACCGGGCCGAACCAGGAGGAACCCACCACTGGGTTTTACTGAGCTAAAAATATATAAGCATGTCAACATTATGTCCTTGTCCAAGTGTTGTAGCTTAGTCCCACCTACCTGGAGTAGAAACCCATTGACGTCATTGACGTTTACTCCCAGGAAGGAAGGAAGGAAGGAAGGAAGGAAGGAAGGAAGGAAGGAAGGAAGGAAGGAAGGGTATGATATTCCTCAGGTGTGCTCGAGCCCTGTGTCCAGCTGTAACTCTGTGCCTCCAGCAGAGAATCACCTACACAGGAAAAGATAAAAACAAAAGAGGCGGAAAAAAGTTACAGACACACCCTTTGTAACAAAACCATGGGAATTTACTGAAAAGGGAGAGGACATTTTCAGGATGCCACATTCCAAACCAAGCCACGTTTCTGGACAGACTTCCTTGGACTGACTAAACGGTATGACCAAAGCCTCTCTTGACTTGCGCTTCATCATTTGGCTGGTGCTTCATCACTGGAAGTTTTTTAAGAAGAGACTGGACAGCCACCTGTCTGAAATGGTATAGGACAGTGGTGAAATCCAATTTTTTTTACTACCGGTTTTGTGGGTGTGGCTTGGTGGGTGTGGTGTGGCTTGGTGGGCGTGGCAGGGGAAAGATACCGCAAAATCTCCATTCCCATCCCACTCCAGGGGAAGGATACTGCAAAATCCCCATTCCCTCACCACTCCTGGAGGAAGAATATTGCAAAATTTCCATTCCCACCCCACTCCAGGGGAAGGATATATACATACATACATATATATATATATATGTTTTCTCAGGTTTTCGCGGGTGTCTGTATGTAGGTCTTTGGTTATTCGTCGAAACGTCGCCAAGACACTTCCAATTTTACGTGGGAGAAGACCCGAATAACCAAAGACCTACATATATATATGATTTATATGCCGCCCTTCTCCGGAGACTCAGGGCGGCTTACAATGCGTTAAGCAATAGCCTTCATACTTTTGTATATTTTATACAAAGTCAGCTTATTGCCCCCACAAACTGGGTCCTCAATTTTACCTACCTTAGAAAGGATGGAAGGCTGAGTCAACCTTGAGCCTGGGGAGATTCGAACTTGCAATAATTGCAGACAGCTGAATGTTAATAACAGGCTATTAGTCTATTGAGCTATCCAGGCTATTTTGCTATTGCAAAGTCCCCATTCCCTTCCCACTCCATGGGAAGGATATTGCAAAATCCCCATTCCCTCCCCACTCCTGGGGGAAGAATATTGCAAAATCCCCATTCTCCACCCCACTCCATGGGGAAGGATATTGCAAAATCCCCATTCCCTCCCCACTCCATGGGAAGGATACTGCAAAATCCCCATTCCCTCCCCACTCCTGGGGAAAAGAATATTGCAAAATCTCCATTCCCACCCCACTCGGGGGCCAGCCAGAGATGGTATTTGCTGGTTCTCCGAACTGCTCAAAATTTCCGCTACCGGTTCTCCAGAACCTGTCAGAACCTGCTGGATTTCACCCCTGGTATAGGATGTCCTGCTTGAGCAAGGGGGTTCGACTAGAAGATCTCCAAGGTCCCTTCCACCTATTCTGATTGATTGATTGATTGATTGAGCGACTCGCATAGAATCTGTGTCCCCCCCCTTATTGGTAGAATGCCAAACAGAAAGAATGGATGGGGAGACAGACAGATGGAAGCCACACTTCCGTGCAAGCGGGGCTGCAAAGCAAAGAAGCGGGAAAGATTCACTGCCGGATCCATCGCGAGGAATCGCGATCGGGATCCCGGCCAAGAGATCAAGCGGGCTGGCTTGCACCGGACCGAGGATGCACTTTTTGCACGCCTTGCATCCCTTCCCTCCCAAAACTCACCTCTGCAGCAGGACCAAAACCGGGTCTTACCCGGGACAGGCGAGTAAAAGCAAAGCCCACCAACCTGGATTTTCTCTCTCTTTTTTTTTTCCTCCCACCCTCCCCCCTCCCTTTGCAACTCGCCCCTTTCTCCTCCCCCCCCCCACACACCTCCAGCCACAGGAAGGAACTGGGCGGCCCCTGAACCGCCGCGCAAGTTTCTTCCCGGCCCTTCTGGCCGGCGACAAACTCGATGGTTTTAACCCTTCGCGGGCAAGGGGAGAAAAGGGGAAGAAGAAGCTTTTGAATGCAGGGGTGGGCAACTGTTGTGGATTTAATAAGACAAACACAACTTTTAGATTAATCAGAGACAGATTTTATATATTGCGCAATAGGTTCAAGGCTCTGTACATGAAGCGTTGAACAAAGACAAAAATTAGGTACCATGGTTTTTATACCCTTCTAGACAAAGGATTCTGTTAACTCAGCAATTCATATGGTCATATACATTTGTCATTTTTAATTGACATTTCCTAATTACCGAGTTTCTTTGCAAAACAGTTATTTCTTTTTGTAGATTACTGAAGCATAGATTCAAATCATCTTTTGACGATAGACAATTTTTAACTCATGTGGATCCCCTTGACCTAACCAACCTTTAAGCTGTATGTCATTAGAATGTTCCTTTCTTCTGACAACTTAGAGGCCTCCTAGAGGTACCAAAAGGATTTTGGCTGAGTTTGTACTTTTTCCAACCGGATGCATTGCTTTTTAGAATAGAGTGAATAGAAAGTTATCCAGTGGTCATCTATCACAGCCCGCTTCATTACATTACAACTGTGGCCCTTTTACAACCTGTGGACTTCAATTCCCAGAATTCCTGAGCCAACTTGGCTGGCTCAGGAGGCAACAGGACTTTCCTGTTTTTTTCTTTGAAGATCTTTCGCTTCTCATCCAAGAAGCTTCTTCAGCTCTGACAGGATAGTGGGGAAATGGAAGGATTTATATTCCTTTGCAGACATCTGGATATTTGCATCCTTTTAGAGCAGGGGTCTCCAAACTTGGGCAATTTTAAGACTTGTGGACTTCAACTCCCAGAATTCCTCAGCCAGCTTGGCTGGCTCAGGAATTCTGGGAGTTGAAGTCCACAGGTTGTAAAAGGGCCACAGTTGCCCACCCCTGCTTTGAATGGGTTCTTTGAAACGTCTTGAAAGAAAGAAAGAAAGAAAAAAGAAACATGAAAGTCCAGTTGCCTCCAGGGGAAAAAAAGGCCCCTTTGGGACAACCATGACCTGGAGGACTGAGAATCTCTACAGACCTTTAGCTATTGCAATTTGGGATGGACACCCTTTGAATGGTGTGGGGGTATGAACGGATTTCCAGAGGAAAAAGGGCAGACTACAGTAATAGTGTTGGGAGGGACCTTGGAGGTCATCTAATCCAACCCCCTGCTCACACACTAGGGATTCGAACCGCCAACCTTTCTGATCGACAAGCTCAGTGTCTTAGCCACTGAGTCACCTAGTCAGGCTCATCTACCTCCAAGTACTTCAACAACCCCCTAAAACAGGGGTCTCCAAACTTGGCAACTTTAAGACTTGTGGACTTCAACTCCCAGAATTCCTCAGCCACCAAAGCTTTGCTGGCTGAGGAATTCTGGGAGTTGAAGTCCACAAGTCTTAAAGTTGCCAAGTTTGGAGACCCCTGCTCTAAAAGGATGCAAATGTCCAGCTCTCTGCAAAGGAATATAAATCCTTCCATTTCCCCACTATCCTGTCAGAGCTGAAGAAGCTTCTTGGATGAGAAGCGAAAGATCTTCAAAGAAAAAAACAGGAAAGTCCTGTTGCCTCTTGGAAAAAAAAAAACACCTTTGGGATAACCATGGCCTGGATGACTGAGAATCTCTATATAGAATTCAATGGGTGTGGGTCAGTGGTGGGTTGCTACCGGTTCGCACGAACCGGTAGCGGCGGCGGGAGGCTCCGCCCACCCGCCCGGATGTCATCAAACACCATCTGTGCATGCGCGAGCGAACCAGTAGCAAAGGTAAGTGAAACCCATCTCTGGTGTGGGTTCACAGGACCCTGGCTCTAAAAGCAAGGGCTTGGGGTTTAATGTGTTGTGAGGACACGGATGTGATCTTTCCCTCTTGATTCTCTTCCATGCACACACCGGGCAGTCGCTTTGTATGGTAACGACAAAAACAACCGAGTTGGGAGGGACCTTGGAGGTCTTCTAGTCCAACCCCCTTCTCAGACAGAAAACCCTATACAGGTAGTCCTTGACTTACGACCCTCACCGAGCCCAATACTTCAGTTGCTACGTGAGACATTTGCTATTGCTAAGTGACTTTTGCCCCATTTTACAACTTTTTCTTGCCACCGCTTTCTCCAGGTGTTAAGTTAGTAACACCGTTGTTAAGTGAATCTGGCTTCGCCGTTGACTGTGTTTGTCAGAAGGTTACCAAAGGAGATTGCATGACCCCAGGACACTGCAAACGTCATAAATATTAACCAATTGCCAAGCGTCTGAATTTGGATCCCGTTGGGATATCGTCAGTGTGAAAAACAGTCAGAATTCACTTTTTTTTCAGCTCTGTCGTAACTTTGAACGGTCACTAAATGGACTTTTGTAATTTGAGGACTACCTGTACCATTGCAGACAAATAGTTGTCCAATCTCTTCTTAAAAACCTCCAGTGTTGGAGCAATCACAACTTCTGGAGGCCAGTGGTTCCACTAGTTCATTGTTCGGTCAGGAAATTTCTCCTTAGTTCTAGGTTGCTTCTCTCCTTGCTTAGTTTCCACCCATTGCTTCTTCTCCTACCCTCAGGTGCTTTGGAGAATAGCTTGACTCCCTCTTCTTTGTGGCAACCCCTGAGATATTGGAAGACTGCTATCATGTCTCCCCTAGTCCTTCTTTTCATTAAACTAGACCCGTGATGGCGAAACTATGGCACGTGTGCCACAGGTGGCACGCATAGCCATATTGGTGGGCATGCAAGCTCAGCTCTGGCGCGATTTTTGGGCCTTCTGTGTTGTAGAAATAAGGAGCTGAAGCACATTCCTGGGTCAGACAGATCTGTTTATTTGCGCAAAGATTCAGGGCTATGTTTGAAAGTTGCAACCTGAATGCAGATGGGTCATTTTTCTATTACTTAAATATGTTTTCAAGACAAAGAGTTCCATGAGCCTTTTCCGGCTTCCATATATGGCTACATTAAAAATACATTTCACTTACATTACACTTTACTAATTATTAAACCATTACATGCTACTTAATACAATTATTTTGGCTATACATTTTCACTACTTCATGATTAAACCATTATACCTTAACTAACCCATCATTTTATGTTTTACTACTGTTCCTTAAAAGCTGTAATGTGTAAATGCAGAAATTATGACTATACTTTTTAAACAATAAATAACCTTTTCCATCCCCTGTATCCGTCCAGATGTTCACATTTGATTCTGTTAAGAAGATGTACAGAATCAGAGAGTTGGACACAGGGCCATAGGTCAAGTGATTAGGGGGACATCCATGAACTAATTGCTCAGTTCTATTCACCAAACTCCATTCTTAACTTTTCTGCTGGATGACAGCTGAGCCTTATCAGAAGATATATTTGACTAATAAGGCAGTCCAGCTGCTTTTAGCCAGCACGTATCCTTAAGTGAATAGATGAGCTCATTCAAAGGTTGCTTAGAGTTCATAGGATTTGATCTGACTTTATATACCTGACTTGGAATGATTATTTCTTTTATTCACCTTTTATTTTCTCTTATTTATCCTGATTCCATCTCATCTGGGCCCACCGGCAGTAGGGAAACAGGCTGTTTTCTACCTCCGGAGGGCCTGGTGGGGAAAAAGCCCATTTTTTGCTCTCCTCAGGCTCTCAGAGCCTTTCTAGGAGGCTGGGGAGGGTGAAAACAGCTCCCCCCACCACGGGAGGCCGGAAACAGCCCAAACTGTTGTAAATCAAGGACTAGCCGTATATTCTTTAACTTGTTCTTTGTCCATTTCAAATCTGAGAAAAAGCTGAGACATTTTAGCAATTTCATGTTCATTATTTGCACATAATAGTAGTTCAGTTTCAAATTCTGTCTCATAGTATGCTGTTTAATTCCAAATGTCCTTTTGTCTACTTCAAATCTTTCTCACCTTCACCTTGTATTATCCAACTACTTCTTCGAAAAATTCTTAATACATTAACCATTGCTCTTTGTCTGCTCTTTCTTTGCCATCAAATGCTTCTTGTGCCAAGACCCACAAAGGCATTTTTTTCAGGCCCGACGTGTGTTTCTATCTATTCCACATTTATTTGATATTTATTTATTTGTTAAAATTTATTTGCTGCCAATCTCACCATAGGGCTAGGCAGCTTACAATAAAAGAAACAAAAATGAAAGGTGTGTAAACAGAAAAGTAAAATAATAAAATAACCAATGACAAAAGTCCGAAAAGTGCTTTGTCAAAAACTGGATTTTGTTGTTTCCTTGAAGACGTTTTGCTTCTTATCCAAGAAGGTTCTTCAGCTCTGACCAAATGTTGGAGGATGTCTGAGGTCATCTCTTCCTGAGGCCACAGTTTAACTGTGCCCTCAGAGTCACCTGAATAACCCAAGACATTTCTCCTAAAGTTCATCTAAAACAGGGATCGGCAACCTTAAATACTCAAAGAGCCACAAAGGTCCCAATCGGAAGCCCCCATTCAATTCTGGAGCCGACTCGAAGTCCAGTTCCATCATAGTCCTCCTAGCACAGTGTTCTTTTTCCTCTGCTGACCAGAAGTCCAGTTCCCCCACCAAAGAGTCTCCTCGTAACACGGCATCCTTTTTCTTCTACCTATCCTAACCAAAAGCCCTAATAATTGTGGAGCCAACCAGCAACAGGGAGCCGCAGCAGTGGGATGAAAGAGCCACATGCGGCTCCAGAGCCACGGGTTGCTGATCCGATCTAAAATCTAGCCCTTTCAATTCAGCCCCAGAAGACAGATGTGTCCAGCAAGGGAGGATGGAGTCAAAAGAGTTAAGATGGCGGCTGTTTTAAAGGACATCATGTACACAAAAAGCAGCAGGACTTTGACTGCATAGTACTGCGATGGCGAGCCTATG